CAATTAAAAAATCGAATCAAATTATTTGAAGCTTCAATTTCAATTCAATAATCCACAATCAAATCAATTCACAACCACATCGATTAAGGTGTTACTAAGATTAGCGCGCACAGACAAACAAATAAGCAGACAAAAATTGTAACAATAACTGACTTCTATTGTGTTGCTAAAGTCTCATAGTAATAGTTTTTCCTTGTACCTTTTCCATGTACAGACAGAGAGATGTGTATTTTTTATTGTATGCTACATACGTAGATAGTAGATACTATACATTATTTAGGATTAGTATGCTGCAAACATTCCGTTAAAAATATCTAAATGACAGTTAAAGCCGTAATAAATAACAGACGCGGATTTGGGATGATTCTTAAACTTAAGCCTAAATATTAACATCTGTAGACAATAGACAGAATGTAAATGTAGAAAAAAATAAGTATAAACTGCTCAAGTTAATTCGAGATGGAATTACAAACAAAAAAGCTAACGAGAGTAAGAGCCAAGTTTTCCACAAGTACCAGGATATCAGAATATCGGTGGAGGTTCGCCGCACATAGCGTACATATTCGCGTGGGCTGCCCTCCCCTCCCAGTCTGGTCGGGTCAACGACTGCTACGGCCGTTTCGGGCGGCGGAGCGCCTCACCTTGACATTCATCTCGAGCACGACAACGCTTTGGCCAAACGTTTGAATTAACCCGAACAATTTCGGAAACAATCCACTTTTACGTACCCCCTGCGTGATAACAATTCTAGGAATTCATGTTTCGAAGACTTCTCAACGTTTATGACCGCCTAGTATATTGAGTACTTAATATTCGTTAGTACAAAGTATCATTATCAAATATCTTTCCATTGATAACAGATCTTATCAATATTTTTGCATAGTACATTCTAAAGGTTTGCCTGCGATAAGAGTTGAGCAATATACTGATAATGACACTAAGCAAGCTATTTTTAAAAAAGTTATAATCAGCAGACCAGTATTAATCTCGTATACTACGTCATTAAAGAACTTGTACGAGATTAGTCGAAGTAAAAAAATCTGTCGGCTTTTAAACCGAGAGGTCAATACACCGTACCGTACCATACGGAGTTGTTTGTGAATATTGCGACACAGAATAATCAAATAATGGCAATTTTTTTTGTATAACTCAAACTGAAAACAAACAAGCTAACGGTCTACCTGATGGTAAATAGCAACCTTCACGTATTGACAATATATCACCATAAGCATCAAGGAAAGTAATGTAAGATAGCAACACAGAAGTTCTGTGTACCGAGAGATCTTTATACTGAACTGGACGGTAGGGCTAAAATCTCCTACATAAATAAATGATTTGATTCGATAATATCACGCTTTTAATAACAAGAACTAGTGGTATAAAAAAATGTGTAATTAGAACTGAAATAAAAATCTAATGGGCAGTTGTAACCCGCGTATAAAATATCCAAGATTACAGCTTATATCTCTGATATACCTCATGATCTAGCATTATAGAAAACAAAATTGTTGTTTCTATACCGACCAATATCACTATCATTGGCCATTCAAACCGGAACTGTGAATATCTTGGTTACCATAGATGGTGACGGTACAATGAAGTAAAACGAAATTATTCATGTATAAAAGTGTCCATGAAGAGACCAAAATCTCACTCGGATAGTTGTATTGCTAAAGGAAGACTATTGCAGACTCAAAAAATTGATAATGGGAAAAATAATAACCCTAAACAATTCACACAGCGCTGTCTTGTCCCAAGCTAAGCAGAGCTTGTGTTATGGGTACTAAACAAGTGATAGAAATACCTAAATACATTTTTTTGGTAAACACGTAAATAATAAAAGTAAAAAGCATCCAGACCAATACAACAATGATACTCATGAATACAAGTATCGAAGAATTGAACCCACAAATATCAATACCGGAAGCTAGGCGGTGTGGTAAATGCTGAGGTCGTCCGGTGACGATAGATTATCTATCTGCACATTTTTTAAAAAATCTCTATTATTTATGTAATCTTAAGTACTTATTTGCTTAACTCATTAAATACAATGGAATAACGAAACGGGACAATGAAAAAAAGGTGTTCAAAGCATCCATTGTGTGCATGGTGAGTCATAAAGGGGAAATTCATGGAATGGGCCGTGTACCATAGCTTTGAGGAAAAATTCGCATATCTGAATTAGAGGTCATGCTTCTACTTAATCGTGATTGTAAATTGTTTGAAACTCGCTGGAGCTTAAGTAGTCTCGGACAGTGCTGTTTCAGAGGAGCTTCCTCCCGCGTACACGTAGATTGTGGAATGAACTACCTCCCGAGGTTTTCTCTAGAAATTACAGGATGGAGTATTTCAAGGTTTTTTAAGGATCGGCAACGCGCACGTAACACCTGTTGTGCTTCCATAGGCTACGGTAACCATTTATGTGAGGAACCTATTTAACATTCCATGGATTCACCATTCAGGAGCTGGATCCATTGTGTGGCAAAAGGAAACTTTGAGCAGTTGTTGAGATTTTTGAACTGGTTGTTGGTTTAAGGTCAAAGAGGGAAATTCACAGTAGCATCGTTGTCTCTTTAGATGGTCTTGATTAGTCAGTAAGTTCTAGTAATCTACGCCTTATAAGGTGACATATGTTGTCGTGACTATCAGATGTATTACTAGCTGTTTCTTTTGTTTCAAGCAGCAATGCTTTATCTCTTTGGCTACTGTGTTTGCATTGAGATACTCATGAACCAGAGATGTTTTTGCAAACCAAGGCACATATGGGCTAACTCATTTAATCTAGAAAACACTAATACTAAAATAAAGGAAAAATATTGTTTACAAATAGCTATGACGTGATCAAGTGTCTTGAGTAGTGATGCTCACAAAAATGTCCAGAATTATGGTAGCCTGGAGGGGGAGAGAGGGTCATTGGGCTAAAATATGGTAGAGCGCTGTGTTGGCTGGCTCATCCATCATATTTGTGAATAAGAGCTGCTTGTAAGGAATTGTCTACTCTAATCATTAGGACTGATTTACTCTTATTTAATTACTCAACCAGTTGGTTGCATAGTTTGTTCACACACTTCAACTTAAAAATGTAAAGTTACAACAATTCATTTTAGAGCAAGACGCAAATTTCCTGCTCATTCTTCTTCTGATGAGACAGCATTCAGAATGAGTGGTAGATTGAAAAAAAATGTGATGACTATACAAAAGTGCTTGAATACAAGTTTATTTGAATAAACGATTTTCTATTCTATGCTATAGAACTGTCAGACTTGTCTACTATTACCACTTTCCATGAGCTGGGCTGACAGCTTATGTAACTACAGTAATATTTATCACTATAATGTGTCACACAGCCCACTATGTTTGTATAGGCAAGAAAAATAAATGATAAATTTATAAGTAGAACTATGATTAACATGTTTACAAATTATTTCAGGTAAATTACATTTTAAACATACCAAATCAAATATGTTATATTTTTCCCTAAGCCATGTTGTAATATGTATAAAATGTTTATATATAGGTAAGTATATACCAAAGTTAAATGGAGAACAAATATTTTATATTTATTATGGATATTTTAAAGTTGAAATAATCATTCTCTAATTCTATTGAAAATAAAATTATATTTATTGCAATTAAAGCAACACACAAGTTTCTATCTTATTCTTCTTGTGATAAGTCTACATTCAGAATGAGCAGTAGAATAAAAAATATGACTATTCAAAAGTGCTTACATTAAGTTTATTTGAATAAAGATTATATCTATTTATTTTTAATGAAACAACAAATATAAATATATAAAATTCTCATGTTGCTCTGTTTGTTTATGAAGTTTTGTGTGCAACTGGGTAGGTCAATGGCCAGCTATCTATTTTACCCCTAAAAATTTGTTTCCTGTTTTGAAACTTTTTTTATTTCCCATAATGGGCTAACTGACCGGACCTCATGTTCATCTAATCATCCTGCACTACACTGCCCTGCCAGCATAAACCATCAGCAAGTAGGAGCACCATTGCATTATCATCAATTCAAGTAAAAAAAGCACATTCTTCAATAATAATATTGATAAATTTCTATTATAATCATAATGCTGTAATAAAAATAAAGGTATTTTAACTCAACAATAATATACATATAATGAGTACTTAAGCAGAGCTTCAAGACAAAGGTAATGTATATTTTGGACAGTAAACATAGTATGACTCCATGTTTGGCTATGAGTCATCACTACCTTCACATACTACATTTCGGTCAGAATGCCTCATTATGTACCTGTATGGAATGTACTTAATGACTTACACAATTATGATGACAATATGGTGTACTAATGAGATTTATATTGTTATAGTAATGTTGCAAGTATTATAAAATGTAAAATAAATAGTTAAAAACTTAAAGATTTACACTTAAAGACTTAGATTTTAACATTCATTATAATATAGTATTTTTAAAACACTATGAATTTGATCAGAATTCAAAATGAGTAGTGTTCTTTTTTTAAATGTATCAAAACTTTAATATAATAATTGTTTTATTTAATATTATAACTTTAATTATAATTACTTTTTAAAATATTCTGAAAATGTCCAAATTACAACATGAGTTGTGTTCATTTTTTAAATGTATTAAAACCATTAACTCACTAATAGTTTTAATAAATATGAGATAGATTATAAAAATAAAAAAGTCTATAGACCATCACTTTTAATTATGTATCATATAATGAACAGAATAATAGTAATAAAAAAAACATAATAATACCCAGAATAGAGAATATACCAAGATAAGTAACTATATCACATCAATCTTGTAAACTGCCAGCTGGTTTGCCACTATCAGTAAAATTAATGATTTTTTTTCTGTGTCCATCTTGCAATCAGGCAAAGACCAGATATGATAAAAGTTTTTATTAATCTACAAAGAACAGGTATGTAGTACATGTTACTGTTCTCTAATTGTAACTCTGTGTCGAATTTTAGAAGCTATATATTTTTAGTACTTACATAAATTAAGCCGGAGTAATATCTGTCCTTGATGTTATGCAGCACCGAAGCCTCATTGAGACAAGTCAGTTCTGCCATATCCTCCACTTTATCAAACTTGGGCGGATTCATCTTCTGGATGTCGTCTATAGGAACTAACATCCTCTTCCCAGACTCAGCAATCTCGACTTCCACTTCATCTCCCCTATCCCCCTTGATCCCGGCCGCCACGAAGCCCTGGGTCTCGTGGGGCACCCACACCAGCCGCTTTTGCGTCCATTCCGCCTGCGTCGCCGGGTCATTGAAACTATTTCTATCAACGGACAAGTACCGGAGTTCCGGATCGTTTCTATCCATGTCCACCATCGTGCCGCCTAATCACGCCGCGCGGCCCGACCTGCTATAACCTAACAAGGGCACTGTATACCACATTAAACGGTCGCGGAGACCGGCACTGCACCTCACAACACTAGGCTCGTTACAATATTCACGCCGCGTTATACTTTTACCACGCGTTAGTCGTGACTGGACACGACGATCGTACGCACAAAATGAATGACGAATTGACGATAGCGATGCCAGTGACTGACAGAACAGCAACGGTTATTACGGGTAGGAGGGATGAACCGGTCGACGCCCGAGTCGAATTCACGATGTTTGTTTAATATTCGTCCGAAAATGTCCTTTTGGAAGTGTCAATTTTGTGGCTTAGTTCATACAATCAAAGTTCAAGAGATAAATTACAAAGTAAGGAAATATTAAAGCAAGAAAACGATCATTGAGATTTAAGAATTGTCGATAATTCAATTTTATTTATTCCTGACTCGTGAATGGAGTTGCTTTAAGTCGCTTTGATCTATCTTGACATTTGACAGTGACGACTTAAGTTGACAATCCGAAAGTTGTCAATTTTGAAAGTGCACAAGTTTTATATAAATATCTAAAAATATTCTACCTTACTGATCAGGCATAAAGTTTATATTCATATACCAAATAAATATAGTTTGTACTAAGAAAATAATTATCTGAAAGAGACTCAATATTCCAACTTTGTATCTCGTCCTACCTAAGTACTATAACATAATTTGTCTTTTACCACGAACATTATTTACGATCGGTACGACATAACACAATGAAAACTTATTACATAATTTTATTAACTGCAATTATTATTATGTTATGAATTATTTTGACAGTTTTGAATATCTACATATTGTTATGTAGATATTCAAAACTGTCATATTATATTCAGCAATTAACTGTAGGCATGGGATGAGCATGACTGTTATGTGATATTAAATCTAAAATATATCGTAGTCATAAGAAATCGTAGTCAAAAATTATTATTATTATTGATCGCAATTTAAAATTTATTTTATTATATGGTTTCACTTCAAATTTACAATATAATCGGTATCACTTACAAAACTGATTTTGTTTATTTATCAAATGAATTTGTAAAATAAAGGTGTGGTAGGTAAGGTGTTAAATAAATTTACCCAAAATTTAAATTTATTGCAGTATTATATGCAGTTTTTTATTACACCAAAATTTTTTATTCATATTGTGCCTTAGTATAGCACATAATAGACAACTCCTAACGAAAATATCATCGTCATATATGTATATAAAATAATCAAGAATTATTTAGGAAATAAAAAAAATATAATGTTTGTAAAAACCATTTAATAAAACATTTATCATACACTGCATTCAAATCAGCAGATTATAAGTAATTCATTCATGGTAGGGATGGCGACTTCATCCGAAAAATATTTATTTTTCATTGATTCGTATCAAGTTTGATAAATTGATTCACATAAAACTTCGAAGAACAAAAGATGGACTTTGGAAAAATAGATATTTCAGAGTTTTTGTAGTTTAAATATAAATAGAATTGTAGAAAATCGATTTCAATTTTATTATTAGCACAAAATATGGAAAGAGAGTAATTAATAATATCAAAAAATACAGTAAAGCATAAAACCGGTTATATATAATAAGAGAGATTACTATTATTATTTTGTTTATTTATGAAGAAGAGGTAAAGAAAACAGAGCCACCTCATGAGTTTGTAAGTAATTTTATTAAAATAATTCTAATTTTATAGAACTTATTGACACAAAATAACAGATCCTCAATTTTTTAAGGAAAAATATTGATTCGTCGAATAATGCTAAGTTTCGTTCAGTGCTATGAATCGATTAAAATCTATATATCTGATCAGTCGATTTTTCTGATTAGTTGTTGTCAGATCACCTCCCTAATTCACAAGTTAATATAACTTCAAATTCCAATTGACGTTTTACAGTCTTCGAAACTTTTTCTGTAGTTTTCTTACTTTATTTATTATTTAAAAATATTAACTATAATATCGAAAGTGGGTCTAGATTTCTTAGAGTGACTATAGTTATTGTCGAATCAAAATTAAATTCAACATTTTTTGAGTTTTATTCATGTTCAGTAGGTTATATTAAAACTTATCTCAACTTTTTATAAATTAAAATAATGGCTTATATAGTGGATTTGCGTTCAGACACAGTGACTAAGCCTACTGAATCTATGAAGCATGCTATGGTCAACTCGGCTTTAGGCGACGACGTGCTTTCCGAAGATCCGACAGTAATAGCTTTAGAAAACAAAATATCAACTATGTTGGGTAAACAGGCAGCATTGTTCGTTCCCTCTGGCACTATGAGTAATCTTATTGCAGGTAATAATTTAAATCTATTTTATGTATTTACATATATAATAAATTACAAACATGGAGACTGTTCTAATGAAAAGCGCCAACCGTTTCCGTACTTAGTTTATGTACAACTGTTGAATGGACACAAAGTGTTTCCAATTGATATTCTAAAGGCCTGATGATGATCTGGGTTCTCTTCTCCTTCCTAGGAGGGTTTAGTTGGAAGTTTTAGAGTTAACCTGGCATCTATTTCAAATCATGGGTCATATATACTTTCACGGTGGGTTGCCTTCCTTTTAAAATTATTATAATTAACTTAACCTAGCATCATGACCTTTAAAAGGTGGGTTGATAACATACAAGCCTTAGCAAATGGAAAATGTTAGAGGAGACCTTTGCCAATTAGTGGTTTCGACATATGCACAATCAACTCACCAAGCAGATTTGTTGTGAGAATCTATTGACTGGAAAGAACTGTACCTCTAGTGAGGAAACTGTCTCATTTTACTTTACTATTTTTTTCTCTCATTAGTGAATAAAATTCCATGCATGATGTCTTTTAAGTCTTCTGTATTTCAATGGGTCACATAGTGCTGTTTCATGGATATTAGTATATCAGGGGCAGATATACATTAGGGCTTTTTGGGCTTGCGCAGCCCAGGGCCTCGAGGATACAAAGGGCCCAGTCCCCATTGAAACAATATTTAGTATATAAAAAAATATCTAGAATGTTAAAAAACCTATCATAAGTTAGGCAAACCTGAGATCAATCAACCCATGCAAGTGTGCATGTATAGAAAGGAATGGGGAATTTCTGGTCACTTGTTTTTGGTCAATGTATTTTTTAGTTGAGTAATATAATTAGGTAGATCCCTAAGTAGATTTAGCCCAAGGCCCCACAAATTGACGATCCGCCCCTGTAGTATATACCCCTATACAATCTCTATATGCTCTTGTTCTGTGTTCTATTTTTTCTCTGACTATTCTCATTCCATATATACTATATTTGGAGCTTATTTTTATATCAAATTAATTTTGATGGTTGATGGAGAAGTATAGTGTCTCCAGAACTGATGTCTAACCATCACATACATTGTAAAGGCAAATGAAGCCCTAATTGTGTGTAAGGATAGAAGCTAATATGTCTTTAATTTGCATCCAATATTACAATAGCAAAACCTACCATTTTGCTGTCACTTTAAACATCTCTGTGGCATTTCTAATTAATGTTAATTTTCAGTTATGGTGCATTGCAGCAAGAGAGGTTCAGAGGCACTGGTTGGTGAAACATCACACATCTTTAGATATGAACAGGGTATGTAATTTTTTTATTTTACTCAATAGTGGGCCGGGCCGATGTGCTCCCTCTAATATGGTTGAGTGCAATAATAGCTGGCTCATCAGTCATACTCAAGATTGGGTGCTTCTTGTTCTGGGTTCTTGGGGACTGGTCTGCTCAGGTTACAAACACTGTTTAGATTTTTTGTTTTTGCAATGGCATATGCTGGTGGTCACTCTATTCTCTCAAATTTGAATTTAAATGAATTTGTATTATTGTAAACATGTACAACATTTATTCGAAAAGAATACAAGCTGAGTTTCTTTTCAGTTCTTCTCATCTCGAAATCATTCCGAACTGATGGTAGATTTGACATATCATAAGAGTCTGTAATAGATCTACATGAATAAAGATATTTTGAATTTGATAATGGAGCTTTCACCTACGCTAACAGTTTATGCTGATGGGGCACCAGTAGAAGATGATAAGATGAGCATGAGGTCAGGTCAGTTAGCCCATTGTGGTAAATTGTTCAAGAAATTATCAAGATGGTTTCCAGGAGGAACCGCGTGGAGGTAAACTTGACATGGTACATTTAGCAATGTACCATGCTAGCGCAAGGGGTCACTAGTCCACATTACTAACAATCCCCTTTTCCCTCACATGCTTTGTAGTACACATATATAATATATACTGATGATATTAAAGCCTTAGTAGGTGCCACTTTGTTTTTTGGTTACACTCACTATTATTTAGGCAACAGCCTTTGGCCTATATAGAGCTGGTAGATGCCACTTGTAAGAGAAAGGAGATTCCATTGGCGACTTGTTGTTTACAGTAAAATTTTCAACTAGGCTAACTGACTTTATTATCCTCCGCTAGCGCCCCATCAGTGTAGCTCAAGAGGGTACCATTTTATCATCCATAAAAAAAACAATTATGTTGAGGGATGGGGATTGTTAGAAATGTGAACACTCTGCTATCAATATACTAAGTTTGATCGCCATATCGTCCAAAATACAAGCAGACTGTGTTTCGAAGAATTGTTCGACATGATGCCTATGGCTACCCTTTACTATCGCACCATCCTTGCCATCGACAGGGAATTCATGCTGGAACCTATGTGAGTTTCAGAGAAACTTCCTCCCGCGTAGACTTAGATTGTGCAATTAATTACCTGCCGAGGTTTTCTTGAGAGACTACAGTATGAGGTTGTTCAAGAAGGGTATTTGGAGGTTTCTTTCAGGCGTTCATAAGCTAGGTAACTGTTTACCATAAGGTGAGCCGTAAGCTTGATTGCCAGTATTATAGTAAAACTGTTTTTTGCAGTATACAGAGAGCTTACAAAATAATGAATTTATATCCCATCTATACATATAAATAAAATTGGAGTGTCTGTTTGTAATATTGAAATAACCGTTTTTTACTATATGCCATTGCATTTTTTGTCTGTCTGTTTGTTCCGGCTAATCTCTGAAATGGCTGGACCGATTTTGACGGGACTTTTATGGTAGGTAGCTGATGTAATAAGGCTACTTTAATTTATAAAAATAATGTTAAATTCCACGCGGACGAAGTCGCGGGCGCAGCTATATAATAAATAGATATATATAATATATAATTATTATGATAACCTATGATACTTATTATAATTATGTATTGTTGATTTCTTTTGTTGTATAATTATTTATCTGTAATTGCAAATCACAACTTTGTTTTGCATTTCATCATACTGGTTTATAATGTAATATTACCTATAATAAAATATAAATACTTAACTAAGAGTTCTGGCTTCGCACGTGTGTACTTGTATTATTATACATCTAAACCTTACTCGTTTATTTATATCACTATATCTCTATATATCACTATATCTATGGTTATGGTATATGTTGCGTAGTATAAAACATCTAAGCGAAGCGACTTTTTATAGAAATAACCTTTATTCAAATAAACTCAAGCACTTTTGAATAGTCATATTTTTTTTATTGGGCTGGCACTGCCATGGCGTTGACACTCAAACTGGAGAAATAGTGGGGAAGTAATAATTAATTGTGACCCTAACTCATTGTATATAAGGAAATGAGTAGTCATGCTCACTAGAATGTTCAGACATGTGGCGGCGTGGTGGGCCGGGTCATTGGGCTCCCTAAAATATGGTCGAGCGCAGTAATGACTGGCTCATCCGTCATACTTGTGAACGAGTGCTGCTTATCTGGTCTGCTGCTCTGCACTACAACTGATTTAATCTTATTGTATATTTATATTTAACCCAAAAAAATAGTGCTGGTTGGTAGTTTGTATTCACACGTTTCGACTTGTAAATGTAAACTTACAAGGATTATTTAAAGAGCAACACACAAGTTTCTTGCTCGTTCTTCTTGTGAAGAGACGGCTTTCCGAACGAAAAAAATTGTTACTAATTACTATTCAAAATACTATTCAAAAGTGCTTAAATTAAGTTTATTTGAATAAATGATTTTCTATTTTATTCTATCACTTATCCGGATTATTATACTGGGTAAAGATAGAATCGTGAACGTCTTCCGGGCTGAAATGATGATGATGATGATAGATAGAATAACTAGGGCACTTATCTACGTAACATAACTATCTATTGTGTGTGGTTTTATCTAATTATTCATTAATATAAAGTTACATTATTGATTAACAATAAATAAGCTTCTTAATAATTATTTTTCAATTAAATTGTTGAAAGCCATTATGTTTTAATAAGATAATAGTCATATAAATGATGGACGTAAGATAATTGTGTAACTAGGTATACATTATATTATTACTTACTAGCTTTTACCCGCGGCTTCGCTCGCATTGAATCCATTAAATATATCTACTTTCACATTTATTATATTAGTACGGATTTATATCTTCATTCTTCTTTTTTATAAAAGAAAAAAAAAAAGTGTTCCATGTTCATTATAATACCTACAAGAAAATGTGTACAAAATTTAGTGTTGATCGGAAGTAAATACTATCACTAAAAAATACACCAGCTTGTGGCTGGGACGGTATCTCAGTATATTTATGAAATACATTGTAACAAACATCCCTACTTCAATAGTGCTTATATTAAGTTTATTTGAATAAAGATTATTTCTATTTCTATTTCTACTTTCACATTTATAATATTAGAAAGGATGGTATGTCAAATCTATATGTTAGGGGGAAAGAGGTCCTTTAATGTTTATTGATGATCTTATTGCTAGCAATGTATCATATTAAGTTGACCTCCACGCGGTCCCCCTTGGAAACCATCGTCATAAATTCTTGTTGCTTTTCTCACGATGTGCTAACTGATCTGACCTCATGCTAATCTTATCATCCTCCACTGGTGCCCCGCTAGCGTAAACGATTAGCGCAGGTGAGTGCACCATTCCATTATTATCCATAAAAAAAACTATATGTCACGAATATATCACGGTGAGTGTTCTGAAGAAATGTTCGGATAAAACCAGCTGCTGAATTTCACCATCGTACTACCTGCCAGAAACTAAAATACCATCCTCATCATCTGGATGAATGGCGGTCCTCCACCGTTCGTTTTTCTAGAAAATTTTCGCCACGCACACCCACATTGTAGAATAACCATCCAGCAATGGTATTTCCGAACCGCTACGATATTGAAACCTTCAAGAAAAGAGCTTATTCCTTCCTAAAAGGCCGGCAACGTACTTGCAATTCCTCTGGTATTGTGGGTGATTATAGACGTTGGTAATCACTTACCATCTGGTGAACTGCAAAGTCGTTTCTTCCTTTTGCTATAAAAAATGTATGTTCCACCTGCATAATAATACTTATTTGTTGTTCTATACAGGTGGCTCAGCACACCTCGCTAACGTCCTGCTGACCACCCTGCCGAACAAACCTGATGGCACCTTCGACCTGCAGCGGGTGGAGCAGAGCATCCGAGGGTCTGATATTCACGAACCTATCACTTCTCTTGTAGCTGTGGAGAACACACAGAACTATTGTGGTGGAAAGGTACATAGTGTAGGGTTTTTTTAATTAATGATAATGATGTGGTGCACCAGCCAGTATACACTGGCGGGGCACCAGTGGAGGAAGATAACAAGAGAATGAGGTCAGGTCTATTAGCCCATTGTGGTAAATTCACCACAAATGCTTTACGATGGTTTCCAGGGGCAACCCCGCGACGGTGAACCTGATATGGTAGCTAGCAATAGTAGCAAGTAGGTAGGTAGTCCACATTACTAAAAATCCTCATGCCCCCCGACAGGGCACCGGTTTTTCTATGGATGATAATGGAATGATGCCTACTCTAACCGTTTACGATGGCGGGCCAACAATGGAGGATGATAAAGTGGGCATGATGCCAGGTCCATTAGCCCATCTTGGCAAATGGCAGTTTGCCACGATGAACCGCGAGGAGGTTAACCTGACATTATACGTTGCTAGCAATGGGGTCAATAGTCCACATTACTAACAATCCCCTTCCAGGGCACCAGTTGAAGATAAGATGAAGTCAGTTATCCCATTACTCCAACCCCGCGGTAGGAGTTATGGAGCGGCTGAAGGCCAACTCCCGCCTGACGGATACGGGTTTTGTCTAAGGGCACCGCTAGGGGTCCAAACCTCGGCTCAGGCCGTCGTAATTTCGATCCCCATCTGAATTGGACGGGGGATCCATCAGAGGGTACAATGTAATGTCCTCATGACTTTCCAATAAGTTAATCGCTACATACAGACAAACAGAGTTACTTTCGCATTTATGTTAGTATAGATTGTTTAATTTCAGGTGTTGCCATTAAGTTGGCTGGATGAACTAGCAGTCCTATGCAAGAAGCATTCAATACCAATCCACATGGACGGTGCGAGGCTGTTCAACGCTTGCGAGTACAGCAAGCAGTCGCCCGCCAGGATTGTGAGGGATTGTGCTAGTGTCTCCGTGTGCTTCAGCAAAGGACTGTCGGCCCCTGTCGGCTCAGTGCTCGTTGGGTCATACCATTTTATAGAACAGTAAGTTTTTAAGATTACTTGATATTTTACTGAGATCACATTTATTAGTTTTTTTCTAAAGTTAGTATAGTTTGTTATGTATCTAGTAGTTGTTTGGGAGATGGGGTTTATAGTAATGGAAACTAGGGGCTATAGTTAGCAATATCTGGATGACCTTCAAGGTCTGTAGATTGAATGTAGATAGATTGTTAGGGTGGACGTTTAGGGCCATCCGAAGCTTACCGTGGAGGCATTGTTTATTTTTGCTTATTTTGGACCACGTGGAGGTAGGGGAGTCTACATGATTACGTCATCGGTAGTTATTTACTTTTTTACGCAAATAGCAACCCTCACATCGTCTTTGCTAAACAATACATTAATTAAAAAATGTTTTCTTAAGCGTGAGGGGAGGGGGTAAGAGCTTTGCTTACTTTTGTTGACAAGGGGGATGGGGGGGGGGGGAGGTAAATAATTGTAATGAATCTGCTTACGTAATACTTGAACGGCCCCTTAGAGTCTGGAGGTGGGGTGCAGATACTATTTCCTGCACGCCTTACACCTAGATGAAAGGTTCCTTCGATGGGAACCATGCCGGTGGTCTTGGCGAATGCCTAATGCGATCCCATGCCCACGGCGATATGTTGAAGAGGAATAGTCAGGTTTTTAGCAGGTAGAAGTCCGGTAGTATCCATTCGTCCCTAAGCGAATGGCTCTCCATGATGGATTCCTGATGTAAAAAAAGGTAAAATGGATTGTAACTTGTCAGGGCTCGTCGTTGCCGCAAGATGCTGGGCGGTGGCATGCGGCAGGCGGGCGTGTTGGCCGCCGCAGCCATTGTAGCGCTTGACGAGGTCGTGCCGCTGCTTTCCTTCGACCACAAACGCGCTCATAGACTTGGCTTAGGTATGTAACAATTTTTTTCTATTTCCCTTTCTGTGAGGAAATAAAAGTCAAATAAGAAATATTTATATACTCCAGTTCAAGTTACATTCCATTCGATCTGAACCTGTCCGAAACGCAAACTCTGAGCGACCGGACTGTAGGTACTGATGAACGTCCGAGTTACGAATAAACCAGGGTGAAACTGTTTTCCAAGATCTAGCGGTTTAGCACACCGCTTTACTTCCGATGGTCGCGGGTTCGATACCTTGCACGGCACAAACATTTGTATTAATGAGTATGATTGTCTGTATCGGTCTGGGTGTTTTCTATGTATAATATGTATGTATCTACGATAAAAATATATCTATGTATATGTATCAGTTGTCTAGTAACCATAACACAAGCTCTAGCTAGCTAACTTGGGTCAGATTGCGCTGTGTGAATTGTCCTAAGATTATTATTAACTGGTTATAATAGTTTTATATTGTTTTAGTAATTCACGGTCTGTTTCTGAAGTCATTCAGCGTTGACGTGGAGAATCAGCACACGAATATAGTGCTGGTGAAGATACGGCCGGAGAGTCCCATCACCGCTGATCAGGTGCTGCAAAGGCTCGCTCAGGTCTGCCTCGCGGAGACCCAGGTAAGCAAAGTGCTACTTCAAACCAACTGTTGAAAGTATAATTCTGGCAAAACGATTTCAGTTTGAAATTGTGTGTATTATTATTTATTTTGCATCCAAAAATCTATACATATAAATAAAATTGGAGTGTATGTTGTGTAATATTGCATTTGCATTCAATTTGTTAACATGCATATGAATAGAAATATAGTACATACACCAAAATAACATTTTTTAGAATTTTTGTCTGTCTGTCTGTTTGTTCCGGCTAATCTCTGAAATGGCTGGACCGATTTTGACGGGACCTTTTTGGCAGGTACCTGATGTAATAAGGAGTAACTTAGGATACTTTTATTTTAGAAACTTAAAGTTAAATTCCACGACGACGAAGTCGAGTGTATAATTAGTATTTAATAAAGTCTTAATAACTAGTGTAAGATAGAGTAATCAAGATGTAACCACCAAATACAAGTATAATACATGTACACACGAGCGAAGCCGCTAGTTTTTAATAAAAAATCTATCTAAAACGAATATTTTCCTACCAGGGTGACTGCAAGACTCCAAACGACGAAGGTGTGATTGTTAAAGGCGTTCAATTCAACAGTAAGACGATCAGGTTTACATTGCACCGGGAGATCACCGACGAGGACCTGTGGCTCGCCATCATGAAGATCACGTATGTCTTCAAGGAGCTGGACGCAAGTGTCAATAAGTAATGTACACATACTTTATAGTAACGTCATACTCGTGAACGGGGACTGGTGTGTTCAGGTTACGGCCACAGATTAGACTATTCTCTCTAATTGAATTTAAAAATTAGTCTGTATTCTTGTAGACATACAGATAAATTTGCTTGTTTGAGAAGAATAAGAGTTTTTTAGCTAGCTAGGTTAGCTTGATGAAAAGCGTGGCAGTCTAAAGATTAATAATCTAATTTATAATACGATGAAAATTTGTAAAACATTTATGTTTATGAAATAAATTTATTATTATTATTTCGACCATTTCACAATATAAATATCGGTTATTTTATAGTGATCACAAGGACGGGCTTATATCACCAAGTCACATTATTATTATTATTATTATTATTAATACGATGAAAGTAGGAATAAATATTTCTATTTGTATTTTAAACGTTTAAATTGTGTTTTATTAAATTGAAAAAAAAGACAAACACTCTAATGAATGAAAATGCATTTGTAGATTTTAGGCGTTATGGACTGTTATGGACGCCATTTTGTAGGATGTTATTTACAAGATATAAAAGTAAATATTTTGACGGCCTCGGTGGTCTAGCGGTTTAACACACCGCCTTACTTCCGATGGTCGCGGGTTCGATTCCTCGCACGGCACAAACATTTGTATTCATGAGTATGATTGTTTGTATCGGTCTGGGTATTTTCTATGTATAATATGTATGTATTTACGAAAAAAAACATCTATGTATTTGTATCTGTTGTCTAGTATCCATAACACAAGCTTTAGGTAGCTTAATTTGGGTCTAGATGGCACTGTGTGAATTGTCCTGAGATTATTTATTATTTATTTAAATATATATCTAATTTTAACTTTATTTCATTGTGATAAGTTACAATTTTGAAAGGTATTTTGTAAAGTTACCAGGGTAGATATAATGTACTCATTTTTGACATTCAATTTTGATTGTGTACAATATACAAATGTACTGTTAGTCGCGCGTTCCCGACTATGACGATGATAGTGAATTATAACACTGTTGAACCTGAATACGAGTCTCCCATGACGCCAAGCTCGAATTATATAGTTTTTAAGTTAAACTAAAATTATACTCAATACTAATATATGAAATATTAGTAATTATTGTAAAGTTACCACTGCATGTAATCAATAAAAAGTTATATATATTTAGTTTATAAGTTGGTATGGAATACATTATGTATTTTAGTTTATAGCCGGGATATGAAAATATTAAAATAGAGTAAGGTAACAAGGACCAAAGGGCTATCTTCATTCATAATTTAAGAGCTGCGCTCTTGTCGGTGGAGCTCCCTTCCAATCCACCTTCCACAATCCTCTATCAATCTTTTTAGTTGTTGATACGACACGACTCCAACGTTTTCCTTAACCTGCTTGATATAGCTTTGTCTTGGTTTTCCCCTTCCTTTCTTTCCGTATATTTTTCCTTTGATAATGTTCGTCGTGTCATATCAAGTGCTTCAACATTTTTCCCCGCCTATTCTCAGTAATATTTATGATTGCCTACCTTCCTTAATTTTGGAACCAATTGCACCAAATCCACTATAGGGTTAAATATTAGCCCTGGCTTTGTTCTGTAAGGCATTTGCTATCGGTTCTTGTTTTAAACATATTGCTTTTTTATATAAATACACTAGTTATGCACGCGATTTCACTCGAGTAAAATTTACAGCCTATGTGACCACTATAAATAATTTATAGCTTCAATCTCTTTAAAATAAAGAAGTGCGCTCATATTCCCTCTCCTTTTTTCTGCTCTCTCTCTCTCTCTCTCATTGGGCGACGGGACTCTGTCTTATCTAATTATTAGTTTAAAGGGGTGGTGTCAATATATGAGTAGATTATTTTTTAATTGTAGAATTTTTAGAAATCATCGTGTATAAAATTTGTAGAGATGTTTCTATAAAACATTTAAATGTGCCAAATTAACAATGTGTATGATTTAAATAAAAAAATATATTGTTCACATTTGTCATACAACTGACAAGTTTTTTATTTACTAACAAAAGCGATGTAGGAATTCTTCCATTTACAATTCTTTGTAATAATATAAAAATAATACAAAACTTTTGGCAAAAAAATATTGTATGAATTAATTATAAGCTACAAATATCATTGTTGATAATGTTTATGTATTTTACACAAGTTTGTTGTTGTAATAAAGTTAATTTTTATTTTCAGTTCTTGTTTTATTAAATTTATTTACTCGAATTTAACAATTACTGAATAGAAATGTTATATGTATTTGCTTTAATATAATACATGTATAAGCAACAAAACCCGATAGTTATGAGTCTGCTTTGCACATTAACCTACATTTAAAACCATTTTAATCATCATACATTTTAATACACTTAATTAGGGGGAAGGGGATTATTAGCAATGTGGATTAATAACCCCATTGCTAGCAATGTACCATGTCAGGTCGACCTCCACGATGTTCCCCCTGGAAACCACCATGTTAAATCCCTGGTGAATTTACCACAAGTTAACTGACCTGACTTCATGTTCATCTTAACATCCATCACTGGGGCACCAGTCAGAGTATACCGTTAGCGCAGGCGGATATACAATTCCGTTAATGTCTCTTAAAAAAAATAAACTTAATTATTACAATTAGAGAATTAAAAATAATAAAACCAACTCGTTCCTTAATTTCGTTTTAAAATCTGATATAAACTTGTACTATCAATTCTCATTTGAAACCGATTCAAATCTACAGCGATTTGGTGAACCAATTGAGAGTTGCAGTTACAAGATGTATATATCGTCGATTAAATAGAAAATGAAATTTTCAAAATTAGAAGCTAGAATTGCCTCTTTTTATATAAATAAATTAACCACACCGTCTTAATCATTATCTAAATACTTTTAAAATGATAAAACACTTCTGTGTAAATTTAAAATATTAAAGGAGAAAATAATTTAAATAAATTTAAAAACTTTAAATGCTTTCTTGTAATAAATGTACATTCTGAACACTGCCATTTTTCTATTTAACCGACGATATATATTTTCCTCTCTCTCTCTATATATATATATATATATATATGTATATATATATATATCTCCATTAAACTCATTATCATATCTTAGCCTATTTGTTTAATACTAATACTAGGAAATGTGTAGTTTGAAAGAATATACTCTTACATAAAAATATATTACAGAATCAAATTAAGATCTAATAATAATTATAACTTGTATAAAACAATTCACCTGCAACACATAAACTACCCTATGAGAATGGCTTAAAGTATAAAATAGTTATAAACAAACACGTATACTTTTGAGCAGTAGAGATAAAATAATGACCTTGTATAATAGCAATCTGATCTAATACCCTATTGCAAATGTACCACGTCACCTTGACCAGCTTGGCGTGACTGCAGTTCCTTTTAGCATCCATTGTGATAAATTTCTGTTGAATTTGCCACAATGGGCTATCTGACCTAACCTCATGCTTAGGGAATGGATTTTTAGTAATGGAATCATCAGTCCACTGAGTTGTCAGTTTGACCGTTGCACTGGAAAACATTATGTTAAATTTCTGGTGAATTTGTCACGGTAGGCTAACTGATCTGACTTCATACTCATCTTCCACTGGTGTCCCGCCAGCGTAATCCATTAGGTTAAGTGAGTGGACCATTCCATTATCATCCCTTAAAGAACCTAATTGTTGATGGGGATTGTTAATAATGTGGACTAACGATCCCATAGCCAGCAATGTACCATATCACCTTTACCGCATGCGGTTGTCCCGCAATGGAAAACAATGTGATAAATTCCTGCTGGATTTCTCACGATGGCCTAACTGTTCTGATCTCATGCTCATCTTATCACCCTCCACTGGTGCATAGTCATTACAAAACATCAGGACAAACGGGTGCACCATTCTATTACTATACCAAAACATTCGACTTAATACAAGGTCAGATTACGTTGGTCAGTTACTAAAACCGACTGAACCTTCTTAGGTAATACACATATTAATGTTTCCAGCTTTTAGTACAAAAACCTAATTAACTTAAACACTACCAAAATCAATCTCCTCAAACAATCAATGGTGATTAGAGTATTATCGTATTAAAAACGGTCCAGCCTTCAATTATATAAAAATAATCTGGTAATTATTTCACAATACTCAACAAATTTTAATGAGAAAATTACTATAGTTATTACGATATAAGTGCGTTATGATGGATATAACACACTAGTAAGAATTTCAGCCCGAACCGAATGCGAGGGCGTAATAAAGCCGAGTATGTTTAATACGCACGTATATCTTACGACATTTTTCAACGCACTTGATTTTAAATAAACTCAACCATAAAATTGTAATGCAGACTAGGATTTTGCGGCGTTTTCATTTTTTAAAACCAGCGCCCTACCTACTGGCTGGCGCTGCGTGGAGGTCATTTCGTTTAAAAATAAATATCAAATAGAGCAGTTATAGAATATAGCTTTACTATTTGCATTTATAACTATTTATTTTACGAGCTTTATATACCGAAAAGTATTGAAATTTGATGCACTTTACGACCAAGTGTGTTGAAAAGGTGAAATAATTACTACATTGAATTAATATTTACATTTTTCTATACACAACTTCTTAAATTAAAATGGAAAACCACATGGTACAAAAAAGGGTGATTATCAGCCAGTCAAGTTTGCTACTGGCGCAGTAAAGGCAAATAAATTTTTATTCTGGTAGTATTAAACTACCCGAGTTTGTGCCAAGTACTAAGCTGGGGGAAATGTAGGTCATCGACTTTAGAGTATCATATATTTCTTATTTAAAATTTTTATTTTCTTAATCATTGTGGTCCCCGTCAATGAAGAACCACAAAGGAATCATCTGTGTGGACTAGTAATGTCGTTTACATCCATTATTATTAACGCAAATATTCTTCATGCACAAGCGTAAATTCCACTAATAGAAGGAAAAATGTCTTTGGTACTATTAATAGATATAACTAATAGGACTAGGGTTGACCACAGACAACTATCTGCAATCAGTAGCGTAGTTAGGTAACCAAGGGCCCTGGGGCTAATAAAAAATGGGGCCCCATTACAGTATTATTAAATGCACATATCGCTATTCGTCAAATAGACAACACTGGCAACCCACAGAAAGAATTTAGGGGAATTCAGAAGGTATAACTTTCGAATTTCTCTCCACTGAGTTGCCATGATTAAAGGCGGGTTGCAAACTGTCATATTTAATTTGAAAATGGGAGAAATTTTCAAAAGTTCAGTTCGATAGAGATTTTCTGATAGGGGTTTGAGGGCAACCAAAGCTGGGCCCCGGGGCACTGCCCCGCCTAGTCCCTAGGTAGCTACGCCACTGTCTGCAATCATTGTAATATGTGCCTGTTTACACTAGCCTTTAATTACCAACATTGTACGAGGTAAAGACTCTTAAATCTAAATCAAACTATTTTATTCTGCTCAGTCCAAACTCTTATCAGTTCATCATGGTCATCATATCCGTGAGACGCTATAACATCAGCGTACGCTGCTTTGCTGTACTTCTTCTTATAGAAGTGAAACTGGTTACAGTGCTTCGGTTTTATGCCCACTTTCTTAGCAACAATGCCTAGATATATATCGTCAAATCTAAAGTGCTTTACAAACAAACTTGCCACGTATAAAACTTTCATTGACCGATTGGACACGACGTAAGCCCCAGCAGTTATATACGGCGGCCATTTATTCCAAGGATACTCTTCCAAAGAAACTCTCCATTTACTCGTCTTAAACCTCTGCGGCGTCGACTTGAAGACGTAACCGGCAAATAGATGGTTATCTCTATCTTCCTTTCTCGTTGACACATCGTTGTCTCTTTCTGTAATCTGCTGCATTGCAGTTTGATCGTGGACATAGTCTAGTAAATTATTAACAGATATGTACATATCATCATCTGTGAATAAGTAGAAGTCAGCCGTGGAGCAATGCTCGTACAGCCAACGGAATGACATCATTGTTTTTATTGTATTGTTATAATAATTGTCATGGAAATCTATTTGGATTATATCCTTATACTGAGCCATCTCTTCATCTATACGTTTCTGTATATCTGATTTTGGGTTATTGTTTATGCCTAGGAAGAATAGGGTCTTGATTATCCTGCCTGGTATAAGGTTCTCCTGGCCATACGTCTGCCTAATAGCTGACCGGTGACCAAATTGCTGCATAGCAGACTTAACTATAATAAACAGATCTAACTTTTCTATTGTGTTGCATTTTCCCGAATTGCTGAGAAATCTATATGGGTAGTAGTTAATAGGGGAGAGTCTAGGTTTCTTTCCTGATAGTACCTCGTCGACTATAGGTTTTAGGTCGACATTTAGTGGGTAATCAAATTCTTCCTCGAAACTCTTCGAGTACAAATAATCGCCTACACCGAAGAAGTAGTACACACAAATAACTATACAAGCACACACAAACACTCTATATTTTCTAAGTCTCATCGCGGTATTATTATAGTTCATGAGATTCTTCATATTAGGCGGGACCTATAAAAAAAATACACGTATTAGCAAATATATTATATTTGATGACTACTCTAATGCTATGCTAGCCACAGCTGGCCTTTACAGCTTCATCGAACGATAGGGGGCGAGTGCAGATGGAGGACTGATGGAGTGGCTAAAGGCCAACTCCGGCCTGACGGATACGACTGTAGTGTGAGGGCACCGTTGGGGATTCGAATCTTAGCTCAGGCCGTCGTAATTTCGAACCCCGTTTGAACTGGACGGGGGATCGATCGGAGGGGATTAGCAAATGTGTGATTAGCAAAGAAAGGGGGAAAGGGGATTGTCAGTAATGTGAACTGATGATCATATTACTAGCAATGTCAAGTTGACCTCCACGCAGTTCCTCCTGGAACGTGATAAATTCTTGGTGAATTTGTCACGATGGGCCAACTGACCTGACCTCATGCTCATCTTATTATCTTTCACTGGTGCCTAGCGTAAACCGTTAGCGCAGGCGGGTCACCATTCCATTATTATTCATAAAAAATGTGTAAGAAAGAAAGAAAATTCGTTGATTTGATACACATAAAATACCAGCGATGATGTGGCACCCCGTTAGCATATGCTGAGCGCAGACGTATTTGATATTGTAATGATCCAAATTATATTTAAATATTCAACAACAAAAAGAATTTTTAAATACAACTTGGATATTGTATTCTGCTGATACCTTTATCTCAATATATATAACTCTAAGGTGACTGACTGACATAGTGATCTATCAACGCACAGCCCGAACCACTGGACGGATTGGGCTGAAATTTCGCATGCAGGTAGATGTTATGACGTAGGCATCCGCTAAAAAAGGATTTTGATTGATAATTTTACCGGCAAGGGGATAAAATAGGGGATGAAAGTTTGTATGAAACTTTGTCAATATTAAACCGATCGGGCTGAGACTTTGCATGCATAAAGCTACTATGACGTGGGCATCCCCTAAGAAAGGATTTTGATATATTCCACCACTAAGGGGATAAATTAACGCGAGCCAAGCCGCGGGCTAAAGCTAGTACATATATAAAAGGGATAAAAAGTTTTTGCATCACGTATTAATAAGATGTGTTCACTTACCCTCATAATTATTTACATTTTTTCTCAACAGAAGAATTTCAAATAAAGGGACAATACTTCTAGAAATATTATGTCGAATTAATAAAATAAAATTATTGTGATATTCATCTTTACAACCTTATAAAGACTAGTAGTCTACAGCCTACAATGAATGACTAAATCATGAGTTATCTTATCTCTGGATTGTAAACATAATTATATAGTTATGTACACTCAACTATATATGAATGAGATCACAATCTGAGCTCATTGGTAGATCAAGTGTTGGTGCAGTCGATGCCGAGATATATTGTCGATTTAATAATAATAATTGTTGGCGACCGGCCGCCGCAACCTCTTTTGATACTTTTATTATTTTTAAATCTATATTTTTAGAACAGTTCTTTTTATACGTCATGTTTTTTGATACATTTCAATTATTCTATCATTGTCTTTCGTATAGTTCTTAAAGATTATATATAGCAATTGTTCGATTAGATATTAATATATTATTATTGCAAAGATACGTGTTTTCATCATGACAAATAAATGATTATAATGGTTGTGGATCCCCTAAAAATAAATAGGTAGACACCCATACAGTCCACCGATCCATTGTAATAATAATATCCCTGAATAATTGTGAATTATGATTATTATTAGCGCCATCTAGTCCTAAGCTAAGCAGAGCTTGTGTTGTGGATCCTAGACTGATATAAATCTTATATATAAATTTCTCGTGTCACAATGTTAGTTACCATACTCCTTCGAAACGGCTTGATCGATTTTTATAAAATTTTATATGCATATTCAGTAGGTCTGAGAATCGGTTACTATTTATTTCGTACCTTAAGTGATAAGGGTTGTCCACCCCTAACACTTCTTTATTTTTAGACATTTTTTAATAATGTGGCATTAAAAAGTACATACGTCGCTAAATTTTCACCCTTCTATCACCAACTGCTATTTTTTAATAGCGATTTTAATTTATATGGCTAAACGTTTGCATATTTTTTATAATGGGATCAGCTTTACCTATCGTTATTTTTTATAGCTATTTTTTAATAGCGATTTTAATTTATATGGCTAAACGTTTGCGGAGTCAGCTAGTACCTATGTAGTACATGTATACTCATGTATGTATGTATTTAAAAATTTAGGTATTTTTGAAATACACACGTAATTTATTGATATTGACTATGATAGTATTGATGTTTCCTATGTATATTATGTATGTATTTAATTGTATTTAAAAAAAATGCTATAACTATATAAAATGCTAAACTATACTATATTTACATTAGTTAGGTAGTACCCACAATATGCTTAGAGATTAGATAGAATTTTCCAGGAATATTATTATATTTATTAATTTTTTTCTCGGCTTTCACATAGTATTGACTTGATGTTATATTGACGACCTCGGTGGTCTAGTGGTCTAGCACACCGCTTTACGTCCGATGACCGCGGGTTCGATTCCTCGCACTGCACAAACATTTGTATTCATGAGTATGATTGTTTGAATCGGTCTGGGTATTTTCTATGTATAATATGCATTTACGAAAAAATTATTTATGTATTTGTATCAGTCATCTAGTACTCATAACACAAGCTTTAGCTAGCTTAACTTGGGTCTAGATGGCGCTGTGTGAATTGTCCTGAGATTATATTATATATATACTAGCTGTACCGGCAAACGTTGTTTTGTCTTAAAATAAAAAATTAGGGGTGTACTACCCCTAACATTTAGGGGGATGAAAAATAGATGTTGGCCGATTCTCAGACCTACTCAATACGCTCACAAAATTTCATCAGAATCGGTCAAGCCGTTTCGGAGGAGTATGGGAACGAAAACTGTGACACGAGAATTTTATATATAAGAAGATATATATTTTGAGGTGAATATATGTACTATAAATATATAAATATCGGTCTAATCGGTTTGGAAAAGTTTTCTGACATTGCGGCATGTGTTTAGATTTCAGCCTTCTGTAGTTGGCAGTATATATTAGAGGGCAAGTTCAGGGTATTTATTGACTGGTGCATCTGTTTCGGTATCACACCTGTCGTTGAGAGGATGATTGGGACTATTGTTACTTTTTCCAAATATTATATTATCTGTGCTTTTTCTAAGTGCCAGAGTCGGGTCATTTTAGTTTGTAATTCTTTATATTATCTTATTATTATTATTAATTAAACTGATAAATAATAATACAAAATATACTCAGTTGAATAATATATTCATAGATTAATATAAATAGTTAGAAAATGTAGAATAAACATTAAATATAGGTAATACTGCATGCTCGGAATATAGATAAGTAGGTAAAACACCTAGGTTTTAATATGCCTTTGATCTTGTCTGCCGCTCCTTTGCCTGGTGAGCGATGACTCAGATACAGGGCCCCTAAAACAAAGTCTAAACTTAGTACGTCACTTCCAGGACAACAAACAAAAGCAAAGGCATATTTATTCCCGATAATAAACGCGCGAAATTTAAAACTTGTTAGTACAGTCGGACAATATTATTTATTTTTAAATTTTATTTTTAAATTAATACACATTATTAATATATAATAGTACATAACCCCCAGTCTCTCAACGTTTCAACTACAACCAATAGTCGTGGTCATGCTGACCGAAGTAAAAAAAAATACCTTTATATATACATATAAATAAAATTGGAGTGTGTTTGTAATAATGAAATAACCGTTTTTTACTACATGCATATGAATATAAATACGGTACATATACATAATAACATTTTTTACAATTTTTGTCTGTCTGTTTGTTTAGGCTAATCTCTGAAATGGCTGGACCGATTTTGATGAGACTTTTTTTGGCAGGTAGCTGATGTAATAAGGAGTAGTTTCTCTGCGTGATCTGAGGAAATCCGCAGAAGAACCAGAGTGACCGGCTGCGACTTTTATTTTAGAAAACGAAAGTTAAACCGACGATCTGGTTCCACGCGGACGAAGTCGCGCGAGTGGACGATGATGATGATGATGATGATAGTTTACCATAAAATTATTCATGTTAAAATCCATTTACGTATATTAATATTGACAGAAGACATTGATGTAACTTACCAATATTTATAAAGATGTGTCTACATTGGAGCTGATGGACACAGGAGGTAGATAATGGCTTCGGATTCTCGAGTGGAGTCGGGCTACTTCACTATCACTCTCCATGTCGCGAACCATCTGTGTGAATTGCACAATTCCTGAAATTTAAAGATTGAAATTAAAATACACAGTTAAGACAAATAGTACATACAAAAAATGTATGTAACAACCTATAGCAAATGTATGTATCCATGAACCAAATATTTGTCTCCTGTTACCATCGACAGGGAATTCATCCTCACACGCTGGAACCTAAGTGGTCTCGGACTGTGCCATTTCAGAGGAGCTTCCTTTGTATCTTCTTCTTCTATATTAATAGGTACGGTAGACTCGACGAAACCTTATGTGAATAATGAAAACATAAAAAAATATTGATTTCGAGTCGACAACATATATCCGCAAAATTCGGATTATGGAGTATTACGTTAAATTCTAATGACACTGACCAACAAACCGCAGTCGCCATCTTTTCATTTCACTAGCATTTTCGTCGGTCGTTGACGTTTCGCGTAAATATTGTTTTTGACACTTTTTTATGATAAAAGAGTATGTGTTTTTTCTTTAAACCTGAAATTGGCCGATTGCGAGACAAATTTGTCATTTTTTTTTAATAATCTGTTTAACGATCTGGATACAAGCCAATTTTACCATAACTTGAAGTTTTACAAAAAAATAAAAATTATTTGAAAGAAAGAAAGAAAGAAAGAAAGAAAATTATTTATTTGGTACACTGAAAAATTTGTATAAAAACTTTTGCACTTTTTATTTACTATATTTATTAAACACAATGAACGAAGCTTTACAAATCTATGCTTTCTTTTAATATTCCATGAGAACCGATATATATATACTACAGAAATATCTATCCACATTTCACCCGAGCGAAGCTGGGTTTTCATCTAGTACATTTATATTGTAGAATCATCTACCTGCCGAGGTTTTCTCTAGTGATTACAGTATGGGGTTTTCCAAAATGGGTATATTAAGGTTTTTTAAGGCTTGTCAATGCGCCTAACACCTTTGGTGTTTCCGGTTTTTTCGGACTATTCTAATGCTGTGGCCACAGCTGGCCTTTACAGCTTCACCGGACGTTAGAGGGCGAGTGCAGATGGCACTCCAAACCCGCGGAAGCACTTATGGAGCGGCCGAAGGCCAACTCCTACCTGACGGATACGACTTTAGTCTGAGGGCACCACTAGGGTTTCGACCTCGGCTTGGGCCGTCGTAATTTCGATCCCAGTTTGAATTGGACGGGGAATCGATCGGAGGGGTGGTTTTTCAAGTGTCTATAGGCTATGGTAACTGTTGTAACTGGCTAATCAGAAATGGATTTTTTATTCTAAATTTGTATTTGAATTTATAGTTGTTTAATTTCACATTCTTGTTTGCTACATCACTTTTTTCATTCTGTTATGTCAATGCTATTGGAATATATATTTTCTCTATATACCAAATCTTTTTCCTTTTATCTATATACATGAATAAAATAAAACTATAACAGTAACCATTTACAGTTTAGCTGTATGTTTGTTTGTCACCATCACAGTACATTAAAAGACACATCATCAGTGTTGTCATCATCATCATAATACCTTCTCTAGAGTTGCTGAAACCATGCCTCTTGATAGTCTCCATTTCAACCTGGACAACCATGGGGAAAACAATCTGCATCATCTTCAACATCTCATTGCCAGCTGTTTCCTTTGCTTCATCCAGCTTCGGAGCATAGTCGGCAGACTCCAATGCTTCTACCACTTCCGTGAGGATTTTACGTATCTGATCTACTGTCACATTTTGAGGTGAAGCCATTGCATTAAGTTGGATAATGCATTTAGAACCTGAAATTTAAAGTATACGTATTCTTAAGGATCTAAAAATATAATGTATGTATATTATTTACTAGCCGACCCCCACAATTTTGTCTGCGTTTGATTTCCTCACCTTTTGCAATATCTTTAATTGCAGCTCCGCTCCTATTGGCCGTAGCATAATGCTATATAGCTTAAAGCCTTCCTCGACCAATAGACTATCCAACACAATAAGAATTTTTCAATTCAAACCAATAGTTGCTGAGATTAGCGCGTTCAAACAAACATACTCTTTAGCTTTATAATATTAGTACAGATGAAACCCTTAGATACAGTAATAATACTAATTAAAATATCTATTCATGTAGGTCTATTATAGACTCTTATGAACTAAATTACCATTAATTCAAAGTGCTTTCAAGCTAAATATAACTGACAATAAACTCATCTCTTAGTTTTTATTACAGACAAGTGAGGCAGTAAGGTAGATAGATTAATTAGAAAAGAAATTGTGTAAGATAATAATAAAAGCAGCATATCAGATAGATCCGATAGAGAAAGAGGACTACAGATGGTGGAGTATGTTTCTATGAAATCATAGTTTTGTTTACAATTATATTAATATGCATCTCTTATGCCATAATGAGGTTCATTGGCACATTTCTTATTAAGGTTAAAATTATTATTTGTTTCTTCTTTATCCCATTCATTTTGGGTCAGCGTAATATTTACTTTTAAACTTTTGTGTTTAATATACATTATTTAAATTATTAACCGTTTCTTAACACGAATATTTTATGGCGAATAAAGGACTGACTGACCATGTCAGCTCGTGACCACGGCTAGTGCATATTTGCCATAAAATATTTGTGTTAAGACCCGGTTAATAATTTAAATCAGCGTAATATGTTCTAAAATAAAATTATATACACATTCCCTCTCACCACACTCACAAATGGTCTAATGCATACTTAGGCAATTCTTTATTGCATATTTAGAAATGTACAGCTCAGCATCTCTTAATCAATGATTAGTAACAATTAATGACATTTAATTTTTGAGACAGGCTAACCCTATCTTTCCTAATGATAAATGTTGACCTTCATTTTCAGAATATTTTGAGTTGGATTTCATTTTTTAATTTGTTATGAATAAAATTTATAAGGTGCATCTTGCATACCCAAAGTGAATGTATTAAAGAAAATAATTAATTATTATTAGAAAATTATTATAATAAATAATATAACTTTTCGTCATCTTTATGTTATCTATGGTCAGGTTAATGATCACTATATTTACCTTTTTATTCAATTCTATTGTAACAGGTCCATGTTACAGTATTATATATAGTACACATGACTCACTCCTGTATGAATGTTACACATGTATGTTTTAGCTATAGTATAGTATATATTAATCAATCAATATTTTTTTAATATATTTATAATAAATAAAAAACAAAACTTTCCTCTTAACAATAAATTTGGATCAATGCAAATAAATTACAATACCTGTGGTGTAATTTTAAATAGAGTAGACAGAATCAAAAATATGCTCTGAGTCAATACACTGCTAACTCGTACAATCATTTTAATTAAAAGCAATTGTATGTATACAATGATTGTTGATATGTCAGAAATAGCCTTGTATTGAAGTGACAAATGTAGCTTTTAATAGATTTTGACTACACACATAAATAAGGTATACACTAGCGGGGCACCAGTAAAACATGATCTGATGAAGATGTAGTCAGATCAGTTAGCTCATCACTGTAAATTCACCAAAAGAGTCATCACAAGTTTCCGGTAGAACCGCATGGAGGTCATCATGATTGCTACCATACATGGTTAGTTTGTGGAAGTATACCTATTTTATATTAAAGTAAAGTAGGACATCGTATCTTTTCTCCCATGCTATATTTTAAGGTTAAATTAACTAGACTACTTACCTAACGTATTTAGTTCATCTTCGTAACAGTCATCTCAAATAATGACTAACTCTACAGCAGAAAATGAAACCGTACCAACAAGGAATGTTTTTTTAATATAATAGGTTAGGTATTTAGTTTAAGTAGACAAAATTATTGTTTGTTTTATTATTAACACAAGTTATATGCATTAAGCCTGTGTACAAAACAAAAAAGGAACACACAAGAATTATAAAAATAGTTAAAAAAATAAGCAATATTAATTTTCAACTACAATGCGTACAGATCAGAAAAACTAATTTGGCCTCTGTGTATTTGTGTATTATTTTTTTCGAAACATATTCTCAATTTATTAGCAAATGTCTAACTTATTAGTAAGTTCATAAGTTAAAACGTGACAAATATATATCAGTCAGTTTAGTCCCACTTATAGTTCGAGTATATTTACTTTACTCTTTGGTTCGATATCTATGCCGTTCTTGTTCTGAGGTTTTTGATTTGAGTCTGCATGTGCAGCTTGTGTCACTTTGTTATTGTCAAAACTGACTTATTGAAGTTAATAATGTCAACAGTCCGAGGTGAAAAGAGGAACTTGTGTTTAAATCGTAAACTCACCTGTGTTTAATTAATTTGTTTATTTACTTTAAAAAAAATCGATATTGTGCTCAAATGAAACAAAAAATCTAAATGTAACGTTATATTTTCGAGAAAGTATTTCATAATTATTATTTTACAATGATTGTGATAGTTTTTAGTAGTTGAGAAGTTTATTTGTTAACCCGTTGATTCTATTTTTGGATTCTCCTTATTCCAGCTGAGCTGTTATCACTTTTATAGGAAAATATTTGTTGTTATTGTTAAGTACGACGGACATTTCAGCGTTGAGGTATTTACATTTTTCTTTTTTACTTTAGTACATATATAATTTGGAATCATTTTTATTTAAATATACACCTTATTTACTAATAATTATGCCCGAAAATGAGTACATTATGAACAGGCAGTAAACTATGAAATGCCAAAGGAATTATATTTTTTATTACTGATAATGATATTGTGTTTACGTATGTGTTAATGGTGTAAGTTGTAGGGACATGAGTCAAAGATAATAGGAAAAAATAAAATTTAATTAAGTCACTTTTATTGTTTGACACTGTTTCACCAGGTAGGTATTTAACCACTATGGTTTCAAGGAAGGGCTGCCTTTAGGTAGTTACTATCTATTGTTTGTAGATTTTAAATTATATATTTTTTTCTGTATATTTTGTAAATTAAATAGCAACACTTCAAAAATTAATTTCTGATTTTATGATAAACTTTAGAAAGTTTTATTTTTTGGTATATGGTTGTCTTGAATTTTACTTCCATATATAAAATACTAAACTTGATAGGACTTGCAATTAACTGAATAAAGGTATAGAATGATTTTATTTTTTTGTGGAATAAATTCAATATTGTAACTGTAAAATATTAAAAAAATTCGATAGAGTCAATAAATTCTAAGTTTAACTTTATTTTTATCAATATTTATAGATTTTTTTCTATGGAAGTTAGTATTATTTTTTTATTTGGATCGAAATTACGACTGCCTGAGCCGAGGTTCGAACCCCCTAGCGGTGCCCTCAGACTAAACTCGTAACCGTCAGGCCGTCCTTTCGCGGGTTTGGAGTGCCATCTGCACTCGCCCCCTATCGTCCGGTGAAGTTGTAAAGGCCAGCTGCGGCCAACAGCATTATATTAATAATAAAAAAGCCCTTTATTCTAAAATGTACAAATATTTCCAGTATAATATACAAATTGTTTTTATTTTGTTTTTGTAATATATCTCTCAGTTCAGTGTGCCTTTTGGCATATGCCTCCTCCAGCGATCCTAACCTTCCATTGATTCCTATCCTGTGCAACTCTTGTACAATTTTTTTTCTATTCTTTATTGTACAAAAACAGATGTACAAAAGGTGAGCTTAATGCTACAGGGCATTCTGTACCAGCTAACCTTTAGGTACAAATAGAAAGCGTTGTAGGACAGTAGTGACGAAAAACTGTGACAACAAAACCTATAATAGATATATAAATATATTATACAAATAAATTATACATAAATAAATAAAAATAATATGTATGATATAGATTAAAAAAATACACAGAATAAAATAATATATACACAATAGATATAAATGTGATATATAATGTACATATATATAAATATACATATATGAATATAAATACTCTTAATTCAACACGAAACAGTTTTTTTATGGATGATAATGGAATGGTACACCCGCCTGCGCTAACGGTTTACGCTGGCGGGGCACCAGTGGGGGATGATAAGATGAGCATGAGGTCAGGCCAGTTAGTCCAGCGTAACAAATTCACCAGGAATTTATCACGATGGTTTCCAGGGGGAACCGCGTGAAGGTCAACCTGATGTAGTACATTGCTAGCAATGGGGTCATCAGTCCACATTACTAACAATTCCCTTCCCCTCTCAACGCCAAACAGTTATAGCTCATTCTGGCGATTCAGTAGGTAGTTAAAAACATTTTGTGCCCACAGTCGACAAACAACCAATGGCATTAGGGTCTGAAAAATCATATTTATAAATTGTTACATGGCAATCTATTTACAGATGGAGAAGATGGAGGATATAGAAATGGAACCAGCTGGTCCAGCAGGCGCGACCATCAGGCGTACTATGACCCAGCGGAGCAACACGGCGCGCCAACTGGCCGTCAACTTTATGCCGTCACGTCAACTACCTCATGGTGAGCTTATTTATAACTAGCTGTTCCTGCGACTTCGTCCGCGTGGAAATTAACTTTATTTTTTTAAAATAAAAGTAGCCTAAGTTACTGCTTATTACATCAGCTACTTGCCAATAAAAGTCCCGTCAAAATCGGTCCAGCCTTTTTAAGAGATTAGTCGAAACTAACAGATGTCTGTCTGGTTGTTTTGGCTACAGACAAAAATTGTAAAAAATGTTATTTTTCCACCATCGTGTGGCAGCATGGGAAACTCCTAGCAGTTTCCGGAATTTGTGATCTAGGTGTAGGTTTAAGGGGCCCATTTGCACTTTCCACTCCCTGCCCAGACAAATCTGATAGGAGCCTGCTAGTACAGCTTTAGATACACGTTCTAGTATAGTATATATGTATATATACACACAAGATCTTTTTAGAAGATTGTAGAGAATTCGATGGTATACCTCTCGCTCCCACTTCGACTGCAATTAAATTAACCACAGCCATTTTGTTTATTATTTCGGAATATTTATTTTCATATAATCTTTAGGTATATTTGTTTCCCATTGTAGTTAGATCTACCAGTATCATAATCATTACATAGTATAAAACCAAGTCGCTGTCGCTGTCTGTCCGTCCCTATGTATGCTTAAATATTTAAAACTACGCAACGGATTTTGAAGCGGTTTTTAATAGATAGTGTGATTCAAGAGGAAGGTTTATATGTATAATACGTGTACACCCGTGCGAAGCCGGGGCGAGTGGCTAGTAGGTATATAATAATTTGTTTCGTATTTGGTCTGTTTGTATCTAACTATATGTTCAAAATCTACCCTGTAACATCGTAAGCACAGATTATTATATTAGAGTCCGTTAGTTTTCTGTTCCCGCGCCTTTGCCTCCCCTCCCTTAACTAGTACTGAACCGACTGTACGGCGGCCATGACGCGCGCGCATTGTGTTGTGAATTAAAATAAATTAGAACTGTGAAACCTACTGTGAAACTGGAAAGCTAGCGAAGATATCTTCGAGACCCTGAAGCCCAAGAAATCCGCAGAACCATACAGGTACGAGACTGACGCTTCCACTCATTTTTCACTATATATATACAGAGAGTAAATTCCCTAACATTTTGGTAGCAGAGTAGTTTCCCAAACACTATAAAATATTTACCATATTATCTGTTCTAATCAAATGTACCAATATGAAACAGACTCTAATTGCATTAGTATTACTCAGTTTTAATTATCTGCCGTGAATAAACTGCCAGTGCATTTTAAACGGTTGTTAACAGTAAACGTGCGTTGTGAATTGAATGTGACAATAAAAACAGAAAAACCTATGTAAATAGTGTTCAAGCTATAACCCTTTTTGAAGAAAACTAAAGCCTATATAAACCCAATAAAGAATAGTTTTTGATATTATCATCCGATGATTAGTTGAATAGCAAAATAAGGGGTTTTGATGGTTTAAAAAATAAATCGGAAAGTATTTTATTAGTGTACAGAATAATTGTGGATGCTTTTATAGTTCTCGAATATTCCCAAGGATTCGACAGTCCTTCTCAATCCCTGGAAGAAAATATGTTTAGAAAATAATAGCATTATGTACTGTGGAGAAAATTCTCGAAATAACCTTACGCGGCAGAATTGGCACTTAGGATTTTCAAGGTTTTGAAATGAAATGATATTTATTCTGTAGATGTTAAAAAACTAAAACGCATTAAACAAACAAAACTCATTGCAACAATTACAGAAAAGAAGTACATTTACCATTTATTGTTATAAAATTACAAATTATGTGTGTGCGTGCATACGTATGTTTGTGGAAGCATCTATCGAATAGGTCCATGCTCAGCATAATGCTGCAGCGGCTGGAGCGCTGCAACGCTGTTTTTCAGCACAAGACCAAATGCACGTTTTCATGGCTCGGTAGTAATATTAATTGTCTCTTCCAATATTTTTAATTATTAAATCTTTTTTTCTCTATCTATCTATCTATCCCTTAAGAATCATATAGTGTGTATTGTTTGATAGACAGCGCATATATATCTAATATTAAAAAAATATCAACATATATATATTTTTTAATAGAACGTTATAAAGAAGCCTATTTTCTTTAATACTAAAAAAGGGACTGAACTCGCACCATCGGAAGTAAGGTTTAACCACTGGACCGCTGAGGCCGTCAGTGTTTGTAATTGTATTGTCATGACATAATTATATGCATCTAGTTCATGATCCCGATTGAATACAAACGGAATCAATTTTTCACCGTCAAATAACTTTTTCCTTTAAGCCGTATAACAAGTATCTGAGTCGAAGTGGTATGTGTAATATACTACTCATTATGAAAATGGATCGGTGCTGTCCATTGTTATAGTTTGTAGTTTATAATAAAAAATAATATTCTTTATTATTACCGTCCTTGACTCCGATTTATAGTTAACTTTATAATTAACTCTTATTTTATAAGTTACTAGGTACTCGCCCCGGCTTCGCACTGCTGTATATATATTATATATATAAACCTTCATCTTGAGTCACTCTATCTATTAAAAAACTTCTTCAGAATCTGTTGCGTAGTTTTAAAGATTTAAGCATACATAGGGACGGACAGACAGCGACAGTGACTTTTTTTTATACTACGTAATGATTAACGTCCTTGACTCTGATTTACAGTTTACTTTTTCGTAAACTGTAAATCGTATAAGAGATTATTGTAATCGTTTACTGAATGCTATAGAGTAACTAGTGTATCACCTACAGAGGTAATGCACTTCCGATCGTTTACAGAGTGCCGAGTAACTAGTACGTTACCTATACCGAGATATATCGTGCTTCTGATCGTTTACCGAGTGCCGAGTAACTAGTACGTTACCTATACCGAGATATATCGTGCTTCTGATCGTTTACCGAGTGCCGAGTAACTAGTACGTTACCTATACCGAGATATATCGTGCTTCCGATCGTTTACCGAGTGCCGAGTAACTAGTACGGTACTTATACCCAGATTTATCGTGCTTCTGATCGTTTACTGAGTGCCGAGTAACTAGTACTAGTAGTAGGTACCTATACCGAGGTACTTACTTCGGAATTTATGTAGTTACTTAGATTTACTTTTTATTAGTAACGTAACAGATCTTGTTTTAGTACCTAGTACGCTATTTGTAGATGTTTTATATAGTGTCAAGATAGTGTATAAGATTACACTGTATATAGATAAGCAACTTATCACACATCGGTTGACAAATATTTTTCGACTCTGCAATTTATTGTATACCAACTACTGCTGCTGCTTCTACGAGACATATATATAATGGATTCAATTCTTTATGTCCGAAACCTAATAAAAGGTATGTTTGGATTTTATCATATACAATATATCATCAGCGAATTAAAAAAATTTAATCAGACATAAACCAACTTTGAATGACTGATGGTCGGTGGATGGTAGTACTTTTATACTGACTAACTATAATTGTGCTGCATGCCGTCGGCCCAGTAAAAATGTAACAAAATTATTAATTTTGAGTTTCACTTCTAATACTAGCGAGCGTACACCGATAGCGCAACCGCTGTATTGAAAGGAGATCCAATATATAACCACATAAGTAAAAAAAATAAATAAAAAAAAAAACGGACGTGTACGATTTAGAATCGTACATTACCTCCTCACAATTTATTTATTTCTCATCACAAACATCGTACAACGGCACATTGGGAACTACATGTAGTACTTTGGATAATAAATTTTTCGCTTTTTACATTTACATATGTCCTCAAAAATCTGTTCGTATGTATTTATTTTATTTATTTATTAGAAAACCAACAGCTTACAATCTAATACATTAATCAACAGTACATACCTAGAGAAATCCAATAACAGGTTTTCAGTGATTTAGCAAAAGAAAATAAAACAGAACGTGGCAAACAGAATAAGGAGTAATTTAAAAGTACAAATCAAATATTATAAATTTCACAATATATAACACTAATAGAACAATTTTAAGAATAACTACAAAGAATAAGAATTACAAATATTATAATATTATCTGAATTAGAAGTCACTTGTGTGTGTGTGTGTGTATCTGTAAGAAAGAATGTGTGTGCATGTGTATAATTAAAGTGTATGAAGTTAACTATAGGTTGTGATTAAGATTAAGAATATGAAAGAGTTTCGTTTTATATGTGTTTTTGGAATACATTTTTAGAAATGTAGTTATTAGTAATGGCTCGCGTGCATGAATCATTAAGTAGTTTAAATGTAGTTTTGTTTATTAGTATTTTTTTTATAACACAGGGGACAAACGAGCATGCGGCTCACCAGATGGTAAGTGAATACCGCCGCCCATGAGCACCCGCAACACCAGGGAAATTGCAAGTGCGTTGTCGGCCTTTTAAAAAGGAATAAGCTCTTGAAGGTTCCAATATCGTATCGGTTCGGAAATACCATTGCTGGAAGGTGATTCCACAATGTGGTTGTGCGAGGCAAAAAGTTTCTAGAAAACTGCACTGTGGAGGACCGCCATTCATATAGATGATCAGGATGATTATCTTATCATGGTGTCTTTAGCAGTAAGAAGACACCACATTAATTTCTATTTTAAAAGATCTGATGTTCGTGATACATGAATGGTCATATATCACGAACATCAGATTGTACATGCATATACATATATATATACATGTATATAAATGACTGTAGCCAGTTTCCATGAGGTGGCCCCTCAGCCTGTATTATTCCAGTTCTATAAAGAATAATGTGTATATTTTAGGCACAGTGCGGCAAAGAAGATCAAATTCCGAACGCAATGCTCTTCTCGAAGATGTCAGTGTCACGGCTGACCCAGCTGACCAGCAGGTCGACATCATCGTCCATGAGATGGAACAGCATCACCGTCTTATGCAAAACAATCCTTTCTCCGAGGAGTTGCGTAGGTAAGATTTCCTTAACTCTTAGAGTAGAGCATAATAATAATATCTCAGGACAATTCACACAGCGCCATCTAGTACCAAGCTAAGCAGAGCTCGTGTTATGGGTACTAAACAACTGATATAAATACATGGATACATTTTTGTAAATAAATATCAATCATATTCATGAATACAAATGTTTGTACCGTGCGAGGAATCGAACCCGCGACCATCGGTTAGTAAAGCGGTATGCTATACCACTAGACCACCGAGGCTGTCAAGCGTGTAAGAAAGATATTATTTTGGTATTCTGAGCAGGAAAGTTCCGGTTTTTAACATAGTTACCAGATTCCTTCAGGTAAGTGTCGGCTTATTTAATAAAAATAACTATAGCCTGTAGATATCTCATCACATTTGACGGCCTCGGTGGTCTAGCGGTTTAGCACACCGCTTTACTTCCGATGGTCGCAGGTTCGATTCCTCGCACGATGCAAACATTTGTATTCATGACTTTAACCGTTTGTATCGATCTGGGTGTATTCTATCTGTTGTTATATATAATATGGCGCTGTGTTAATTGTCCAGGGTTATTTATTTATTACTATTATTATCATACCGGTGTTGATGTATAAAGTCGGATGGGAAACACTTGAATGGTTCCTTAATGTACACGAACAGCACCAGCGGAAACCACGGTATCAAGTGTAAGAAGCACTAATTATGATACAGACTTAGGCTTTGATGCCAGCTACCGGATGAGAAACCCCAAATGGCGCCCGTGACTTGTGACACGGGTGTAGGTTTAAAAGGCCCCTTTAGAATGCATTAACACTAACCTTCACTACTTGCAGCTTCCCCCCAGGCCCAACTAAGACCGGGATAAACCTATTTCTAATTCAATTCACTTTAGTATCCAAAACACAACCGGCACGCTCTGCGCTTATTGACTGAATGCCGCGGCTCACCCAACGAAAGAGGTTTATTCAACTACCGACCTCCGTATTTATAGACCGAAGTCCGTGTAGTAGGGATAGAAGCGGGGGTAACACATATCGTATGACAAACAACTTAGTTCGGTCTATAAATACTAGATGGCGCTATTTACAATATTTGTACTAAACGCAAACTACCTTCTAATATCTTTTGAAATATCAGATTTGTGTGAACTCTAACACAAGTGAGGCGCTTATTGATAACACTAGTGCGTTATCATCCCGGAAGACTACGATTTTCACATGGAGTGCACTGTAAATTCACTGTCATATCTTACCTTCTATGTACTTGTTATCGCTAGCTCCGAATATAGATGGCGCTGGAAGCAAGCACCAACGCCAAAGCAGTATTAATTATTAAAATTACCCGCAGTTGTAATATTGTGAAACTAGATGTCGCTAGCGGCGCACTCGTCCCCACTAATACTACTTTACCTATTTTTAAAATCGTTGAAGAGAAAGGTTTAACAGTAGACTCCAAGTTTGTTGCATTATATTCGAAGATTGGTATTAAGATATAATTATTACAGACAAGTTTCTATAGATACAACATATCCTTATAATTGTTTAATGAATATGATTAAAAAACTAGATAATTAAATATAATAATTATACCTAAATTTATTAATATTTACATTAGAAACTTTTAGAATTAAAATCAAACGTGAATAAATAACTATATATATCTTTAATGTGTTTACTCTCTGTTATACTAAAACTTAGCTTACAAAGCAATCCTCTGATTGGTGGCAAAAGTAGGTGATATTGATGATCAATCCTAACTTTTTTTTTTAATTTAGGGACTTTTGTACAAACCTTTCTAAGTGAACAGTTTTGTCGTAAAATAGGAGTTGTCAGTTGTAAAATAGGAGTTGTCAGTTGTAAAATAGGAGTTGTCAGTTGTAAAATAGGAGTTGTCAGTTTTAAAATAGGAGTTGTCAGTTGTAAAATAGGAGTTGTCAGTTGTAAAATAGGAGTTGTCAGTTGTAAAATAGGAGTTGTGTGGTGTAACATTTTTTGGTACATCTTTCAGGGAGGCACTGCGTGATCTGCCCCAAGGTCTGACAATGAAGCGACATGTCCGAGCCAAACTGTCCGCTTCAGTCAGCATGCGTTCTCAAACTCGGCCCATTTCGTTTTTTAAGCGGCTCAAGTATAGAACAAGTTTTGCTTTCAAGAAGGTCAGTATTACGTATTTTCAGTAAGGTTTTTAACAATCTATACATATATACATATAAATAAATTTGGAGTGTCTGTTTGTAATGTTGAAATAACCGTTTTTAAAATTTTTTGTCTGTCTGTCTGTTTGTTCCGGCTAAACTCTGAAATAGTTCCAGCTAAAATGATTCTGATAGCCTAGTTAAAATAATTCTGATATTAAAAAACACTTCCAAAGAAGGAAACTTATGTAACAAAGAAGACACAAATCATACTAAACTCTTTAATTATATAATTTTATTCACAACTAGATGTACACGCGGCTTCGTCCGCGTGGAATATAAGTTTATTTTTCTATAATTACGGTAGCATAACTTACTCCTTATTACATCAGCTACCTGCCAATAAAAGTCCCGTCAAAAGAGATAAAGCCATTTCAGAGATTAGCCGGAACAAACAGACAGACAGACATTAATGGTAAAAAATTGTTATTATGATGTATGTACCGTATTTATATATGAATATCATGTAGTAAAAAACGGTTATTTCAATATTACAAACGGACACTCCAGTTTTATTTATATGTATAGATTACATTATTTTATTTATTATGTTAAAAAAATTACCCACAGCTCCGCGAACGTCTGCGAAACCTGGTGTTCTACATCGGGCTGTGGTACAAAGCCATCAGGAACATCGAGGGTCACTTCGGGTCCGCAGTCGGCACATATTTCTATTTCCTCCGCGCCCTGTTTGTCTTGAACGTGCTCATGATGCTGCTGGTGCTCGCGTTTGTGGTGATCCCTCAATCTCTTCACGATCGACACGCTAATACTACTATAGTAAAGGATAGCTTGGACTTTATCAGTGGAAAGGTAAGATAAATTCATAATAATGTTAAAAAACTAGCTGTTCCCGCGACTTCGTCCGCGTGGAATTTAACTTAATTTTTCTAAAACAAAAGTAGCCTAAGTTACTCCTTATTACATTAGCTACCTGCCAAAAAAAGTCCCGTCAAAATCGGTCCAGCCATTTCAGAGATTAGCCCGAACAAACAGACAGGCAGACATAAGTATCTCAATGGATCTTTGGCGAATCCAGTATCGAAATTGTGAGAAAGGTAATGTCAAGAGCGGGAGGGGGCCTGCTACCTCCATGCCTGATCCACTTCTCGCCAACTCATCCGCGGCATCATTCCCATATGATCCACTGTGCCCTTTTATCCACTGGATGGTTACACCGTTGTGCTCTGCAACTTTATCCATGATATTGTGATATTCGATTATTAATCTGTTGGTCGATTTCCTGTTCTGTAGTGCTTTTAGCACTAACACCGCATAGCTCGTTTGTCCCCTATGTTATATAAAAAAATGGCAATGCACACTGCATTGCCATTTTTTATGCGTAATGTAATGATGTGATATCACATCTATTTTTTTTATTGGGTTGTTTGGGCTATTGTCAGGTGCCTGTAGCACCTGTAGCACTGCGACCTACATAGGTCTATTGTGCTCGCCCTTTTTCAGAGTTCGCTACTTAGACTCGTCAGGGACAAGAATTGAAGCATATTCTTAGGAGCGATGGTTTTTATCTCCTCGGGAAAGTGTGTAAACTTTCCAAAGGAGATATTTCGTTTATGCATGAGTGGGCTACAACCACATAGGATGTGAAGCGGCGTTTCCTCTTCAGTTTGGCAGAATCTGCAGATACTTGTCGTGCATAGTATATATATGAGTGAGGATTTATCTTTTCGTGAACATATCGTAGGGATATGTCGCAGATCATACAGATCTCTAGGATTTGTGCTGAGGCAGGCCCAACATCTGAATAGTGTTGAAGCTATCAAAATTTTGTATAATGCTTACGTTAGGAGTATTTTAGAAAGTAACGCTATTGTATGGAATCCACACGAGACAAAATATTCAATGATGATTGAAAAATTGCAAAAAAAGTTTATAAGATGGTTATACTATAAACAATACGGTTATCGAGTAGGTTATCCACATATATATCCGAGCACTTTCTTGTTAGGTATGGTGGGATATAGAGCCCTCGAAGTGAGACGAAATATATCACTCCTGGAGTTCGTATTCAAAATTATCAGAGGAATAAGATATAATCCAACTATATTGGGCCTGATCAGCTTTCACGTCCCAGAACTTGGAAAGCGTAATCGTAACTACAATTTATTTGCCCTGCCCCTGTGTAGAACCTTAAATGCTGATCATGCACCACTCTCAAGAGCACTCCGTCTGCTTAATGAGTTATATATATTTTTTCCACTTGACATATTTAATTGTACTGCCACAGAGTTTCACAGAGCGGTAACAAATTTTGTGGAGTCTCAGTATTAGTATATTTCTAGATTATTGATATTATTGTAATTAGTTGCTGTTTTTATTTTTTATATTTCATTATTTTTAATTTTTTTTTTCTTTTTTTATGACCTTATTGTCATCACTAGTATTAATATTAATATACGTATTGCATACGTTTTATCCCTTGGTGAGTGCATTGGTATTGTACTGTAATACTCACTGAGAGCATGTAATTTTATAAATAAATAAATAAATATCACATCATCATATATATAGACAACGGTTCCTGCTTAGTATTAGGTGGCTCGTACTCGTAGTACCTTTTAGATAGATAGAAACGCTTTTAGCACTAAATAACACTGTGTTATAAAAAAATGGCTACACATCCCTTGTGACTGTATGCATAAGTAGGCATAAACGAAATATCTCCCTTTTTTTTTATACCACGTAGGTTGCAATCAAGCATACGGCCCATCTGATGGTAAACGGTTACCGTAGCCTATGGACGCCTGAAACACCAGAGGAGTCACATGCGCATTGCCGACCTTAATATACCCTTCTTGAAAAACCCCATGCTGTAGTCTCTCGAGAAAACCTCGACAGGTAGTTCATTCCACAATCTCAAATCAAGGGGAAGCTCCTCTGAAACCGCACTGTCCGAGACCACTTAGGTTCCCTTGGAGAGTGTACACTATCCTGAAGAGATAAAAACCATCGCTCCTAAGAATGTCCCTCAACTCATGTACCTGACGGGTCTATGTAGCGAACATTGAAAAAGGGCGAGCACAGTAGATCTCTGTAGGTCGCAGTGCTACAGCCCTAAAGCAGTCAATAGCCAAAATCTGAGGGAAGGGGATTGTTAGTAATGGGGACTAGTAATCCCCAATGTACCATGTTAGGTCGACCTCCACGCGGTTCTTCCTGAAAACCATCATGATAATTTCCTAGTGAATTTGTCACGATGGGCTAACTGTCCTGACCTCATATTCATATCTTCCACTGGTGCTCCGCTAGCGTAAACCTGTCATTCATTATCTTCCACAAAAAAAAAAAATAGCTGAAACCTCTCAATAAAAAAACTGTATAATAAAATTGATTATTTACAGGGCATGTTGGAACATACGCTGCTGTTTTACGGCCACTACCACACGGGCGTGCTGGCTGCCGGCGGCCCGCTGCCTTACGACATGTCGTTCGCTTACTTCTTCACAATGCTGGCCGTGTATCTGCTGATATTCACCATACTCTGTTACAGGTGAGTATTATTGTGCCATGAATAGAAAATCATTTATTCAAATAAACTTAATTTAAGCACTTTTGAATAGTCATAACAATTTGTTTTTTATCTACCACTCGTTCGGAAAGCTGTCTCATCACAAGAAAAACAAGCAAGAAACTTGTGTGTTGCACTTTTAAATAATCGTTGTAAGTATACATTTACAAGTCGAAACGTGTGAATACAAACTACCAACAAGCACAAATTTTTGGGTCAAATATAAATATGCAATAAGATTAAATCAGTCGTAGTGATAAGAGCAGACCAGTCCCTACAAGCAGCACTCGTTTCACGAGTATGACGGATGAGCCAGCCATCACTGCGCTCGACCATATTTTAGGGAGCCCAAATACCACCACGCCGCCACATGTCTGGACATTTTAGTGAGCATGACTACTCATTCCACTCGACCACGTCGTCATGAGTATTAAACATCCATCCATACTCATAAACTTTCGCGTTTTTAATATCCAAGATGAAGGTTCCACAATGTCGTTCGTGGCAAAAACCGCACTGTGGAGGACCGCAATTCATCCAGATGATCAGGATGCTATTTTAGTTTCTGGCGGGTGGTACGGTGGTAAACTCAGTAGTTGGTATTAATCCGAACAAGTTCTGAGAATACTCCCCGTGATATATGCGGTACAAAATGCACAGAGATGCAATATCTCGCCTCAGAGACAATGGGTCGAGTCTGTCACATAGACGTTGATTACCAATGATTCCGGCTGCTCGGTTCTGAATGCGGTCAAATGGAAGTAACTGGTATTGTGGTGCTCCCGCCCAGAGATGAAAACAGTATTCCATATGCGGCTGGATTTGCGTCTTGTATAATTGCAAGCGATGGGCCATCGTGAAATACCGTCTCACTCTACTGAGAACACCTAACTTTTTTGAGGCTATTTTAGCCTCGTCCTCCAAATGGCCGCAAAACTGAACGTAAATGAACCTGATATGAGGTCGATAGCCGATGAATTCAGTCGTTCCAATCAGTAATTCCCGTAACGATGTAGGACAGCGGAGTCGTACCGACGCAACTTCATCTGGGCGGGCGGCGCGCAGCGGCTGGTGTTCTCCAGCAAGGTGTTCTGCGGGTGGGACTGCGGCGTCGTCTCCGCGCGAGCAGCCGCCCTGCACGCAGCCAGCCTCTGCCTCGAGTTCAAGGTACGCCTTCCACGCATTCACTCCTCTAGGGTTATTCATATTTTGTAGCAAACCCTAAAAGGGTGAAACACTTTTAGGGTGATACGGCTCGAATTTTTTTTTTAGTGGATTATAATGGAATGATGCACCCGCCTGCGCTAACGGTTTACGCTGGCGGGGCACCAGTGGAGGATGATAAGATGAACATGAGGTCAGGTCAGTTAGCCCATCGTGACAAATTCACCAAGAATTTATCACGATGATTTCCAGGGGAAACCGCGTGGAGGTCAACCTGACGTGGTACATTGCTAGCAATAAGATCATCAATCCACATTACTAACAATCCCCTTTCCCCCTACGGCTCGAATTAACAGCTGATACTTGGTGATGGCATCAGCAGCTTACGGGTTGTAGAAATGATAGATTTCGCTTACTATCTTGAATTTATTGGGTAAATATACTATTAACTAGCGTTTTCCCGCGGCTTCGCTCGCGTTAATTTATCCCCTTGGGGGTAGAATTAATCAAAATTCTTTCTTAGGGGATGCCTACGTCATAGTTATGCATGCAAAGTCTCAGCCCGATCGGTTTAAAATTGACAAACTTTGATCCCCTATTTTATTCCCTTGGGGGTAGAATTAATCAAAATCCTTTCTTAGCGGATGCCTACGTCATAACATCTACCTGTATGCCAAATTTCAGCCCGATCCGTCCAGTGGTTTGGGCTGTGCGTTGATAAATCACTATGTCAGTCACCTTTGAGTTATATATATATAAATAGATTTTACTTTTATATTTCGCTATATTTATTGCCGCTGCGCATTAAACCTCTACAATGATTATGGGCTCAGACCAGCCCAGGGAGTGCATAAATAAATGTGGAATATAGGTGAAATGAGTGATTTTTGATAAATTTGTACTTCCGTTGTAAAGCAGCTATGGCGAACTCTAATATAAAGATTGAATCTCTGAACCTGAACCTTTTTACTTTTACCAATTATATACATATTTTACTTTTATATTCCGCTATATTTATTGCCGCTGCGCATTAAACCCCTACAACCGGATACCACAGATTATACTCAGCTAGTAAGTACATTATCTCCAACAGGAACTCCTGAACGAGCGGAACAAGAAACAAGTTCAAATGTCGCGTTGTGTGATACTGTGGCGATATCTAGTCAACACGCTAGTCACTAGTGTAGTATTAACCGTGATAGGGGGCCTCCAATACGGCTTCTGGAAACTTCTGGAGCACCAGACTCATGTGGCGCACTGGGAGATCCTGGTCTCCCTGATTGTGACCCTCATGGTCAGTTTGTGTCCGGTGGTCTTCACTTTTGTTGCCAGGTTCGTGGAATCGATATTATGGCCTCGATGGTCTAGAGGTTTGCATTTGCGATCGTCGCGGGTTCGATTCCCGCGCGATACGAATATTTGTTAATGAATACATATATTGTATATTTGTATTCATTAACAGATGTATATAAAATCATTAGTATGATTGTTTGTATAGTTCTGGGTGTTTATAGAAAACTTACTATATTATATATGTTACAATTTATACATGTAAATAAAATTGGAGTGTCTGATTGTAATATTGAAATAACCGTTTTTTATTACATGCATATGAATATAAATACGGTACATACATCAAAATGACATTATTTACATGTTTGGTCCATCTGTTTATTCCCGCTAATCTCTGATATGGCTGGACCGATTTTGACGGGACTTTTATTGGCATGTATCTGATGTAATAAGGGCTAGTCAAGTTTAGTACGGTAGTCAAGTTTCCACACCGAATATTTGTGGTGAGACCAAAAATATTCACCGAATATTTCGTTGTGGTCTCACCACAAATATTCGCTGTGGAAACTTGACTACCATACTAAACTTGACTAGCCCTTATTACATCAGCTACCTGCCAATAAAAGTCCCGTCAAAATCGGTCCAGCCATATCATTATTAGCGATAGATTAGCGGGAATAAACAGACGGACAAAAATTGTAAAAAAAAAATATTTTGATGTATGTACCATATTTATATTTATGTAGTGTTATATGCATGTAGTAAAAAAATGTTTTTTCAATATCACAAACAGACACTCCAATTTTATTTACATGTATAAATTGTAACATACACTTGACTAGACCTTATTACATCAGCTACCTGCTAATTGTAGCGGAATTAAACAAAATAATATAAATACATCGAGTAGTCAAATTGACTTCTACAAAATAACACCTTCTTCGATTAGATATGAGTGAATAAAGATTATTTCTATTTCTATTTCTATAATTGTATTTATTTATTCAAATCAAATCAAGCACACCGCTTTACGACCCATGGCCGCGGGTTCGATTCCTCGCACGGCACAAACATTTGTATTCATGAGTATGATTGTTTGTTCCGGTCTGGGTGTTTTCTATGTATAATATGTATGTATTTACAAAAAATAATCAGTTATCTAGTACCCATAACACAAGCTTTAGCTAGCATAACTCGGGTCTAGATGGCGCTGCGTGAATTGTCCTTAGATTATTATTATTATTATCATCTGATATTTTATTATAAATTTTTATTGTCTCTACAGATTGGAATATTATAATCCGCGTACTGCGTTATATGTAACTCTCGCAAGAACCTGGTTCCTGGATATGATCACACTAGTATTGTTGTTTTGGTTTTGGGCGAACCCTGAAAAACATGTGAGTATAATTGTAATTTTAATTAATTTATTTATTAAAGGAAAACCAAGGCTGACTATACTTAAATAAAATCAATATAAACGTCATACTAAGCCACTGATGGGCTTTTACAAATAACAACAGACTAATTCTAAAAAATTGACATCACTATGTATAAAGGCAACAACACATTATAAAGTTAATAGAGAATATGAAATTAATTAACAAGAGTACAGTAAGAAATAGTGAATTTATACAAATGTATACACATACATGATCTTCAATAATAATTAATTGTTATTTAAAGAAGGGCACACTTCTTAACTTGGGTCTAGATGGCGCTGTGTGAATTGTCCTGAGATTATTATTATATTATTATTATTAATTACGAAATATTTTTATAGGTATTGAAGAATAAAAAATATAAAACATCGAATAACTTTTTTTACAAGTTTTTTTTTATTATTATTATTTTTTTTGTACACTTTGGCACTGTCGCTGTAATATTTTTTAATCGACTGCTTCCACAGTGCTGGGAGACGAGTTTCGGTCAGGAGATGTACCGGCTGGTGTTGCTCGACGCTTTCATTTCTTTGTTTGTGTTGCCAGCTATTGAGTTTATTAGAGCCCTCTTTTATAAGTGAGTTGTGTTTTTAATTTTTTGTTTTTTTTTGGATTTATTTATTAAAAGCTATTTGGTTATTGGTGTAGCCTGGACATTTTTTTCGCATTTATGTAAATAATTTCTTTCATTTTTGTCTATTTTTCTTTTTCTTTCATTCAGGTCTCAGTAGACTTCACCTAGTTTATACAATATGCATTATATAGTGTATATATTATACAGTATATGTCTGTCTGGAAAATTGTATCTTCTAAATGTGAAATATACAGCATATGCACTTTTATTTTTAATTTTACTTCTCTTTTGCTTGCTCATGAAATAATGAAATATTTTCAATCCTTTGCAAACTTGACAAAAACGTGTCACGTTTTTTTGGGGCGTCGATATCGATTTCAGTATAATTCGAGTCCAAATTCTAATAAATTACAAGCCACGATGTTCTTTATTCTTTATATGGACGATACTCGAAATATATATGTATATATATAAGAACCAAAATTTGTTTATACGAAAATAAACTTAATTCATTGTACTGATTAGAGAGTTTGCATTCAAATCGATCCCGTGTGTAATTCAAACGGGGATGGCAATTACGACGGCCTGAGCCGAGGTCCGAACCCTTAGCGGTGCCCTTAGACTTTTTCTTATTGTCAGACAAAATCGAATCCATCAGGCGGGAGTTGGCCTTCAGCTGCTCCATAAGTGCTTCCGCGGGTTTGGAGTGCCATCTGCACTCGCCTCATAACGTCCGGTGAAGCTGTAAAGGCCAGCTGCGGACAACAGCATTAGAGTAGTCCGAAAAAAAACTGATTAGAGACTTTTCACAGTTTCGAAGTTACATTATTCCAGAGTTGTTACTCTGGACAGTGTGTTCACTGTATATATTATGTTAAAAACTCACGGCGTTATGGAAACGGGGTTGTTCAAAAGAATAGAATAGTATAGAATAAATAATCCTTTATTCAATTTATTTTAATTTATGAATAGTCCTAACATTTTTTTAATCTACCGCTCATTTGGAAAGCTGTCTCATCACAAAAAGAACGAGCAAGAAACTTGTGTGTTGCTCTTTTAAATAATCCTTGTGAGTTTACATTTACAAGTCGAAACGTGTGAATACAAACTACCAACCAGCACAATTTTTTTGGGTCAAATATAAATGTACAATAAGATTAAATCATTCGTAGTGATAAGAGCAGACCAGTCCCTACAAGCAACACTTGCTCGCCAGCCATCACTGCGCTCGACAATATTTTAGGGAGCCCAATGACCCGACCCACCACGCCGCCACATGTCTGGACATTCTAGTGAGCATGACTACTCATTTCCTTATATACAATGAGTTAGAGTCACAATTAATTATTACTTCCCCACTCTTTCCCCAGTTTGAGTGTCAACGCGAGTCCGCCAGAATTCAACATAGCATATAACTCCCTGACCCTGATTTACAACCAAGCGGTGATGTGGTTCGGAGTGGCTTTCTCCCCCCTTTTGGTGGTTGCTGTTGCTGTTAAACTCCTGGTCCTGTTCTATGTGAAGCGGGAGTGCATCATGAGGGCCTGCCAGCCAGCCAGGAAGGTCAGTCTCTAACAGTTGTATGTTGATATATATATACTAGCTGACCCCGCAAATGTTGTTTTGCCATATAAATAAGTGACTGTTAAAAAAGAGGGGTTTTTCTTTTTAATTTTATTTATCAAAAATTTTTTTATAATGTGGCAGTAAAATACAGACATAATTTTTAGTGAGACATTATAAAAAAAATAAAATATAGACAACCATTATTATTTAGAGGAGAAAAATAGATAGTAGCCGATTCTCAGACCTACAGAATATGCATATAAAAATCGATCTTGCCGTTTCGGGGAGTATGGTAACTAACATTGTGACACAAGAATTTAATATATTAAATATATTGATTATTCCCAAATTCACAACTATGATTCTCACTACAGAATTTATTGACATTCAAAAAGTTATAATTACCTGTATTTATCATTGTTAGTAATTTATTTGTTTATTGTACATACTGCCACCATTTTATTTATTTTGTATAATATTTTTTGTCATATAAGAGTAGTTGTTAGACGAGGAAAAATGTTAGGACACTTGATACGGCCGATGATTTCATGAAAATTATTATTGAGGGGAAAATAGAAGGAAAGAGGGGGAGGGGAAGACCAAGGAATAGCTACATCAAACAAATTGAGGACAAAATGGGAGTCGTGTCGTATCAAGAATTAAAGAGCATGATGAAAGATCGCGGAAAGTGGCAAGAGCTCCACCGACAAGAGCGTAGCTCTTAAATTATGAATGAATGAAGAGTGGTTTTAAGAATTGATACTGGATGTATTATGTTAGGGTATCCAATAAGTCCAGCCAAAGCTCCATAGTCAGTGGACCGAGCGGACACGCCCGGCGTATACAACGCGGCGCCTTCTGGGAGTGTCCATCCGAGCTCAGGGCGGGGAAGCGGAAGAATGTTGTTCCCGCGACCTCGCCCGCCACGAGCAGAGAGGTATACCATCAGGTTTTTAGCCGGTGAGAGTCCGGCAGTACCTATTCGCCCCTATGGCGACGGGGTCTCCATAACGGATTTTCCTTTTGTAATTATTAGACAATCTATCATATAGTACATTAATTTGACTTGTCATAAGTGTCTGTGATGGACCTATACGAATAAATGTTTTGTATTTTGATTTTTTCTTTTCAACATGTGCGCTACACGTAATGTTTGTTGCAGGTATGGCGCGCAGCTCAGACGCAAACTGTACTATACATTCTTGTGACGCTCTCACTATTCGTCACGTTGTTTGCCATTGGATCATTGTTTATGAGGTAATTGTATAAATAATAACTGTCATTTAGATGAAAACAAACCACTGATTGCAAACAATCAAAAGTGGCAATTCCCAACCAACCAACGATTAACAAAACGCCTACTGAAACTAAATAGGCAAATCCTAAAAATAATGATTGGGATAATAACGGGCCACAGTCCCCAAAACAAACACCTGTACACAATAGGTGCTACAGACAGTCCCCTTTGTCGGGGCAAACAACGGCCGCTCACGTAATCCTGGAGTGCAGTGGACACAACGAACACAAATCTTCGGAACGCTGAGGTCGCTCCGTGAAGCCAGGACACTTGTGCTTATGGGAGGAGTTTGGGTGGATACTTTAGTAGTCTCGGCTCTACACGTACAACGGTCCAGATGAGAGGTTCATTACGGAAAATGCAGTCCAACTTATATTTACAACTGCCTTAACGCGTACGCTCTTTCACGCGCAAATAGACTTTTACGCAGGATGGAGCGAGACAAAAAGAGAACGTTAAAAAGTGCGTGCGTGCCGTACGCTCGCGCATTCCTGCGTACTTCAGTTGTGCGTGTTTAAGCGATTTTTTTAGTAATTAACTATGATATGAAACGTGTGATTTACATATATAATATGAACACGCTTCTGCTGTTTATTTACTCGCAATATATAATTGCGACCGTCTAACGGATCAAAAGAATACGAGCTTAGTTTCTTGTCTGTCCTTCTCAGCCCGAAAGCACTCCGAACTTACGGTAGATTTAACATATAATAGTTTATAATAGACCTATACAAATAAAGATATTTTGAATTTGAATTTGATACTCATTTACTTACTTCATTATCATAAAACTACGCAACGGATTTTGAAGCGATTTTTTTAATAGATAGAGTGATTCTAGAGGAAGGTTTACATGTATAATACATGTACACCCGTGCGAATTGGGGCGGGTAGCTAGTATAGTATAAAACAAAGTCGCTGTCGCTGTCTGTCTCTATGTATGCTTAAATCTTTTAAACTGTGCAACGAATTTTAATGCATTTTTCAGTAATTGATAGTAATTCAATAGGAAGGTTTATATGTATAATACATGTACACTAGTGCGAAGCCGATGGGTAGCTAGTTGACTATAAAACAAAAAATAAAACAAATATTTTTTTTAAGTGCATAGACATTGATATATCTCCTTAAATGAGGTCTGATAGTGTTCTGTATCGTCCTATAATGATGTTTTTTTGTTGTAACACCAGTATGCCGTCGCAAAAGTGCGGTCCGCTGCAGCAGTACACGCGCGTGGTGGAGCTGGTAACCGAGGGTCTACTTCATCTGAAACACCGGCCGACAGCCTCCGCGGTGCTGGGCTTCATCACGCGTCCCGGAGTCATTGGGTTCCTTCTTCTCTTCCTATGGTTAGTTTTTATGGATTACAAGCTTACGCAACTTCATATGCATCGCACTTTATATAATATCTTTGTAATCCCAAAATTTTTAATGATTTATTAAATAGCAAAGTAAGTCCTCGAAGAGAGCCTGGAGATCTGTGGTACAGGTTTCGACTTAGTTCAGACTCCAGACTCCCACAAGGAATAACTTGTAAGTTTAAATGTATATCTTTGTTTTTTTGTTCAACATTGTAAGTTTCCTTGTGAGCAGTAAGTAAAATATGTTATTCTGATGTATCAGCTATATTAGTGTAAAGTTTCATGAAAATCCGTTCAGTAGTTTTTGCGTGAAAGAGTAACAAACCATCTATAGTCACAAACTTTTATAATATTAGTAAGATAATGGAATGATGCACCCGCATGCGCTAACGGTGTCAGCGGGGCACCAGTGGAGGATGATAATGAACATGAGGTCAGGTCAGTTAGCCCATCTTGGCAAATGGTAATTTACCACGATGGTTTCCAGGGGGAATCACGTGGAGGTCGACCTAACATGGTACATTGCTAGCAATGGGGTCACTAGACCTCATTGCTAAAAATCCCAGTCTTTCTGCCTTCTCTTCTCTACCCAAAGTTGTCTGGAAGAAATTGCTTATTTTTATAATTGATAATCTGTTTATGTTCTTTGTAATATATTTCTGATCCAGTAAAGAGTAAATCATCATTACATAGTATAAAACAAAGTCGCTATCGCTGTCTGTCCGTCCCTATGTAACCTTAAACCTTTAAAACTACTCAACGGATTTTGAAGCGGTTTTTTCAATAGATAGACTGATTCAACAGGAAGGTTCATATATATAATACATGTACACCCGTGCGGAGTCGGGGCGAGTAGCTAGTAAATAAATAAAATCCCCTTCACTTAATTTCCAGCGTGTACGTTTACTACAAGCGCGCCGAAGCTAATGCGCAGGCGTCGATGGTGGGCATACTGCGGCAGATGCTTCTGCTGCAGGCCAAGGATAAGGACTTCCTGCTGAACGCCATCAGCAAAGTGTCCAATGGAGGTAAGGTCTCACTCTCTACTCCTAAGTAGAGTAGTAGAGAGAGTAGGAACTCTATCATTGACGGTCTCTACTCCTAAGTAGAGCAGTAGAGAGAGTAGGAACTCTATCATTGACGGTCTCTACTCCTAAGTAGAGTAGTAGAGAGAGTAGGAACTCTATCATTGACGGTCTCTACTCCTAAGTAGAGCAGTAGAGAGAGTAGGAACTCTATCATTGACGATCTCTACTCCTAAGTAGAGTAGTAGAGAGAGTAGGAACTCTATCATTGACGATCTCTACTCCTAAGTAGAGCAGTAGAGAGAGTAGGAACTCTATCATTGACGATCTCTACTCCTAAGTAGAGCAGTAGAGAGAGTAGGAACTCTATCATTGACGATCTCTACTCCTAAGTAGAGTAGTAGAGAGAGTAGGAACTCTATCATTGACGGTCTCTACTCCTAAGTAGAGTAGTAGAGAGAGTAGGAACTCTATCATTGACGGTCTCTACTCCTAAGTAGAGTAGTAGAGAGAGTAGGAACTCTATCATTGACGGTCTCTACTCCTAAGTAGAGCAGTAGAGAGAGTAGGAACTCTATCATTGACGATCTCTACTCCTAAGTAGAGTAGTAGAGAGAGTAGGAACTCTATCATTGACGGTCTGGGTCGTCTAGCGGTTTAGCACACTGCTTTACTTCCGGTGGTCGCATACGTTTGTAATAGATGTAGAAATAATCTTTATTCAAATAAACTTAATATAAGCACTTTTGAATAGTCACATTTTTTATTCTACCACTCATTCGGAACGGAACGGAAGTACCAACAATACTTTTCGGTACTCGTTGTCTATCTACTATGTATATATTTACAATATTTAATTAATTATCATATATTTACATGTAATTATAACAGTAATGACTGTTTGTACCAAAATAGAATAAAATAAAAACATATGTAATAAGATTTTTTACAAAGAAAGTGTTTTATAAGACACTGCTTCTATTTCTGGCAGATTGAGGACAGACGATGGCTGTTGCTTATAAAACACTAGCTTTTGCTCGCGGTTTCGCTCGCTTTAATTTATCCCCTTAGGGGTGAAATTTATCAAAATCCTTTCTTAGCGGATGCCTACGTCATAAGTAACTTTATGCATGCAAAGTCTCAGCCCGATCGGTATAAAATTGACAGACTTTCATACAAATATTTCACCCCCTATTTTATACCCTTGGGGGTAGATAGGTAATTAATCAAAATCCTTTCTTAGCGGATGCCTACGTCAGAACATCTACCTGCATGCCAAATTTCAACCCGATCCGTCCAGTGGTTTGGGCTGTGCGTTGATAGATCACTACGTCAGTCACCCTTGAGTTATATATTTAGATTAAGCAGTTTCCATAAAACGAATTACTAACTTTTATCAAACGGCACAGGACATCGTTACTATACAGATAACCCAGAACAGAGATCTCTGACGCAGATGCACAGGCGACGCGACCCAAGATAACCTATCTGGTTGGACAGAGAGAGAATCAAACTGCACTTTGGTAAAATCTGTTTTGTAACGAAAAATGTTCCTTTTTTCAGAGTGGTACTACAGTCCTAGGGTGGACGGCGAGGGTCCCGACAGCCACACCTGGAAATACCTCCGCGAGGTGCGCAAACCCTCAAACTCTGACTTCCACTTTGACGTCTCCCGGCTGAACCACTCCTTAGCTGACTCCAGACCTCGTTCGTACGTAAAGGAAAACCGACCTAATTCACACTACTTCGAGAGGTCAAAATCTCAAGATGACGGCGATACTGATAGCTCCTTCAGTTGGAAAGGTTCTACTAACTGTTTGAATAAAAAAAACGATTTTGAGAGAGCTGAAACAAAGTGGCTTTAAGTAGAGAATTTTTATGTAATCACGAAGATGCTCCAACTGATGATAAGTGAGATCCATCACCTGTATACAACGGTCCTGGTGGTCTAACGGTTTAGCACACAGCTTTACTACCGATGGTCGCTGATTCAATTCCTCGCACGGTACAAATATTTGTATTCATATGTATGATTGTTTTGTATGTATGATTTGGGGGTTTTCTATCTATAAAATGAATTTATTTATGTATATCACTTGTCAGTGTCACCCCTGGTGTTTCAGGTATCAATAGGCTACGGTATCCGTTAACCATCAGTTGGGCCGTATGCTTGATTACCATAATTGAAGTATAAAAGGAAATGTCTGTGGTATTATTAATGTTTACCACTTTCCATCAGGTCAGGGCAGTCAGCTTGTTCACCATTCTAGTTGCATAAAAAAAATTATAAGATCTTTATTATTATAAGGAATACCTTTGTATGGGAATGATGAAGTAATAACTGTATTTTATTGTTGTAGAAATCCTGTGCATATATTTTTTTTTATATTTTAATACTTTTGTGTTATTAACATTGTAATCGAATTAAATTTTATTATTAATAAAATAATTTATAATTAATTTTATGGATGTTGAAAATATACAATATAAAACCAGTGCCAAAGCGATAGTGTTTTCTAAGGTCATGAATAGATAAATATCTATTATTTATGGATATTTATCTATGGTATAACCGTTTCTGTATATTATATAGTGAATTATATTATAATATACAGTGAAACCTGGTCAATTGGGATCTCAATAGACCAAAAATTATGCACTAATAATGAAGAGTTTCCATTATGTAGATTTAAAATTATAGTTGGCTCATTTACAGAGTACCCCGCTTGTAGAGGTCGAAATGTACCTAAATGTATTTAATTTTTAGAGGTGGAAAGACCTGAAATATTTCTGACTAACAAAGCATGCGCAAAAGATATTCAAATATTTGTAAACGAACGTGTCAAAACATGTCCCAATCTAATTAATTTGTCTCACTTATACAGGAAATTGAGCTACAGAGTCCCAATTATAGATGTAAACATCGAAAAGATCTTAGTATTCAAATCTCATTTAACTAGGTTCGAAAAATCCTATTAATAGAGGTAATTCAATGAAAAAGTGCCGGGACTACATTGCAATTCTTAATAATAGAGGTTTCTCACTTATCCAGGTCGCATTTAACCACGTTTCACTGTATATATAAATTACATAATATTAAATTAAGTTTTAGACAATAATTATATACGTGTTGTCACAAATTGTGATTATAATTTTAAACTAAAGTACTTCAAAATGTCACAACTCAGTAATACAGTAAAGTCATGTCATCCAAAAGTAAGCAAAGCAAATAATCAATAAAAGTAAAACCTGGTAATATTCTGTGATTCTTTATGTTGTGCTAAAAAGGACTTGTATTCAGAGCCGTAAAATATTAATTAATAAAAAAAATATTTACTAATTATACGTATTCAACTATTTTTTTAGTAAAATGGTAAAATGGCCAATGAAATTGATTTAGCTATTAGATGCCTTTACACGTTCTTTCACGCTCGTGTTTTAGCGCGAGAAAGAGCGCGCGCAATCGTGAGTGATTGCATCTAAGTTACAAAACTTAATTTAAAAAACTTAACATTCATAAGCGGCTAAAACAAATTAAAAATCATGTAGGACATTTGAATAATTGATTTTTGATTTGATTTGTACTATGTTTTGTGTTCGCTCTTTCGCGTTTAGCCATTTCCATCATTTCACTTTCTTTTATAATCTTATTTTAATAATAGATTTCCTTAGCCATTTCATGATTTTTATTTGATTTGAACAATTTTTTTGTATATTTTAATAGTGATTACCAGTGTGGTTCAAGTCATTTGACTTTATTTAATATTTTTTTGTTAATAACACATTTATTTTCATTAGCCATATTTCGGATTTATAAATTACCAATAACTCTATAATTTTGTCTTTGCTCTATAGTCAGATATCCGCCATTTTGTGTTATTAATTACAAAAACGCGCGAAAACTCGCACGTTTGGACGTGGGAATACGCTCACTGTTTGCGCGCGCGCTCTCTCTCGTTCTCTTTGTCTACATTTACATGCACACTCTTTCCCGAAAGCTGATTCGCGTTTTGATTAGAGCGTACGTGTAAAGATAGCTATTAAATTGTTTTGTCCTCTTCTTGCAAGCTCTATTCTTCATTAACAAGAAAGTGACAAAATAGTTTTACATTATTATGAATATGTGGTTAATTTATTATGACATAAGTGTTCTTATTAATAAATTATACATTTTAAATCAATTATAGCAAAATATACTTTTATATTTAGTCTAAATAATAATCTATATTTACGAAGCTATGTCTTCCTTTATTTTTATATGAAATTTATGATCTGGGAAGATCTGATATGAATCCTATTGTAAGACTTTCCTATATATTAAATATAATAATGAGTATGTTTTGTATGACAATATTGTAATAGGTTTTTTTATAATGATGACATATAATAATTATAAAACGGTGCTATATTTATTCAGAGTTAGTTGTACAATACACTAATTAAATTGTTTAAACCCTATTACGTAAAAATGAATTTTTAATAAAAAAAACTAGCCAAATTATTGGGATGTTAATTTCCCGCGCAGATTTTTAGAATGAATTACTTTCTCTGAGTTTTCTTTAAAGACTACAGTATGGAATTTTTCAAGAAGGGTATATAAAGGTACTTAAGGGTCGGCAACGCGCACGTGACAACCCTGGTCTTTCAGGCGTCTATAGACTACGGTTCCCGTTCACCATCAGATGATCCGTAAGGATGATTTCCAAAAATGTGATCTAAAAAAATGGAAAAACTTGATCTGTGTCGACATTTTCCTGGGTCATTTCACTTGTCGGTTAGAAACTTTAAAGGTATAGTGCATAAGGTCTATTTTTATAAAAAAATGTTTGCATGGGTCCTCAACACACCCATCGGAACCTAGCTAACTTTCACTTGGCAGCATAATAAAATTATCTTAACAATTTTAGGAGTTTTCTGCCGAGAGTTAATGATTGACGAAATTAGGCTAAGTTAGCACAGGAAATAGTTTTGTTTTAGAGCCCAATTTCCTCAGGAAAGCTAGCGCATCCATTAATAATATATACTAATTTTCCATAAATAAAAACCATCGCTCCTAAGAATATCCTTCAATTCTTGTCCCACACGGACCTCGGCAGCGATCTCTAAAAAAATGGCAAGCACAATAAGTTAAATCTAAAACACCGAGTACCCAAATCCGTCAATAAAAATAAAAACGTGGGTCACCGCGAGGCATTGTCAGTAATTTATTGCTCTGTACAATTAACACTATAGTGACATAATTATTGTACTGCTTTTCTGGTTGTATGACAATTCCTCTTCTCTACAAGACTGTTGTATATGTAATATATTTTTTATAATATATGATGGTAATAATATATAATAATAGATTTATATATTACTATATTTGTATCTCGATGTTGTATTATAATGCAATTAAATATATTATTATGAAATATGTTTCGTATTATTCTATAAGAAACTCAATTACCTTAAAAAAAAAGAAATTCAGTCGAGTTCTTTGCCAGTTCTTCTCAATTGAATCTGTATACTGAACTGGACGGTTCCATACCTTTTTTGAACTGACGGTATATTACTACAAAAAACTTGACGTTCATAAGCGGCTAAAATGTTCTATTCTATATGAGTAAATGATTTCTGTTTTTTTTTTATTTGACATGTTACCCCAACTTTCTCCACATTGACCATACCATTGCATCGGTTTCTGTTTCAGCTGCTAAACAGCTTGCTTTGTAAGCTATGTTTTAGTTGTAGGGTATAGAGTAGGCAGTGAAATTATAGGTTAAGAGTGACATGACATATTAGTCTTCTAGAATGGCGACGCATGAGTGATATCACGGGTGTCACATGATAACGAGATGTAGGCAACGGGTATTTTTATGGATGATAAAGGAATGGTTCACTCGCCTGCTCCTACGACGGAGCGCCAGTGGCAGATGATAAGATGAGCATGAGGTCAGGTCAGTTAGCCCATCTATACTCAAATTTCAATTTATCACGATGGTTTCGAGTGGGAACTGCGTGTAGGTCAACCTGGCATGATTGCTAGTGGGGTCGATAAGTCTACATTACTAAAAATTCCATTCCCCTGTAGGGGACGGTCATCGTTTACCATCAGGTAATGTCATTTTCTGCCATCTTACTAATGTTATAAACGAGAAAGTTTGTGAGTATAAATGGATGAATATTTGTTACTCATTCGCTCAAAAACTACTGATTTTGATTAAACGTTACAGTAACGCGGGTACAGCTAATTCTATTAACATTACGCAAAAATAAACGTAAGTAATGTCTTTACTATTACTGTTATTGACTCGGATGATACTGATAATTTCCAACTAGGTAACAAATGTCCGTTGCCAAGCAACGAATCTTTGACAAGTTTGTTATCAACAAGTGTGCAGATTTGTAAATCAATCAAAATAATAAAACAAAATATATATTATACATTATAGAATCGTAAATGAAGTAAATAATAAAAACAAAATTGGTAACATATAGTAAAGTTAAACAGGTGAGTGTTTCTATAGATATGTTAACATAGACTTTATTATAAGTATATTTTGTATGGTTGCAATTACAGAGCAGATAGACTTATTAATTAGGTTTAAATGCCTCAATGTATAGAAATATACTAGTATTTTTTTTATGCATGATAAAGTAATGGTGCACCCGCTTGAGCTAACGGTATACGCTGGCGAGGCACCACTGGATGATGATAGTATAGTATGAGGTGAGTTAGCCAGTCTATAGTGACAAATTCACGAGGAATTTATCAAGATATTGACTATATATTGACGGCCTCGGTGGTCTAACGGTTTAGTACACCGCTTTACGTCCGATGGTCGCGGGTTCTATTCCTCGCACGGCACAAACATTTGTCTGGGTGTTTTCTATGTATAATATGTATGTATTTACGAAAAAAAATCTAGGTATTTGTATCGGTTATCTAGTACACATAACATAAGCTTTAGCTAGCTTAATTTGGGTTTAGATGGCGCTGTGTAAATTGTCCTTAAATTATTATTATCTTAAAAAAGATTTATAACATTGCTAGCGATGGGGTTATTTGATGGCTTCGGTGGTTTAAAGGTTTAGTACACCGCTTTACTTCCGAAGGTCGCGGGTTCGCACAGTGCAAACATTTGTATTCATGAGTGATTGTTTGTATCGGTCTGGATGTTTACTATGTTTATTTATTTTAATACATACCTACGTAATAACGTAGGTATGTATTAAAATAAAAAAATATCTAATTATTTATATCAGTTGTCTAGTACCTAACCACAACACAAGCCTTGCTTACCGTGTACTAGATGGCGCTGTGTTAATTGTTCAGGGTTATTTATTTATTTATCTTAACAATATTATAAATGCGAAAGTTTGTAAGTATGGATGTTTGTTACTCTTTTATGTAAAAACTACTGAATGAATTTTGATGAAACTTTACAGTAATATAGGTTATACATCAGAATAAAACATAGGCTATATTTTTTATTGATATTTATATTTTGAAATTTAATACGGGTGAATCGATGGGAATAGTTCGTTTTTTATATTCTTTTGAAAACAATATCGGAGAATAAATTAGCGGGAACAATCGCCAATTGTAGATGGCGAGCGGTGATCGCAAGCGTCCCGCAGAACATGCAACTCGGTGTCCGACTCGATTCACGGGGGCTCCACGCAGGCAGCCTGCACTGCCAAGTCTAGCTCGGGCTGGCCACGACCACGAACTTGACCGGGACAGCATCTTGCTCCGGGCTTCTAGAAGCTACTACCCGGAAGGCTAGTATTAATAATATTTTCAATGAGGGGGAAATGTTGTACTTGAGAATGGTGGCCCGTAACGGCTTACCTACGCTGCCGCGACACCACTGGGGGTTTATAATGATAATAAATCTATTTATTGATAACAATAGTACAGTGATACAGTTACACAATTATAAAAAGTATTTATAATGATTGGCACTAGGTACAAACTCAGATTTTGCTGGACTGATGTGCACCCAACGCTATTTTTAAGTTTGTACCTACGTGGGCATACCTAACCACATGTGATGGACATCCATCATCACATTATATAATTTTACTATACATAAATAAAGTTCGAGATTCGGTGAGGTTATTTTTAAATATGAAAGATATGCATAAAGCTGATTAAAGCTATTGTGAGCAATTCATATATCCTATTTCCTAAAAAAATGTTTATTTAAAAGACCATCCAATAAAAATAAATATTAGGAACCAATAAACGAATTCAAGGAAAATGACTATGTGGTTAAATTAAATACGCTTGTAGTGGGAACTAGATCTATACTAGCGTAATCTCCCACAATCGTCTAAAAGATCTTTGCCTATCTAAAACTGCTAACTTCTATATTAGAACGTATATCTAAACCTGCACTAGCAGGATTCTATCAGATTTAGCTGGGCAGGGAGAGAAACAATAGCGGTGAAAGGTAGTGTTGATGTACATCAGCAAGGGGCCCCTTAAACCTATACCCTGGTCACAAGTCCCGGGAACTGTTCGGAGTTTGCCTTTCTGCCACGCGATGGACCCTGAATGCTAAGAAATTTGCCATTGCACATTGAAAACAATGAATTGAATATGACCATAGCAGACTACCGCCATCCCTCGAATTTTGTAATACCTGTTTTTCCTAAACTGGCATATAAATTGCCACGGCCAGATTCGAACTTACGAACCTTGGGGTTGTACAAGACTCTACATTCTTTTCTCTGTATTTAGGCGAAGGCGAGGGCGGATGCAGTGAGTTTCCACCGCTGATGCAGCGGAGATCTTGGACGAGAGGAGTTCCATACCGCGACGGTTTTAATCACGCGAAACCTGCAGATTCCACAGGTGTTATGCCTCCGTATCCTGTAATTTCATTGCCATATCTTCTTCCTGCCTCTGTATCTTGTAATTTCATTGCCATATCTTCTTCCTGCCTCTGTATCTTGTAATTTCATTGCCATATCTTCTTCCTGCCTCTGTATCTCTCTATCCCTTCAGCTAAAACACTATTTACACAATAAACTGCTTGACGGCTGAAATATAATTAGTCCAATGGACGGAAGAAATCATACATAAAATAATAAAGAATCGCTGTTTACATACAAACATGTACACTGCTATCTCCATCAGGACAGAGGAGTGCTTATTTGGTGTCAAATACTGTCAAAATGTTTATTATTTTTAAAACGTATATTAATTTTGTTCTAATATTTTGTAACTTCGTACTGGAATTCAATGAGCTTACTATGTTTTCATCTTCTTCATTAATAGCTGCCTTTATACGTGAGTGATCGCATTTTTTTTTGTGTTCTCTCTATCGTGCGTGATTACACAAATGCTTCATATCGTTTCAGTTTCTTTTAAAAAAATATTTTAATTCCACATATGTATTTTATTTTCCAAAGACATGTTTAAGATTCAATTAATATTAACTCTACAATTATATCTTTGCTTCAGACAGATGTCCGCCATTTTTCAGTGATAATTAATTATTACTTAAGCACGACTAAAGGACGCGGGAGTGCGGGAGCTGGCGTTACGCGCGCTCTTTCTCGTCTCATCTATCTACATTTACATGCATATTCGATCCTGCGTGAAAGCCTATTTGTGCGTAAAAGAGTACCCCAATTAACAATAACTCTATAATTATTGTCTTTTCTCCATAGTCAGATGTCCGCCAAAATGCAATAATTATTAACTATTTCAAAAAGCCGCTAAGGTACTCATGACTAAGGACGCAGGAGCGCGTGAGTTGGCGACGCGCGCTGTCTTTCTCGTTCATTTATCTACATTTACATGCACATTATTTCCTGCGTGAAAGCCTTTTTGCGTTTAAAAGAGCACATACAAAGGCAAATAAATGTCGCGAAAGATGAAAACATAGTAAGTTACATAGATTACAAACATAGTAAAATATTTTACCCTCAACGATCGTGTTTTTTAAGAGAGATTGACACTTTTTCAATATATCAGGGAACTGCTATACACCTGCAACAAAGACAATGCGAGTCCTCAATATGCCTCCGAAGAGACGTCCCAAGCCGGAGCTGTACGGACCCATCGGTCCCAACGGTGAGCTGCAGTTCCCACCGCTGAAGCCGTGGGCGGAGAGAGAACAGGAACGTGTGGAGAAATTGAGACTAGAACAGGAGAAGAAGAAATTGCCGAAGGGTAGGAAGAATATTGTGTATTATTATTATTGTTTATTATAAAAATAAAGAAATTTATTTTGTTATGTTTGTTTGTAATGGAATAGATAATCCTTACTAATATTATATGTAAATGCGAAAGAAACTCTATATCTACTATATAGCATCTAGCGTTAAAAGTGGCTATTGATTGAATATAAAAAAATCTGACTTTCATAGTTCGTAAAAATCTCATTCTTAAGGGTAATATAAAATAGGGAATCAAGTTTCATATGCATTTTTATTTCGTCATTTTTGATGCTGCAGAAAGATGAAACTATTTTCTTTGGCTCTTTATAATTAGCCTAAATAATTAAAAATACTGTAGAAGGTCACTATTCCACGTGAACGAAGTCGCGGGCACAGTTAGTGTTAGTACAAGCTAGCTGACCCTATCTTCGTCTGCATCACACTTACTTGACATTTATCATTATATTTCGCCCAATTTACATAATATTTTTAAATTATAGCCTATGTATATATATTCTTATGTATGTGCTATATTACTGTCAAGTTTCATCAAAATCCGTTCAGCAGATTTTGCTTGAAAGAGTAACAAACATCCATCCATCTTACTCAACTATACTCACAAAATTTTGCAATTTTAATATTAGTAAGATGTAAATTTCTCGGTATTTTAGGACTGGTTCTTCTAGAAGACTTAGTGTCGGGTGCATATGAAAGAAGAAAAGCGGCGGCAGCAGAGGCGAAACGGCAGAGGATAGAGAAGAGGAAACGTGAGAAAGAAGAAGCAGAACGTGCCGCCCAAGAAGCGCTCAAGAAGTAAATACTATATATGTATATAAATATTTATTAAATAGTTCGTCATGTAGTATTTAGAACAATAATTGTTTATAACAGTTTGTAAACAGACTGGAATAAAACAAATACCTACTCAATTTTATATAATAATAATATAATATCTATGGACAATTCACACACACATACACACACAGTGTTTATAAAAAATCCACTCCGAAACGGCTTTCTCATGAAATTTTGTGTGTATATTCAGTAGGTCTAAGAAAAGTACGTTAAATGATCCAATCTAAAAAAATATATTAATTTCTTTACGATTCTGTTTTAAAATACACAACCCTGAATATTCATTCACCTACCATCAACCTCTAGATATTATGTAATAGCGATTTATTTATATGGCAATGCAACATTTGCCGGGTATACGATTTGTAAACAAACTGGCTTTTTAAACAAAAACATGTTTAGTTGAGTTTCTTAATAGTTCTTCTCAATCGAATTCTTACTACGTGCATATGAATATAATTACGGTATATACACCAAAATAAGACGGTGGGCTGATGATATAGTGGACTATATAGGAAAAGACTGGTTAGCTATAGGAAAAAACGAGACGAGAGAATATTGGAAAAAGATGGAGGAGGCCTTCACCCAAAGAGGGGTCCATATCCACAAATAATATAATTATAATTGTAATACTAACAAAACAAATAGAAAAAAAAAACAAAAATCCACTAACAATTTCTTTTTTTTTTATTTGTACAAACTTCTGGATGGTTATGGAAATAAAAGGCTTTATTATTATTATTACACCAAAATAATATTTTCTACAATTTTTGTCTGTCTGTTTGTTCAGGCTAATCTCTGAAATGGCTGCACCGATTTTGACGGGCCTTTTTTTTAGCAGGTAGCTGATGTAATAAGGAGTAACTTAAGCTACTTTTATTTTGAAAAATCAAGTTAAATTCCACGCGGACGAAATTGCGGGCACAGCTAGTATATTAATACAAAAAACATGCGGTTTATAAGCGGCTAAAATGTTCTACCATAATAAATTATTCCTGGTTTTGATTTGATTTGATTTGAATATGTTCAATGTTTGGCAGACATTTAGCGCGATTGGAATTCGAACTGCCACGCGACCCCGATCAGCAGAAGGAGGAAATGATCAAACAGACAGAAAAGGAGCACTACAAATATATACATCCCAAGGACTTGGAGAGGATACACTACTATTTAACTGTTGTAAGTTCAAATTTTAATATTACAAATCAAAACAAATCAAAAATCTTTTATTCATGTAGACGACCTCGGTGGTCTAGCGGTCTAGCATACCGCTTTGCAACCGATGGTCGCGGGTTCGATTCCTCGCACGGTACAAAGATTTGTATTCATGAGTATGATTGTTTGTATCGATGTGGGTGTTTTCTATGTATAATATGTATGTATTCACAAAAAAAATATCTATGTATAATGTGAGTTATATAATACCCATAACACAAGCTTTAGCTAGCTTAACTTGGGACTAGATGGCGCTGTGTAAATTGTCCTGAGATATATATATGTAGGACATTTTGTAAGGTCAATTTTGTGGTAGACGCAGCACTTGATACGCGAGAATTTGGGTATATCTGAAACTAAATTTGGGACCGGATCTCGGATTGATTTGGTTTGTTAAGTTCCCCCAGCGGGTCTGGAAATTTAGTTTCAGATATACCCGAATTCTCGCGTATCAAGTGCTGCGTCTAGACCAAGGGTAAGCCCCGAGCAAGTTCTGGGGGTGGCAAATTCGAACTTGGTAGAAGAATACACATGTAATGGCAGGAGCGTTGGTGAGAGTAAACACACAGTAGTTTTGGAACTTGTGTATTAGATTATATTTTGAATTACTCTACCTTAGACTAATTATATTAAACACTACATGACTTACGTGACGTTAGATAAAATGATTTATCTAACGTTCACTGGCACAATCTGCTATCCCACATACTGAAATGCATATATATATCACACACATCTATCATTAAGACGTTAAGTAAATTGTTTGTGCTCAATGTATATGAAAATATGTGGAATATAAGCATATGTCGTAAATGTTTGCTTTGTGTTGTCCGCCTGGATTTATGTATGTATGTGTATTATTATTATTATTTTATTATATTTATTGTATATAAGGTGTCCGCTGAAAACCAGCGTCGTGGCACCCCGTCACGACATATGCTGAGCGGAGACCTATTTGGTACTGTAATTATTAATATAAAATGTAAATTAAATTTTAAAAATTATTTTCAGTGTACCAAATAAACAATTTTCTTTCTTTCTTTCTTTCTATATTAATTGGATAAATTGTATGGTAGTAGTGTTGGTTGGAGGGGGAGGACGGGGGGAGACCCAGGGGAAGTCCTAAAATGGTTCCCTTTTATTTATGGTCCGCCTCGAAAGATATCATACGGCAAAATACGGCAATAAAGAAAAGATCCGGGGCTGAGTTTGCCGTGACAGTCGTAATTTGGTCGCCGAATAGTAAATATTAGGCTTCCAAGCTTATCTCAGGCGGCGGCAGAGTGGCAGTAGGAGTCTGATCCCTCCATATCGTGCGAGGAATCGAACTATCAAAAGTAAAGTAGTGAGCTGAATCGCTAGATCATCGACACCGTCGAATAAATGTTAGTAATTTTCACTAAATGCGACATTTTTTTCTTATTTATTCTTTATTGCACTTTTAAAAATTGTACAATTTGGCGGGCTTAATGCCATATGGAATTCTCTACCAGCGAACCATTAGGTAAGAACAAAAGCGGTTGATGGGCAGTGGTGGGAAAGGACTAACCTATAATTTTACCTAATATAGTTAAATATGTCTTTAAAAATACTAACAAATATACATACATAAAAATAAATATATACCTTATATAATATAATTTTTATCACTTAACGATAGTATGGTCATTTATATTTATAAAAAGTAAATATATTTAAATATATAAGTAAAAATATTCTCTTTAATAATATTAGTCTATATTTAATTATTTCTATTAAAACTCGAAAATCTATGTCAGTCCTTAGTTGACAACCATTTGCCGGATTATCCTCAAGAGTTGTACAAGCGAGCGAGGCAGCGGGTGGAGAAGCAGACGGCAGCAATCAAGAAGAGACTGCTGACCCTCACGTACCAGGCGTGCGTGCGGCAAAGCGAAGCTGACATCAGGCAGTTCTTCATTATAGCCATGAAAAGGTACAAGAGATGAGTTAGTAGAATTAGGTGTTATTCTGCGGAAGTCCATTTCATTTGTGGTCTCACATATGCTAATAGTAGCGGTTATAAAAAGTACAGGAGACTCGTTACTAGAATTAGATGTTATTCTGCGAAAGTCCATTTCATTTGTGGTCTCACACATGCTAATAGTAGCGGTTATAAAAAGTATAGGAGACTCGTTACTAGAATTAGATGTTATTCTGCGAAAGTCCATTTCATTTCTGGTCTCACACATGCTAATAGTAGCGGTTATAAAAAGTATAGGACACTCGTTACTAGAATTAGATGTTATTCTGCGAAAGTCAATTTCATTTCTGGTCTCACACATGCTAATAGTAGCGGTTATAAAAGGTACAGGAGACTTTTTAGTAGAATTAGGTGTAATTCTGCGGAAGTCCATTTCATTTGTGGTCTCACACATGCTAATAGTAGCGGTTTTTTTACCCTGGACAATTCACACAGCGCCATCCAGTCCCAAGCTAAGCAGAGCTTGTGTTATGGGTATTAAACACCTAAAATAAATAGAATACAAACTTACATTTTTTTCGTAAATACATACATACATATCGCGGAAGTCGCGGCAATATACATAGAAAACATCCAGACTAATACAAAACAATCATACTCATGAATATATTTGGTACCGTGCGACGAATTGAACCTACGACTATCGGTAGTAAAGCTGTGTGCCAAAAAGACACTAGACTACTGAGGCCGTCAAGGAATTCAAGAAAATAATACAAATCTATCAAGCAATGAAATGGACTTCCGCAAAATAACATCTCAAAATAGTTGTGAAGCCGCGAGTAACAGCTTGTTTTGTATATTACATTTTTCAGATGTCTCCTGGCGTACATCCTTGAAGATCCTGCTGAACGTGAAAGGCTTCGCATCGCGTTCCTTCCCCCACTGTGGCCGGCTATGGTGGTCCGCGCGCCGGTACCCTGGCATACTGCCTTCGTCAGGTCGAAGCAGGCCATGTCCTACCGCCACTACCAAGGGAACCCGGTGCTTATTGAGTTGAGAAGATTGTGGCATGAGAGGTAATTATGTAATTTATTTGGAAGAGAAAGAAAGACTACACATCTGATGAAAAGTGATGACGATGGCGATGAGACGATCCTCTTATCATCACATCATCTTCATCATCATCACGTAATGTGTTACAATTCACACGGCGCGATGGAAACCCAAGTTAAACAGCTTGTGTTGTGATATATATGACATGACAACTGAAAGAAACATGTAAATATTGTTTTTAAATTCATACATAATATACATAGATAACTCCCAGAACAATCATACTCATGAGTATAAATGTTTGCATCGTGCGAGTAATCGAACCAGTGGATTATAGGAAGTAAGGTTTGCTAAACCGCTAGACCACAGACTTTTGATGACGTTGTCCCTTTCCGAATATACTAATAAATATTTATCCATTTTGATATTATTCATTCCAAAATATCGCTGTCTGCCTGATTTTTATATTATCACACCTAAATGGCTGAACAAATCGTAATGAAACTTAACAATATTATAGAATAGAAGAATGGATTGTGTCAAATGATTTGCTCCCTTCAGGTATCAAAACGTTTTCATCTGTGATATGAACAAAATGCAAGAGGACCTAGAGTTCCCGCAGTATCCCAACGAATTCACGGAGCGGTTGACGAAGCTGTGTGCAGCGATGCGCGCCGAACTAATGGACAACTGGCTCATCGATGTGGCTGATACCATGATCAAGATGAGGAGCCACTGGCAGATCTACGTCGCTAAGAGAAAGAGGGAGTCAACGTTTCAAGTGGAGCAGTTCTTCGGGTACATAACAGATTTATATTATTTTGTTTAATTCCACTACTATTAGCAAATCAATTAGAAAAATCAAAATATCTTTATTCATGTATTACAGAGTCTTCTGATATGTTAAATCTACTGTCAGTTCGGAGTGCTTTCGAGCTCAGAAGAACTGACAAGAGCTCTTATTCTTCAAATGAGCTTATATATGTTTACAAAAATATAGATTCATTTTGGACTTCTTTGGGAGAAATCTTTATTCATGTAGGTCTATTACAGACTCTTATGATATGTCAAATCTACCGTCAGTTAAGATTCATTTCCAGATGAGAAGAACTGACAAGAAACTCAGCTCTTATTCTTCAAATGAGCTTATACATGTATATAAAAATACAGATGCATTTTTAAATTCAAATTTGGGAGAATAGAATGACGTCCAGCATATGTTATTTTGTCTAATGGAAATATGTTATTTTGTCAAGATGGAAGGCATTGGATGCGAGCAGCGCAGGACCGATCGTCGTGGAGATCTTTAATGTCCAGCAGTGGACGTCTTCCGATGATGATTAATAAGTGTCCGTAACCCGCCCGAACAGCCCACAAATATTCATTGCGGAAACCTGACCACCGCTATTGGAAGCGTTGAACTTTCTCTATTGGTGATCAAACACCGACCGTTATTGAGTCTACGCCTACACGTGTTTCGCCCTGAAAAAAGCATCATTAGCCATAGAGTTTGGAAGCCGCTAGAAATAGACTTCCGCTAAGTAAAACCTAATTCGATTAAAGATATAGTTCTTTGAATATTATTTTATTTATCTTATAAGATTGTGCCTAGTACAAATGAATCACGTTGATTTGTAATATTTATCTGATTTGTTTAGGTGCATCCACGCCCTGATGTCGAGACAAGTTCGAGATTTAGTTGAAAGAAGTATCAACCATTTTGCAGAGTACTTTGCTTATTACTGGGTAACCTGTTGAATCTATCTATTGTAATATTAATAAATGCTTAGTTTACATAAAAGAACAAACCGAATAGCAAGAAGAGGCACACAGAGAGAGCAAAGAGAGCTAATCAGAAACATTGTGGCACTGCACCCACTGGCCCAACTTTCTCTTGCGTGGTGCTACGTCAACCATGGCATTGTAGCTGTCCCGCCTACATTATGACACCAAGGAGCAGGACATCGTCTAAATTAAATAAAAAAAAATATATGTCCCAATACTATTGGTCGTAGCGTGATGTGGATAATGATATAACCTATAATGTTCCTCAGTAAATGGGCTATAGATCACAAAGGATACACAGGTTATAATAAAATGTGTTTTAAAAAGACCTCTAGCCGAATGTACATGTAATATTTGATGCCCAAATAATTTAAAATCATAGAATGTTTAGAGATAAACAAAAGTAACCAGTATTAAAAATTAAAACGGTTAAAAATACATGATAGTGAAGAGAATGACAGTATGCAAGTGGGAGTGGTGAACCTATGGGTGTATGTGTGTGTGTGTGCGCGCGTGTGTGTGTGTTTGCACACGTGTGTGTGTGCGCGCGCATCAGTGTGTGGCGCACGTGTGAGTGCGTTTTGTATGTGTGGCTGTGAGTGTGTGTGTTTCTAACTCATTTTCAAACTGTAACACAAGTATAGGAGAGTGAGTGAGTTTCAAGGGAAATAGTAGTAGCGTGTATCAACGCTAGTATATGTATATCTATCGTAGTCTCTTGTTTTCAGGATGGTAACACGTACGATGGTGCATACCAGGACTACCTATTCATCAAGCGTCCATTACTCCGCATAAAAGTGTCTGGAAAACCAGGCTCGACTAATATCACCTTCGAGCCGACCCTGGACCAAATGAAGATCCAAATAGTGAAGTGGTTTCACACAATCATCAATGTGAACTATCAACTGCCAAGTGTGGACAGCATCATGTATCCAGGTAGGATTGTGTGATATTAAATTCTGTTTCTTAATACGACGTTGTCAAACATGCATATGGCCCTTTTGATGGTGAACGGTTACTGTAGCCTATTGACGCCAGAAACACCAGGGGAGGTCCGTGCACGTTGCCACCCCTTAACATACCTTAATATACCTTTCTTGGAAAACTCCAGTCTATAGTCTCTCGAGAAAATCTCAGCGGATAGTTCATTCCCGAATCAAAATATGCGAGGGAGGAAACTCCTTCGAAACCGCACTGTCCAACACCACTTCGGTTCCAGCGTGTGGGGTTGAATTCCCTGTCGATAGCGAACGGTACGATGGTAAAAGGTGGTCATGGACATTATGTTCTACTATTAACCTATATATTCTTCTATTATGTAAACGCGGACTGCCTCTCTACATATTTCATTACTGCCATCATCATCTGCTTCATCCTTATCCCATTTATTTGGGGTCGGCGTAATATGTTTTTCGTTTCCATTCATCCCTGTTCGCAGTCATCGCGTTATTTACTTCCTTTCTTACCATATCATCTTTCACACAGTCCATCCATCTCTTTTTTGGCCTTCCTCTGCCCTTATAACCATCCACATTCATTTGTAACATCTTTCTTAAAATATTTCATTACTGCCATGTCTCATATTAATTAAAAACGATTTGTTTAAATTTAAAATAAAGTTTTCAGTTACATTAATTTAATAAATATTTTTCTCGTTTTCATTGTAAAGGGGTCCGTGAAATTGTGCTTGATTTTCTAGAAGTACGTGGACTGAAAGAGAATAAGAAATATTACCATAGGTTAATAGCATTAAATCTACGCTGAATTCATTTGAATTTAATATAAAAATGAAATTTAGACCTGTTAAATTTATATTAAGTAAACATGCACTTTCAAGGTGTATCCCGGCCTAGGCCGTACCTCATGACGGTGTATCCAGACGAGCAGTACATGATGGATATAATAAATCGGAGCATCGAGCACTTCAGCGCCAACAGGCCGGGGCCCACCAGCTTCCTTACCAGCTACGAGCAGTACTACTACATCCTGGACGGTACCGCTCACCAGCAGCTGATGCAGTTCTTCGCTGAAGAACCACCGCCTTACCTTAAGGTAAGATTATAATTAGGATTACTTATAAACCCTAATAGAAAGGGTTTCTGCCAACGTAATACAGCAATAATCCTGACCAAACAATGATTGTTTGGTCAGAGTGCCTTTGTAAATGTATGTAGAAGAAGCTCAGTTGAATACGAGAGTCCTTGAAAAAAGTCCTTACAGTATATAGTCCTTAGAGTATTTTATACTTTGACACTAATGAGTTATTGCTAGTTGGTAGTTTCAACTTAAAAATGTAAAAATACTACTAAATTATTTAAAAGAGCAACTCCTTGTGGTCATATAACCGAATGAGTAAGACTATTCAAGAGTGTTTAATTGTAAGTTTGCATAAAGAATTTTCTATTCTATTCTAAACTTTACTTTCAATTATAGAGTACACTGTTTACTCGTATACTGGATAACGAATACTGTTATCCAGGCGCGTAAGATATTTTCTTCTTCCATATTATCTTCTTTGATATTACATTCTCAAATTCAAGACTAAACTTCACTCTATTGTTAGGGTTCACATCGATATTGTCGAAAAATCTGATATTTTATATTAAAAGAAGATAGTTTCATTATTACTCGGTATCGTTAAACTAGTTACATATAACCCCCACTCATATCTTCTCTGTATAAAAGGGAGGGTTTTTGTAGGCCGCGGCATTCGGTCTTTGTGCACAGGATGTGCTGGTTGTATTTTAATTGCTAAAGTGATTGTGTTAGAGACATAGTTAAATTAATGTTATATAGTTGTTATTTTATTATAATACATACTTTTACTAGTACATAGAGTTGATATATCTAACACTATTCACTCGTCCTCTTAATCATCTACACAGCTTATAGCTATAGAGCTGTTTTGTCATTTATTTGGTAGTATTTTGTTTAAGAGAAAGTGTCAGAATACCCAATATATAAATGATTAATCTTTATAAATAAGTGTTACTCGTATTATATAAGTACTGGCTGTGCTCGGGGTATCATCCACGTAAAAATAGCCTATGTGTTATTCTGACGTAAAGTTTAATTAAAATTCGTTTAGTAGTCTTTGCGTGAAAGAATAACAAACATTCATCTCTCCATACATGTTCATAATCTTTCGCGTTCATAATATTAGTAAGATATTTAGCTTAAATACACAACATAACTTTACGTTGTTTATTTTCATATTTGTGTGGTGGGGATATACTGTTAGTTTCCAGCTAAAATGTATGATTTCGCAGGATTTTTCATCCCGCATTTCCACGTATGAGAACCTTCGTGACGAGGTGCTTTTCCTCCGCCGCGACATCCCCCTCAACATGGTGATGCTGGACTGCGCCCCCATCAACGACGCCATGTGGACCATAGTGGACGGTCTGCGGCAGCACATCGTCGATCACTTTATTGGGATCAACAGGAAATGGAACAGAGCGTTAGTATAGATTCTTATTTCTTTAACTGAAGCCTTCGTGGTCTAGCGATTTAGCATCATTTCCACATCATTACTTTTATGCCATGATTAGAAAAAAAATTGCATCTCTATTCATCAAAATGCGTTGCAGATTCAACAAAATATTGAACACATTGATGATCACAGAGGTCTTACAATTTGTAACGACTGGAACTGTAATAGTATGTAGATTTTTAAGAACTTTACTAACATTAGATTAGAAAAAATAATTAACAAATGGTCTATTAATACCAAAATAAACATCATTATTATTATTATCATTATTTACTACCTATGGATAGATGCAAAAATTGGTATTCATTAGTTGAGGATGTTTTCTATGTATTTAGAAAAAAAAAGGAATTTAAGTATTTCTCAGTTATCTAGTATCCATAACACAAACTTTGTTTAGCTTGGGACTAGAATAGGCTGTGTAAATTGTCCAAAGTTATTAACAGATAGATATACTTTTTAATATTTAAATACATTCATAACCTATATGTAAAACACCCAAACAATAATTTGTTATAATACTGACAATGATTGGAAGACAATGGCTAGCGAAGTTGTCATATGAAGGGTGATTCCAGCATCTGCAACGTGTATGAGGAGATGGCCGCGCGCGCATCAGAAAGTCCGGAGACGACGGCGCAGCTGGTAGAGCTGCTGGGATACATCTCGGACTGCCGCGACTGCGCCATGTTCGACCTGCGAGAGAAGACCAGGACCACCGCCGAGTACGTCCTCTTCCTCATGCAGCACGCGCATCTTAATTGTAAGTATTTTTTTTAATGTGTAGACCACTTAATTTTCACAAAAAAGTTAACGAATTATATACTAAACTTTTATCAGAAATAACTTTGTCGTTTTATGAAAACCATGTGAATATACATTCAGTAGTATTGAGATTATCGCAAATATACAGAAAGATTTAGCGAGAGACTTGGTTTTAGAATATATTTAGATGATTTAGAGGTTATAGTATAGAGATGTTTGTAAGCGTAAGGGAAGGTCTTGGTCCAGCAGTGAGACACGAATACAAATTATACAAACCACTAGTTTTCAGTAGACAACCTAGAATATACGGTAAAGGCGCTCTTAAGAACATCACCGTGTATTAATCTTTAGACGCACAATACAATATTAATAAAATATAAATCTACTTATCACAGTCGAAGACATAAATTTGAACACTCGCGTGTTCCTCTGGCCTTTGGATATGGAGGAAACAATTGACCTCACGTTAAAAACTCTAAACACTAAGAAGACTATGGCCGAAGACAAATTACGCAGCCGCAAGACAATCTTCGAAGAGAAATTGAAGCGTCACGAGAAGGAATTGGAGGTGTTCCGGAGGTTTGATCCCCCGTTGCTGAACTTAGATCTGTTGAAGGAAGTTGTAGGGAAGGTGGACGAGATTTTCCACAATTTGACGGTTAGTACAATGATTGGTTAGTTTTCTTTAGACTGAAATAGTGTATTTTCTTTTTTTCTTGTAATTTGCCTAATGTTATATATTTCAAAATAATTTCTTCATTAGAAATTACGTTGAACGTGGTATATGGTAGATCTTTTTCAATTGATAAATTAATTAATTCCTTTTAATACTGTTTTAAATTAACGCGATCAATATTTATACGTATAATAATTAGTAAAAATGACGGGATCTTACCAGATTTTATTTATCATCTACCCGCTGCTCTTCAGTTTACCCGTGATCGTGGCGGTTGAAACCTACCGAAATATCGGGAACTCAATAAGTATAAAACGTGGTAAGATCCCGTGATTTTTATTAATTCCTTCTAAAGTCTAAGTAAAATTAACAGTTTGGGCACAAAGTTTTGCCTCCATTGTCTTGTTATATCATTCATACTATGACAATAAAAATGACAATTAAATATACAGTCTGCCTGATGGTAAGCAACCAGCAGCACATGCAGCAAAATTGGAAAAAACTGTAATTACTTATGTTTTAGCTCCAAATATTATTGTAGCTTAAAACTTTAGTTAATATTATTGACATGTGAAATAATAGTAATAGTAGCAATATAATCTTGTAACTCAAAACATGCTGTGGTTAGGGACCGTTCAAGTATTAAGTAAGTACTATGGGAGAGTCTTTGCTTTGCTTATTTTAGGTGACATGAGGGGTAGGAGAGTCTAGATTATGAATACGACACTCTTTGATGTGAAAAATTAATGGATATAAATAGTTAGATGTTTGAACAGACGTCTCACGGCGGCCCATCGCTTTATTGCAGAGCGCAGTGACAGAAGCTACTTCCATTTATCAGAACCGAGCAGCCAGAATATAAAATAAAAATTATATAAAGAACATCATATTTTGAATATCGATAAAAGAATATGTAAAAACTGCCAGTGACTCTTATTGTAGGTCTAACACTTTGCTTTGCTTATTTTGGGTGACATGAGGGGTAGGGGAGTCTAGATTATGAATACGTCATCGGTAGTTATATACTTTTTTACACGATGGCAACCCTCACATTGTTTTGCTAAAAAAACAATACATTAATAAAAAAATGATTACGTAATCATGAGGGAAGGGGGTAGTAGAGCTTTGCTTACTTTTGCTGACAAGGGGGATGTCGGGGTAAACAATTGTAATAAATCTGCCTACGTAAAACTTGAACGATTAACGAAACCTATAAATATGAGAACAGTTAGTATAAGACCTTTAGAATTGTATAAAATTACGACAGTTTTTTGTTGATGTATCTTATGTTGGTAATCCATAAAAATAAATAAATATATTAGGGTTTTGTTTCACTACCAATCAATTGCTCGGTTTGAATGGCAGGAGGACAAGCACGAAGCGGAAGATATAATAAACGAAGAGACTCTACTAGACCAGGAGGTGTCAGTGTACTTCAGCCTGCAGACCATGCTGGCCAGCGTTGACCCATTCCACAAGCTCTGGCACAGCGCCTTCGACTTTTATGACGGATACGAAAAATGGTCTCGATTTTATGTTTCTTAATGCTAAGAATATACCTTCATAAAGCAAGATAATTAATTATTAAAATTATAATCATCATGTACATCATGTACTATAATACGAACAGTAGTTTTTTCACGTCGATACGTTGGACATAACGAGGAAGCGAAACAATACCCATCGGGTATAAGGGTGCGCTAAACCACTCAGAACTACCGAAGCTATCAATTAAAAGGGTTATTTTGGGTTTGATTTTATAATAGTTGCCCATTTTATCGGTATAATATAAGAATTGCTGTTTCTTATGCCGAAAAAAATATTAGAGTTTACCAACTACATATGTAAGAACCATTTATAACTGCAATTACCAACTGTATCTTTACATCAATATTATCTAATCAAAAGCCTGGTAATTAACAGCATTCTATTGAATCTGAATTTCGATTATCTAAATATATATAACTCAAAGGTGTCTGACATAGTGATCTATCAATGCACAGCCCAAACCACTGGACGGATCGAGCTGAAATTTGGCATGCAGGTAGATGTAATGACGTAGGCATCCGCTAAGAAAGGATTTTGATTAATTCTACCCCCAAGGGGATAAAATAGGGGATGGAAGTTTGTATGAAACTTTGTCAATTTTAAACCGATCGGGCTAAGACTTTGCATGTATAAAGCTACTATGACGTAGGCATTCCCTAAGAAAGGATTTTGATAAATTCCACCGCTAAGGGGATAAATTAACGCGAGCGAAGCCGCGGGCAAAAGCTAGTTTTAGATAAATTGAAAAGTTAATTTATTATTGTCATGTTTATCAAGGTACCACGGTCCGTTTCTTGGATTGGATGCGGAGCAAATAGCAGAGGATGTGGAAGCGTGGTGGAAGTTGCTGTACAAGCTCGGCAAGCAGCTGTACGAGTATCCTGGAGCGAAGCGCATCGCCGACATGGTGCGGAACAAGGTGGAGAAGTTCAAGGTTCTGCTGCCAGTACTCTGCGCCATATGCAATAAGGTATGTGACTAGGAAATGCTTTTTTAACATGTCTTTTATATTATCTTTGATTCTGTTTATTACATGTTTGTGTATAGCTGTACCGGATGACTTGCCGTTAGGAGAAAATTAGGCCACATACGCTATATAAAGCAACTAGCTACTCGCCCTGGCTTCGCACGGGTGTACGTATTATATATAAATCTTTCTCTTGAATCACTCTATCTATTAAAAAAACCGCTTCAAAATACGCATTAAGGCAATTAAATAGGTGCCAACACAAAATATATTTGGACAATTGAAATAATTCAATTTAGCAATATATAGTAAGCAATACAGAGATTTGTATGCGGTGGGAAGAATGGCTACTGCTTAAAAATATACGGGAAAATTTAGTTTTTTTTTCCACGCAACCGGCCGTGTTCAAAATATTATAGTCTTAAAATGATATATTCTTTTATTAAAACCTAATTATGTTGTCAGAACTAGTACTAGTAGTAGTAGTATGTCTAGTACCTATCCTAGATATGCAGGATTCAAAGTAATCTTGGAATTATATGCTAATACTACAGTAACTGTACAGGGTATGCGCGACCGTCACTGGGCGCAGATCAGCGAACTAGTAGGAGTTGAGGTGGTGCACGGCCCGGAGACGACACTGGCCGACATGGTGGAGCAGGGCGTCCATGTGTACGGCGCGCAGCTGGAGGAGATCGAGCAGTACGCCTCCAAGGAGTACGCGCTAGAGAAGTCGCTCAACAAGATGAAGGACGAGTGGGTCGGAATCAAATTCGAAGTGGTAGCCTACAGGTAACGTAGACTTACATATCCAAAAATGTTACTGGTCGCTGTCTGTACAGATAGTCGGAAGATATGTAGGAAAATCTATTTTTGGGAGATTTATCAACGTAATGGTGTCATAAACAATAATTGTTACAATTTCTGTCTGTCTCGTAGGCTCTGTGAGTTTCTTAGCGCTTGTGTCAGAAATTGCTTAACCGATTTACCTGCGGTTTGGCCGATCTGCACTAACGTAGTTTTGTAAGATAAACTTAAAATTTTGGATGTTAAATATATTATTAAAGCTCCACGTTTGGTGATCGGTGATAGTGATCGTAATACTTGTTATGCCCACATTTCGCTGAGAACATTTAGAATAAGTGTTTCCTGGTTTAAGTTGATTTTTAAATATTTCCTATCATTATCTGGACTTAAAGTAAGGGTCGTAAATACTTTATTTGTTTTGTCATTAAATTTCAGGACTGATATAATAATAACTAGATACGAGTTCATTTATGACCCAGCACCAACAATGTGTGGATGAATTTCGTTTTTGCGCGAACTTATTTGAATTACAACAGGATTCAACATGAAAGTAATTACTGGTTGTATGTGTGTACATATGATGAGTTTGCAGAGACACCGGTGTGGGCATCCTGACTGGTTTGGATGAGGTTCAACAGCAGCTGGACGACCACATCCTCAAGTCGCAGACGATGCGAGGCTCGCCGTACGTGAAGGCGTTTGAGACGGATATGGCCGCCTGGGAGGAGAAATTAATCAGCATGCAAGATATACTCGACCAGTGGCTTCAAGTTTGTGATCTTAGCTATTCATTGTTGACAGCATTTTAGTTACACTTTTTTAATCGACTCAATGGAAAACCACTTCCTGAGGCATATATGTTCCTTAGTGGGTGGAGGATCCATCACGATCTTACATTACTTTTATATATGTATGCAGGATCATCATAACAATCTTAAAGTTTAATGTGAAACAGTTTTATTGTTTAAGAAGCTTTAGGGTTTTAAAAACTCATTTTAAAGGGTTTGGTTTCTTTACAGATCCCTTAAAAACCCTTTGGTCCTAAAACTTTTCAAAAAGTTTTTTTAAGTTATAATTAGTGTAATGACCCTATATAACATTTTGATCAATGTTAATTATTCAGTCCATTATTATATTGACTAAAAATGACGTCGCGAAATTTTCTTCTATAATATAATTTATTTTAGTGCCAAGCAACATGGATGTATCTGGAGCCGATATTCTCATCGGAAGATATAATGCGTCAAATGCCAACGGAAGCGAGGAACTTCCGGGATGTGGACAAGGAATGGCGGACCATCATGACGGCTACCCAGAAGGACCCGATGGTGCTGAGGGCCACAGACTTTCCGGGGCTGCTAAAGAAGCTGAAGTACAGCAACGCATTGCTGGATGATATACAGAGAGGATTGAATGACTATTTGGAGAAGAAGAGGTTGTTCTTCCCGAGGTTAGTCAAGTTATTCAACCTATACTTATAATAATTATAGAACCTGCACCTTTCTGAAAATTTCCTTTACATATTGAAATGTAGAATATCCTAGATGGAGATACTATGTAAATTGCTATACATGAATGAATTCGGTACAGCCCTGAATTGAACAATTGCAAATAATATTGAGTTGGGTTCTTTTCCTGTGTGAATATAATAAAACTTAACTATTAGTAGGTAATACGAGAGATGAGCATTATTTAAAGTAATATCTTCCGTAGGTAAAAATTAGACATACACGCGTATAAATTGTCAAATTTCCTTAGTAGACAGATAGATGACAAATAAAACCTTTATCGCCAGATTCCAGATACACAAAATAATACAAAAACATACAAATTTGGCGATCGGAACTGCCTTAGCTGTTGCTGATATAATAATACAACAATTATTTTCATCATTTATTAGATTCTTCTTCTTATCCAATGATGAACTTCTTGAGATTCTCTCTGAGACGAAAGACCCGATGCGTGTACAGCCACATCTAAAGAAGTGCTTTGAAGGAATTTACACGCTGGAGTTCAATGCTGCGAAGGAAATCGTGGGAATGGCTTCCGCTGAGGGCGAAGTCATCAAACTGTCCAGCACCATACAGCCGGCTGATGCTAAGGTAAGGCAGATGCTAAGATAAGGCTAAGGTAAGGCAATTACACGCATAACGCATAGAGGAAACATCAATTGGTCTATATATATATTGACGGCTTTGGTGGTTTAGCGGATTAGCACACCGCTTTACTTCCGATGGTCGAGGATTCGATTCCTCGCATGGTGCATTTAAATTAAGTGCTAATGTTTGTTTAAGTTATGAAAACTGAACATCTGAAATAAATATATAGATAGTTTTATTTTGTAAACACATACATAATATACATAGAAAACACCCAGACCGATACAAACAAACATACTCATGAATACAAATGTTTGTACCGTGTGTGGAATCGAACCCGCGACCATCGAAAGTAATGCGGGGTGCTTAAATGCTAATCCACCAATGCTTTTAATTTATAATACATATAAAGGTTCTCAACTTCGATATTTATGGCCCAGGGCATGGTGGAACGGTGGCTACAGCAATTGGAACAGCAGATGATTGTGAGTCTGCGAGATGTGGCTACGGAGGCAGTTGGTGCATATCCGAGCAGCAAACGCGAGGAGTGGGTCCTTATCTGGCCTGGGCAGGTCGTGCAGGCCGGCTCGTGCGTGCAGTATACAGCAGAAGTACGTATTATGGGACACAGTTACCTGGATACTCCAATACTGAAAATCAGCGCTGTAGTGACACACTGCGGCACCAGCTGAGTGGAAGCCTTTTCAGCATAGACGATTGTTAGTATTTAAGTTTTCTTTTTTACTCTGTACTCTTTTTTATGCTGAATAAATGATTATTATTATTATTATTAAGATAATTGTATCAGCTATATTTGCAATTAATTAAGGCTAGTAAATAACTGCCTAACTAAACTAGTAAATTACTTATATATTAACTGCCCTTACACGACACATTCTTTCTCGCACGACAAGTTATTTAGCGCGGGAAAGTTAGCGCACGCAAACTAAATATTGTCTATTAGCTGCCTTTATACGAAGATTCTTTCACGTGTGACAAGGAAAGCGTGTTTTTTAGAGCGGGATAGCCAGCGCGCGCAAAATAAATATTGTCTATTAGTTGTCTTTATAGATTCTTTCACGTGTGACAAGGAGGGCGTGTTTTTTAGAGCGGGATAGCCAGCGCGCGCAAACTAAATATTGTCTTTTAGCTGCCTTTATACGAAGATTCTTTCACGTGTGACAAGGAGAGCGTGTTTTTTTAGAGCGGGATAGCCAGCGCGCGCAAAATAAATATTGTCTTTTAGCTGCCTTTATACGAAGATTCTTTCACGTGTGACAAGGAGAGCGTGTTTTTTAGAGCGGGATAGCCAGCGCGCGCAAAATAAATATTGTCTTTTAGCTGCCTTTATACGAAGATTCTTTCACGTGTGACAAGGAGAGCGTGTTTTTTTAGAGCGGGATAGCCAGCGCGCGCAAAATAAATATTGTCTTTTAGCTGCCTTTATACGAAGATTCTTTCACGTGTGACAAGGAGGGCGTGTTTTTTAGAGCGGGATAGCCAGCGCGCGCAAAATAAATATTGTTTTTTAGCTGCCTTTATACGAAAATTCTTTCACGTGAGACAAGGAGAGCGTGTTTTTTAGAGCGGGATAGCCAGCGCGCGCAAACTAAATATTGTCTTTTAGCTGCCTTTATACGAAGATTCTTTCACGTGTGACAAGGAAAGCGTGTTTTTTAGAGCGGGATAGCCAGCGCGCGCAAAATAAATATTGTTTTTTAGCTGCCTTTATACGAAGATTCTTTCACGTGAGACAAGGAGAGCGTGTTTTTTAGAGCGGGATAGCCAGCGCGCGCAAAATAAAAATTGTCTTTTAGCTGCCTTTATACGAAGATTCTTTCACGTGTGACAAGGAAAGCGTGTTTTTTAGAGCGGGATAGCCAGCGCGCGCAAAATAAATATTGTCTTTTAGCTGCCTTTATACGAAGATTCTTTCACGTGTGACAAGGAGGGCGTGTTTTTTAGAGCGGGATAGCCAGCGCGCGCAAAATAAATATTGTCTTTTAGCTGCCTTTATACGAAGATTCTTTCACGTGTGACAAGGAGAGCGTGTTTTTTAGAGCGGGATAGCCAGCGCGCGCAAAATAAATATTGTTTTTTAGCTGCCTTTACCAATACATTCTTTCACGCGCAACCAGGAGAGCGCGCGATCGTGATTGCATTTAACGATTTTTTGTGATCACTCTTTCGCGCGTAATATTCGCATACGTTTCAATTTACTTCACTTTCTTTTAAAGTTGTATTTATTATTTCACAGATTTTATTTTCCAAATATAAGTTTAATATTTATAAATTATCAATAACTCTGTAATTATATTTTTGCTCCATAGTCAGTTGTCCGCAATTTTGTAATGATAATTCATTATTACTAAAAAGCGATAAAGCACGCACGATTGATGAACGCGGGAATGCGTTCACTGTCGGCCTGCGCGGTCTTTCTCGTTCTATTGGTTCTTCATTTACATGCACATTTTTTCCTGCGTGAAATTCTATTCGCCCCTGAAAGAGAGTACTTGTAAAGGCAGTTAATGGTGAACATAGGCTAACCTTACCTTAAACAAAAACGTTAAACACGTTGAAATTTAAAGCATTTATTGGCAGGGAGCGAATGATTTTTATTGACATATATTTTAAGGCTATAGAAGCGATCGAAACGAACAGTCTGCCTGCTCTGGTGGAGCGCAGCACGAAGCAGATAACGGGGCTGGTGTACCTGGTGCAGGGCGAACTGGACCCTGGCAATAGGATCACGATCGAAGCTCTCATTGTTTTGGACGTACACGGTAAACTCTCGCAGGGACTGGAAAGGGCATATAAATTTAATAATAATAATAATATTCTTGGACAATTCACACAACACCATCTAGTCACAATCTAAGCAGAGCCTGTTATGGGTACTAGACAACTAATATAATTATGAGATTTAGTGAGAGCAAGTAATAGCTTTTACTTCTATCTGCAAGCTTCTATTTATTAAGCCATTGTATTCTATTTTTTTCATTTTATTTCCTCCTTTGTTTTTCCCGCTTTATTTCTCTCTCTTTTTCCCTCTCGCACGTATACATGTTTCTTTTTCACGCACTATACTGCTGGTCTTTGCAGCTTCACCGAACGATAGACGAGTGCAGATGGCTCTCCAAACCCGCGGAAGGACTTATGGAGCGGCTGAAGGCCTACTTCCGCCTGACGGATACAACGTTAGTCTGAAGTTCACCGCTAGGTGTTCGAACCTCGGGGATTGATCGGACGAGAGGGCGTACATCTAATAATTTCGAGTACTTTCATAGGTCGATCAATATTGGAAGAGATGGCCAACAAACACGTGTCCGATATTACGGACTTCAACTGGATATCGCAGCTGCGGTACTACCTGCGCGGCGACCGCATCGTCTGTTCAATGATCACTACAGACGTGGACTACGGGTTCGAGTACCTGGGCAACACCGGCCGACTTGTAGCCACGCCGCTCACTGACAGATGTTTCAGGTCTCATTACTATTTACTGTAACACACTTTAAACGTCATCGTCCGAGAGATTACTTTAAATTACATAATGGATTTATATTATGTATCTACATAATAATACGTTAAGCAAAAACTTTGTACTTTTTTTACAAAAATATTATAAATACTATCATTATTCTATGTATACAAATTATAATTAAATAAAATATGTGTCTTCACGGTTGTATTTTAACTGATTTTTAATATATATAGACCAACCAATTGCATAATTTCAAAACATTTTATATGAAAGCTCAGAAACTAACGATTTTTAAGTGAAAAATACATTAAATCAATAAAAGAAACATTACACATACTAACATATATTTGACACACACACGCATATACACTTTTGTTATTCCTGGTTCAAAACTCTTTTAGATTTTTAATTATGGTCGAATTTGGACCTCTGGGTGGCCACTAGTTTTGTTTAATTCCACTACTATTAGTATGCCAAAATGCCATGCCATAACCTGACCTACTGGAAACGTTACGACATTCTCTATTGGTATCAAATTCCAACCGTTATTGAGTCTACACGTACCTATATTGCGAAGAAGAAAGTCGTAACGCTTCCGCTTTATTGATTGATTATCTTTTGATAGTAAAAATGTCAATGATGAAATCACGTGCATGAATATACTGTAGTTCTTTATTTTCACTTTAACTCTGCCACTCCTTTAGGACCCTCATGAGTGCCTTAAAGCTGAATTTGGGCGGTGCGCCGGAAGGTCCAGCCGGCACCGGTAAAACGGAAACCACTAAAGACCTCGCGAAAGCGGTCGCTAAGAAGTGTGTGGTCTTCAATTGTTCAGACGGGTTGGATTACAAAGCGCTTGGGAAATTTTTCAAGGTATATACTTTATGAAATAGGTATATATCTTAATCATCATTATCACCATCACCACGACCACCACCATCACTATCGCCATCACCACCATTATCATCATAACCATCATCATCACCATCGCCACAGTCACCATCATCATCATTTAAGCCTGTATCTATACAATGATGGACATGGCGATTCCCAATGCCTTCTGCTATGTGTATTTCCGCCTTCTGCATCCATCCATTCCCGGCCACCTCGATGTCATCAGTCCCTGTACGTGGCTTCCATTCCATAATATAATAAATTCATGGAAACATATTGTTTTTGTAGCAGTGGCGTGAAATATTATTATTATTATTCGAGGTACCCACGCAGAGGTCAAATCGGTAATGCAGTAATGAAACAATGATATTACAGGGTTTGGCTCAATCTGGGGCATGGGCATGCTTTGACGAGTTCAACCGGATAGACCTGGAAGTTCTCTCGGTGGTGGCCCAGCAGATCCTCTCCATCCAACTGGCGATACTCCGCCGGGAAAAGCGGTTCGTGTTCGAAGGCACGGAGATCAGCCTCAACCCGACCTGTTCCGTCTTCATCACAATGAATCCAGGGTGAGGGAGGATTGGCACTTATTTCTTAATAATGATATAGTAAATTTTATTAATCATACATATTTTTTGGGTTGTTATTAGAGGATCCCGGTCGATTTTTCTAATCCCGGGATTTCGGGATTATCTACAATTAATCCCTGGAATGTATTGGTAATAGAAAGTGGTAACAAAAAGACAGTAAATCATATCGAAATCAACTTCTTAATTAAACTTTTAGTTAAATCTTGAAATAACAAATCTCGGTCATATTTTAGTCGTCGAAGTTTCGAGTCTCGAGTTTTTCGAAAAACTCGTAGACTTGAAGTTACAATGGGAGCCCCATATTTCTAAATTAGCCAATAGACTCAGTTCTGCTGCATACGCAATTAGAAGATTTAGGCAACAAAATTTAAATCCAAACTGTTTGTCATTTAGAATTCGTTTTGATTGAGGAATTTAACTAACCGCTTCTAGAAGATGCGTTCTAAAAGTTTGGAAGAAGCTGGTAAAAGTCATATTGGAGGGTTATTAGTCGTATCATCTTTATATTTCCCGTAACGTTTGGTCGGTCAGCTAGTAATTATATATATATATAAATATATATATATATAAAAGTTATACAACCTTAACACCATATTTCTTTAAACCAGATACGCAGGCCGTACCGAATTGCCTGACAACCTAAAGGTACTGTTCCGTACTGTCGCTATGATGGTGCCTGACTACGCGATGATTGGCGAGATCACGCTTTACTCCAACGGGTTCGTCAGCGCTGGACCGTGAGTATACTATAATAGAAATAGAAATAATATTTATACAAAAATAACTTAATATAAGCACTTTTCTTTATACTATGTTAAACACCAATATTACCCACTCAATACCACCTATACCTCTTTTGGGTTGACTGAAAGAGATCTCTTCTAGGGATAAGTTCAGCTTTGCTCACATTGTCTCTAAATTATAATAATATGTATATATATATGTATGTATTATCTATGCAATAAAGAACATATATATGCTGTGAGTTGCAGCTGGCCTTTACAGCTTCACCAAACGATAGGTGGAGGACTTATGGGGCGGCTGAAGGCCAATTCTTGCCTGACGGTTTGACTTTAGTCTGAGGGCACCGCTAGAAGTTCGAACCTTGGCTCAGGCCCTCGTAATTTCGATTACCGTTTGAATTGTATTATTTGTTCTAGCGTGCTATAGTCAGCTGCCTATTTTTTATGTCCAATATATATGTTTGACTACGATTTGATAGCAATTTGAACCGGCACGAAATGGCAGATTTTTTTTACATGTTAGCAAAGGTTAGCAAATCTTCAACCCAACCTCCGAACCCCAGCTGACTTCCACTAAATTTTAAACTCCATTTTTCTCAAGGATCTTAGAAGTTTTCGATCGCAAGAAAATAATTGACAAACAAAGTCTTTGGTTCGATGATTATTAAATCTATGAAATAAAAATAAAGATATATGTTTTATTTCTTAACCGGGAACATAGACTGGCGCGTAAGATAGTGCAAGCATACAAGCTGTGCTCGGAGCAGCTGTCGTCGCAGAATCATTATGACTACGGGATGCGCGCGGTGAAGTCTGTCCTACTCGCCTCCGGAGCCCTAAAGAAGAACTATCCGGAGAAGGACGAGGCTCAGCTCGTGCTACGGGCCATCATTGACGTCAACATGCCCAAGTTCCTTTCCCAGGTCTGAACGCTATATTTGTTTATTGAACGCAACGTACTGAAGAGATTACAGCATGGCCTTTTCATGGTATATTAAAGTTTCTTAAGGAAAGGCAACGCGTACGTGACACACCTGGTGTTTCTTTCAGGCGTCCATAGGCTACGATAACCGTTTACCATCAGATAGGACGCCTACGTAGGCGTCCTATCATCTATGATATATATGATATACATCTATATAGTCCTATCCTATCGAGAATTTAATAATAAACGGTGGTAAAGGACGTGCTTTACCACCGTTTATTATTAAATAAAATGAGTTATAACTGTATTGCATTGCATATTTATCTATATTTAGAATTAATGTATGACATTATATAATATCATATACTATATGTATTATATATATTATATATTATATATTTATTTCATATATATTATATAATATTTATTAGTAACTTTGTGATTGCTTTTTGACATAACTACCCCACAACGCTTTCTGTATACCTAAAGGTTAGCTGGTGGAGTATGGCATACGGCATTAAGCTCGCCTTTGTATAAGTTATATTGTGCATTAAAGAATAAAATATATTTGTTGTGTATTGTATTTTACTTGACTAATGTAATTGTATATCTGTTTTTATATTTGTTCTTAATATTACAGTGCCACAGTATGTGTGCCTTTAACGTGAATAAATTTTTATCTATCTATTCAAACAGGACGATAATTTTTTTCTCGTCCAGGATGTGCCTCTGTTCGCGGGTATCTACTCGGACTTGTTTCCCGGCGTGGAGATCCCCCAGCCGGATCGGGCCGAGCTGCTGCGCTGCATAGTCAAGGATCTGGAGAAACGGAACCTCCAGCCCACGGAGTGGTACCTCGAGAAGATCATACAAGTTAGATGATAATTATATACATATATAATATCCAATAATACAGGCTCGTTTGAAAAGAATAAGAGCTGAGTTGCTTGTTAATTTTTCTTAGCTTGAAATTATTCCGAATTCCGATTTGACACATCATAAGAGTCTGTAATAGACCTACATGACTAAAGAAATTTGTTTGATTTGATTTGATCCCTAGACAATTCACTTGTGTTATATGGGTATTAGACAGCTGATATAAATATATAATATATGTATTTATATATCAGCTGTCTGTTTTTGTAAATACAAACATATATAAAATAACACAAACCAATATGATTATACTGAAATCTTAGTACCGTGCGAGGAACCAAAACCACGATCATCGGAAGTAAAGCGGTGCTCAAACTATATAGATCATTACGTATTACTATGTAATATTATATTATCTGTGGTATTACCCTCGACTTCAGTAAGTACAAGATAATCTGTCTAGGTGTTTTAATATAGTTAAATCGGTTCAGCCGTTCTCGAGTTTTAGCGAGACTAACGAACAGCAATTCATCTTATATATAAAATTCTCGTGTCACAGTTTTCGTTCCCATACTCCTCCGAAACGGCTTGACCGATTCTCATGAAATTTTGTGAGCGTATTGAGTAGGTCTGAGAATCGGCCAACATCTATTTTTTGTCCCCCTAAATGTTAGGGGTAGTCCACCCCTAATTTTTTATTTTATTTTAAGGCAAAACAACGTTTGCCGGGACAGCTAGTTTTTATATATATAGATATAAAGCCACTGACAGGCAAATAACACCAAATTAGTTAATTAAAAACAAATAACAACAAATTAATTGTTTTAATGCCTGATATAAAGGCAACAAAAATAAAGATTTAAAAAAATGTTATTATTGTAACCCTGCCAGATCTATGAAATGATGTTGGTCCGTCATGGGTTCATGGTCGTGGGTCCACCCATGGGAGGCAAGACCCAGGCCTACCAGTCGCTGGCGGACTCCCTGCGCGCGCTGCAGCTCATGAAACCTCCTCCAAGGCATAAGGAGTTCGGAGCCGTGTACAGGATCTTGAACCCGAAGGCAATCACTATGGGTCAACTGTACGGGTGCTTCGATCCGGCCTCTCATGAATGGTGAGCAAAAACTCTATACTCAGTACATAAGAATTGGGGGAAAGGGCATTATGGGGCATTATACTCATGACTCCATTACTAGCAATGTACCATGTCAGATGGACCTCCACGCGGTTTCCCCTGGAAACAATCGTGATAAACGTTCCTGGTGAATTTGTCACGATGGGCTAACTGACCTGACCTCATATTCATCTTATTATCCTCCACTGGGGCCCAGCCAACGTAAACGTTTAGCGCAGGCGGGTGCACCATTCCATTTATTATCCATAAAGAAATATAAGAATTATGGGCACCTGGAAACATCATGGTAAATTGCCATTTGCCAAGTTAAGGTAACTCACTGACTTCATGCTCATTTTATCACCTTCCACTGGTGCTCCGCCAGCGCAAACCGTTACCGCAAGCGGGTGGACCATATTTTTTTATAGACAAAAAAAAATACCTAAGAATTGGGTGGAAGGTGATTGTTTTATGTGAATTAATCACCCCATATCTAACAATTTACCATGACAGGTTAATCTTCATACGGACTACCTGTACTATAATGTTAAATGCGTGGTGAATTTGTCACGATGGGCTGACTGACTTGACCTCATACTCATCTTATCACCCTCCACTGGTGCCCCTCCAGCATATACCATTAGCGCAGGTGGGTGCACCATTCCATTATCATCAGTTTTCAAAAATAGATAAGAATTATGGCGTTACGGTTTACGATTATCAACAATGTGTGTACGAGGATCCCCTGGAAACCACCGTGAAAAAATTCTGTTGAATTTGGATGGGCTAACTGACCTAATTAGACCTAATGATTTTTAATTAAAGTCGTTTCCACTTGTTTCACAAAAATTTAAAGACTGGTTCTTTAAATAAAGCGCGTTTAAGTAGTGAAGTTGTCCAGGGTTAATATTATTATATCGAACCCTCGACCATCAGAAGCATAGCGGTGTGCTAAACCACTAGACTACCGAGACTCATAATTCAAAGTCACATGAGACACAACATTTACTAACATTTGCGACTGGGGCAGGTCGGACGGCGTTCTGGCGATCGCGTTCCGCGAGTACGCGATGTCGATGACTCGTGATCGCAAGTGGATCCTGTTCGACGGGCCCGTGGACGCGGTGTGGATAGAGAACATGAACACCGTACTCGACGACAACAAGAAGCTGTGCCTCATGAGCGGGGAGATCATACAGGCGAGACAGTCATACACACCCCAGAGTAGAGTAGGGTACGGTAGAGTAGGGTAGAATAAAGAAAAATAGATTACAGTAAAGTAGGGTAGAGTAGAGTAGAATAAAGTAAGATAGAGTAGAATAAGGTAGAGTAGAGTAGTGTACAGTACAGTAGGGTAGAGTGGGGGTAGGTAGAGATTGAATTTTTCATTTGAATTATAGTAGTAGAGTAGAATGCAATATAACATAAATTTTCTGTTGTATTGCATTTATTCAAATAAAGTTAAATTTAAGAACTTTTGAAAAGTCATGCTTATTTTTTTAATCTAATCCTCATTCGGAAAGCTTTCTCATTACAAATGTAAAAAAATGATATATTTTTATTTAGTAATAAGAGGTATGGTAGCAGACAACTTTGAACGAGGTCTGAGCAACACACAAGTTTTTTGCTCATTCTTCTTGAATTGTGTTACAGACAGATTAAAACATATCATGACGGTTTAGAAGTGCTTATATTAGTTTTACAACTATTACTTATTTATTTAATTCTACTAGCTGACTCCGTTCCGCCTCAGAATTAAAATTGAAGTTTAGTAACGCAATAAATTTCTGAACGAACCCTGTTTGACAGATACGAACAGTTTGCATGGGAAAATAAAATTGTTTATATTATTTTCTATGCAATTTCTTTATATTTGATAATCGTTTAAACCTTTCCTGGACTTCCACGAATAAATCAAAACTAAAATTAGCCAAATCGGTTCAGCCGTTCTTGAGTTTTAGCGATACTAACGAACAGCATTTCATTTTTATATATGTAGATTACTAAAATAAATAAGTAATATTTGTAATCATCATCATCATTGCCTTGCCTTTATCCCATTATTTGGGGTCGGCGCAGTATGTCATTCTCTTCCACTGATCTCTATCAGTCGTCATATCTAAACATACTCTTCTTTTATTCATATCATCTTTCACACAATCCATCCATCTTTTCTTAGGACGTCCCCTCCCTTTATAAGTAATATTTGTAATGTTTCTGATATTTAATTACTCTTATCTGCCCGGAAATATAAGGGGCCTAAAAAGTAGGTACACAAAGAATTGGTACCTACTTTTTAGGCCCCTAGAAAACACCTAGAATTTTGACTTTGACTGGAATATGTTTAATTACAGATGACAAATAAAATGAACTTAATCTTCGAGCCGGCAGACTTGGAGTTCGCGTCTCCGGCGACGGTATCGCGCTGCGGCATGATATATATGGAGCCGGAACAACTAGGTAAGTCATTAGCTGCTTTTATATGACAATTAGTAGAGTCCTGGACACCATATATGTATATTATTAAGGCCATATACAGGAATATGTATATAACTCAATTTGTACCACGAATTGAATGCGTTATTTTTGAAAATATAGAAATGAATGAAGCATACCTACATACTGTAATTAAAACAGTAAAAAAAATCTCAGGACAATTCAAACAGCGCCATCTAGATACAAGTTAAGCTTGCTAAAGCTTGTGTACTAGATAACTGATAAATATATAGATATACATCTTAGCAAAAAATATTTTTATAAATTTAATAATATTTCCTCGGTGGTCTAACGGCTTAATACACCGCTTTACTTCCGATCATCGCGGGTTCGATTCCTCGCATGCACAAATATTTATATTCATGAGTATAATTGTTTGTATCTGTCTGGGTGTTTTCTGTGTATAATATTTATACATTTACAAAAAAATATCTATGGATATGTATCAGTTATCTAGTACCCATAACACAAGCTTTAGCTAGCTTAACTTGGGTCTAGATGGCGCTCTGTTAATTGTCCTGAGATTATTTTAATAAGTAATAATTGTGCATGTTTTAAAATATTGTTAACATACAACTTATTTTACAATTCATTGTGTATTCTTTTTCTTTCTCTTCGTTTCTAGCTATTATATATATTTGCCTAATTTGAAAGATTGTGACAAAATATTAATAGATAAAGTCTGTTTTTTTATATAAATTTTAGTTTTTATAAATAAGAAGAAAATACTGAAATTTAATGTAACTATACTTATTTTGAATATACAGTCTCTTCCTTTCTAATTGTTTCTTTAATTTGAAAAATGCGACAAAACACTAATAGTCCAAGTGTTTTTAGAGTTTAATATAAACAAGAGGAACATATTATATATCTATACATATAAATAAAAACTATTCGTAATATTTTAACCGTTTTTTACTAAAAGCATATGAATATAAATACGGTACATACACCAAATTAACATTTTTTACAATTTTTGTCTGTATGTCTGTCGGTCTGTTTGTTCAGGCTAATCTCTGAAATAGCTGCACCGATTTTGACGGGACTTTTTTGGCAGGTAGCTGACGTAATAAGGAGTAACTTAAGCTACTTTTGTTTTAGAAATATAAAGTTAAATTCGTTCGCGTGGACGAATACGCGGGAACAGCTAGTTCTACTATATATATATATATATATATATATATATATATATGTGCTATATATATATTAGACGTTATATTCAAACAAAAAGGTTGGCGCGCCTTTCTCGCGTCGTACAACGCGCATTTGAGCAAGAAGCTGATTCCTGAGCAGTTCGAGCTCATCCAAGAGCTGATCGATTGGCTGGTGCCACCGATCTTCGAGTTCCTGCAGCTGCGGTGTCAGCATTTCGTTCATGTTGGAGAGATACACCAGTTTTACGTGAGTATCATGAGTAGTACAAATTCAAATTCAAAATATCTTTATTCATGTAGGTCTATTACAGACTCTTATGATATGTCAAATCTACCGTCAGTTCGGAATGATTTCGACATGAAAAGAACTGACAAGAATATTTATTAGTTTAGGGGACCCCTTAGAGGCGACTATTGCTGAGGATATGAAATTCAAATTCAAATTCAAATTCAAAAATCATTTATTCATGTAGGACATTTTAGCCGCTTATGAACGTCAAGTTTTACATTATAATTTTTTTCCCTACCGTCCAGTTCGGTATACAGATCCAATTGAGAAGAACTGGCAAGAAACTCAATTGAATTACTTTTTTTTTAAATCCAGTTTATTTACAATGCATAGGTATTTATATAGGTGTCTATGTCTAACATTAAATGAAAATCCCGAACATGAAAACTATTGCCATGCACGCTCGTCATTCAAGTAATAGAAATAGAAATAGAAATAGAAATAATCTTTATTCAAATAAACTCATTACAAGCACTTTTGAATAGTCATATTTTGATTCTACCACTCATTCGGAATGCAGATTCATCACAAGAAGAATGAGCAAGAAACTTGTGTGTTGCTCTTTTTAATAGATGTTTTTTTTTATATAAATAATTACAGTATAACAAGTAAGAGGCATGCGATAATCAACATAGAAGTCGCTACGCACTCATTATTAATTTATTATCTTATGGTAATAATTTTATTTATTTATTTACATCATACTAGGTGAGATGTTTAGATATATCTTTAGTTTTGTATTATACTAGCTTACTCGATATCATTTAATATCGTATCTATTATCTTATCTGTGGTTTAGGAGAGACCAACACCTTAGAGGCGAATATTGCTGATGATATGAATTAATGTTTAATAACGAATTACGTTCAGACGGTCGGTGATGGATTTTTTAAAAACCACTTCCAAAAAACAGCAATATTCATAATATTAATACTAGATTTCAATACAAACTTGCTGTCCCCGAGTATCGTTTAGAAAAAGTTAATAGATCTTTTATGGGAATAGGTATAAAAATTTACAATAAGATACCAAAGGATATGTTGGAATTACCCTTAAATAAATTCAAAACATCTGTTAAATCATATTTACTGAGCAAGTCCTATTACACACTAAACGATTACTTGAATGACGAGTGTGCATGGCAATAGTTGTTCATGCACTGAATTTTCATTTAATGTTAGACACAGACACCTATATAAAAATACATTGTAAATAAACTGACTTTAAAACAAAAATGAATTCAATTGAGTTTCTTGCCAGTTCTTCTCAATTGGATCTATATACCGAACTGGACGGTAGGGAAAAAATAAAATTATAATGTAAAAATTTGACGTTCATAAGCGGCTAAAATGTCCTACATGAATAAATGATTTTTGAATTTTTAAAAGCCAAAGAATGTTCAGTCACGTTATTTATTTAAATCTAAATTACAATTAATAATCTCGATTGATTCGACTTATAACTAAATTAACCTATTCGATTTCGCGACTAAATCTAGAGTGACCGTGCCTTCCTTTGTTCTCGTACTTCTTGGATACCGTTCTTTTGAGTCATCAACTGTTGGAAAGTATTGGCACATATTTTCAAGAACAATCTAATCTAACCTAAATCTAACTATATTGACTGAGTGACTGATTGTGTAACAAGTAGGTAGTTGTATGGACATAGGGGGTTTGTATCCGTAAGAAACGTTTAACAAAACTGTCAACAAAAAAAACATATATGTACCATTTTGATCACAAAGTTTCATATCACCACAGTCGTTCACTCGTCTGTTCACGTGCCTGCTGGAAGGCGAGTCGCAGTTCAGCACGGTGTGGTTGCAGTGTACCTTCGTATTCGCTCTCCTCTGGGGCCTCTGCGCGACCATCAATGGTAATTATAGAATTTGATCTTGGTCTAGTGGTTAGCAAGCTGCCTTACAGTCTGAAGGTCGTGAGTTAGATTTCTACACAATGTTATCCTTTGAATAAATCTAAATTTCTTTTAATTTTTTTATTTTATATGTTCACTCACGCAAATTTTATTTCCCAAGGACACGTTCTTTGGGAAATAAAATTTATGAAATAAAAAAATAATATTAATAGAAATTGCAATGTATGCATGAATCATACGCGTCAGTGTCCGCGCAAGTGAGTGAACATATAAAATAATTAAAAGAAATGTATAGTGTATGGTAATTAAATTGTTCAACAATCTTCCAAAGGAGATTAGAGAATTGAGATCTCGTATATTGTTTATTTATTTATTTAATTAAGACAATATAAACTTACAGCTAATTGCCAACACGTTTATATTTTAAAACTATTTATACTACTTAAAATTATACGATGATAAAAATATTCTTATTTTAGTAATTATAGAAGGCAAGGCTTCTGTATAAACGTCAGCATCTTGGACCTTACCTAAAAATAAATTTAATAATTGCAATGCTCTCATAGTGGGAGAATTGCTAGCGTGGCTTGTGTACCGACGCGGTTGCAAACAGTCGGACACGACGACTGGTGACACTTCTCACGTAATTCGGTGGGATTCGATTTAAACGCACTAAAAAATTGACTGTCACTTGGTATTTTTTTTTATACCACATAGGTGGTAGACAAGCATCCTATCTGATGATAAACTGTTACCGTAGCCTGTGGATGCCTGAAATACCCGTGTTGCCGACCTTTAAGAAACCTTAATATACCCTTCTTGAAAAACCTCATATTGTAGTCTCTTGAGAAAACCTCGGTAGATAGTTCATTCCACAGTTAGTACGCGGGAGGAAGCTCCTCTGAAACCTCACTGTCCGAGACCAAGTTCCAATTTCTACAGTATCCAAGAACATTTGAGTAAAACGAATACTTTCATATAATTTGCATCCCTATATGATAAATATTGCTGATCAATAATATTTCATGTAACATTATTTCTACTTCAACGGACCGGAAGACGCAGCGTGGGAAGGCCTCCAGCAAGGTGGACCGACGATCTGGTCAAGATCGCTGGAAGGCATTGGATGCGAGCAGCGCAGGACCGATCGTCGTGGAGATCTTTGTGGGAGGCCTATGTCCAGCAGTGGACGTCTTCCGGGCTGCGATGATGATGATGATGATTATTTCTACTGTACCAATATTTCGCAAATAAATTATTTAATTTCATTTCGATTCTAAAAATTGGATTTTTTTTCAATAGAATTCGAAAAATTTCTATTCAGGTGACAGTCGCAAACAATTCGACACGTTCTTCCGTAAGTTACTCGACGGGAACAACTCAGCGTACCCGAAACCGAAGTCGTTCAAGCTCACCAAGAACCAGCTGTTCCAGGATAAGGATACGGTGTTCGATTTCGTTTATGATAAGAGAAACAACGGCACCTGGATACCTTGGATGGAATTGGAGAAGGAAGTGCCGCTGCCTGCTAACGCTAAGGTATTCTTTGTCACGTCTGGTTATTATATTCTTTATTTATATTAATTTAGATAACTAAATACTGTTTATGTAACATCTCGTCCCGTGATCATCGGAAATAAAGCCGTTAGTCTGTGGACTAGCTTTGTTTCCGATGATCACGGGTACGATTCCTCGCACGGTACAAATATTTGTATTGACGAATATGATTGTGTGTATCTTTTATACACGACTCGATAGATAAGTCCAGATATAAAATGACCTCACTGTCGGCATTGTGGTGAAGCAATGTCCAAATTTTGCAGAAAATATTTAAAATGAAATGTATGTTTCAAGGTAGTTTAGTCAAGGTTTCTTAAGAGTCGGCAACGCGCACGTGACTTCGCTGGTTTTTCAAACGTCCATAGGCTAGGGTAAACGTTTAGCATCAGACGAGCCGTATGCTTAATTGCCACAAACATAGTATAAAAAAAAATTCTAAGCTGTTCCATTATTTCCAGGTAAACGACCTTATTATCCTGACAAACGAGAACGCATGCCTCCGCTTCTTTGTGGCGAAGATGGTGAAGTCCAAGATCCCCATCCTCCTGGTGGGTCCCACCGGCACCGGGAAGTCCTCGTTAGTGCTCAATTTCTTGCTGACACTGCCCAAGGATAAGTACATCACGAATAACATCAATTTCTCTGCCAGGACCACCGCTAACCAGGTGAAATATTTACTACACGTATATACATACTTTACTATTTGTTACCGGCCACTTCTACACATTACTATTTGAGATAATAGATAGTGTAAATGATCATATTCCTTCATATTAAATTCCATTAAAATCGGTTTAACCTATTAATTATGAAAAGATAACAGACAGGCTGATACATTTGGCATTACTAATTTTAGTGTATGGATTTTTTTAATGGATGAGGTAAAGTTGAAGTTAGATCAGTTAGCCCATCGTAACGAATACCTCATATGCTTGGATTTATCACGAAGGTTTCCAGACTTACCTAGCCTTAATTTATGATATTTTTGCCGTATCTTCTGCACTTGTTTGATAATACTTCCGTTTCAAATAACATCTTAAAACTAACTTATCTTTGAACTATTTTAAAAATTCGAACCTCACTCTCAGAGTTCCACTACCTCTTGCGAAACTCCTGCAACTTATATTGATTACCCTCCTCGCTGACGATGGTTTTAAATGTATTTTTTGCAGACCCAAGATATAATCATGTCTAAAGTTGATAAGAGAAGGAAAGGCGTCTTTGGACCGTCGATGGGAAAGAAGGTATCGAGCATCAATGACCATTCCTACCTTGATAATTTAGTTGGTTTCTGGATTAGGATTATGATACTTTTTCTTTTTTAAACAAAAGATAATGTCGCTAATATTCCTGAAATGCACCAATGACAATCTTTGCTTATATGCATGAAATGCACCAATGTTACATAATCATGTAATATCTGTAGAACCACTAATTCGTTGCCATTTCTAGGGACTAAGATGTTATGTCTCCATACTATGTAATTTCACTGGCTTCTCTCACCTTCGTACTGAAACTAAGCCAGGTACATGATGGCTGAAATAGGTGTTCTCACAAAAGACTTTGTACAAAGTGTACTTCGGTAGATTCAAGGTAGTAATAATGAATGAAAATAATAGAGGTGCTGGTAGAAACGTTTATTATAGCAGAGCGCAGTGACACAAGTAATATAAATCTAAATGTATAAAAAGAATCACTCATATTTTACATATGGATAAACGAATATAAAAAGTACCAGTGACTCTAATTGTAGGTCTAACAAAGGTTATAGAATATATTACGTTGCTATTTCTAAAAATTAATTCGTTATACCTTTTGCGTCGAAGAGGTTTTATGAGAATTATATGTTGTTGCAGTGTGTGCTGTTTGTGGATGACTTGAGCATGCCTCAGAAGGAGCAGTGGGGTGCGCAGCCTCCGCTGGAGCTGCTGCGGCAGTGGATCGACCACGGACACTGGTACGACCTCAAGGAGATGGTGCGCCAGGAAGTAGTCGATGTGGTATGTGGTATAACTATCTGTTTTCGGTTCAAAGTGCATTCCGAACCGGCGGCAGTTTCACTTTGACTTATGTGATGTATAGACTTGCATGAATAAAGATATATTCAATCAAAGTTTGGACTGGTGATCGTGTCTTAGTGTTGTGTTATATAAATTTAGTAAGGCGTCAATTTATAAGTAAATTAAAGCTGTTTCTAATCATTGTTAAACATTTGTAGGTACGTAGGTTAAATACAAATTATGCTTAAATTTTAAATATTTTTTTTAATTTGGTTAAGTTTTAAGGTGTGGAGACACAAATGAAACTGTTATATTATTATTTAGGTTTACTGTTTGTTTTGTGTATGCAAATAGAACTATGATGTCTACAGTTGATTATCCCATTTCAGAGTATATTCAGATTTGTTTTATGAAATAAAATTATAATTTTATTCAAGTTATTAGTGTCGGCGATGCTGCCTCCTGGCGGTGGTTCTAACGTGATCTCATCCCGGCTGACTCGTCACATGCTCCTCATCACGCTGGATTCCTTCGAAGACAACACACTGAACAAGATATTCGGCACCATCATGGACTGGCACTTCGCTAAGGGTTTTACTGATATCCTTATGAGACAGACCAAGGTATATTAGAATAGAATAGAAAATCATGAAGCACTTTTGAATAGTCATTACATTTTTTTAATCTACCGCTCGTTCGGAAAGCTGTCTCAACCCAAGAAGAACGAGCAATGAACTTGCATGTTGCTCTTTTAAATATTAGGTGCCTTTACATGATACGTTCTTTCACGCGCTATCAAGAACACGCGTAATCATAAGTGAATGCTAAATTAACATTTCACTCTCTACTCTGTTCTATTCTATTCTGTGATGAACTTGTCACAGGCGGTGGTGTCAGCTACAATGGAAGTGTACAAGACGGTTACCGTTCAATTCCTGCCAACACCAAGCAAGTGCCACTACCTGTTCAACTTGCGCGACTTCGCGAGGGTCATCAAGGGTATACTGCTGGTGCCGTCCACACACATGAAGGAGATGAACAAGCTGGTGGCTCTGTGGGTGCATGAAACATACAGGGTGTTCTACGATCGGCTTGTAGACGACGCTGACAGGTACAGTTAGGTTAATAAACATCATTAGTTTTATCAGCGATATCGTATATTTTTTAGAGATAATGTAATAAATATAATGAATTCAAGGAATATATAATTTGAATATTTTATACAATACTAGCTGAGCCCGCGGTTTCTCCTGCGTAAAATTTATAGCATATGCGTTATTTTGATATGTAAGCTATATTATTGGAAAGTTTCATCAGAAATATTTATGTTAATTTTGATCTTGTGATGGACCTTTGACGATGTGACATTTTCTTTTGCTATCATTGTCTCAACGACACGATTTATATTATTTATAAGTATACACACTACATTTGTCTTATATATATATAAAATCGTATAGCATGTTATCTTTAGGTGGGCAATGGTGTCTGAGATACAGGCTAGGCCAGCCCAAACTACTGCACGGACTTGATATTAAATAGTTTTAAGAACTATTGTATATATATGAATTAATATAGATATATAACCTTTGTTAAGTCCGTTTTGTATTTGTTTTTTTTTTTTCACAATAAAGTTATTATTATTATTATTAAAAAGTTTCATCAGAAATATTAGTAAGATGTTAATTTTGTATCCCTGTGATTTTTCTTTGATTTAGTCAAGTTTGATATTTTCTTTTGCTATAATGTCTACTTCCAAATCCGATACGAGTTTATATTATATGTATAATAAAAAAATACACAATACATCTTTAATAAAATAGACGTGTTCCTGTACTTCTGTATATCAGCGGCCTAACTGTACTTGGAACATTTTACAGACTCAAATTGTTCGACGTGGTGTACAAAGCGGTGTACGGCCACTTCCGCGTTCACATGGACCAGGTGATGACGGAACTCGGGTACGTTCCCGAGGGTGACAAGCTCGCCAACAAGCACGCCGCTAACATATTCTTCGGTAATTACATGGAGCCTGATGCAGATCCTAAGATATATGATCAGGTACCAAGATGTATATTATAGCTTAATTCGATTAATTTTATTGTATACTAGCTTAAATTCCACGCGGACGAAGTCGGGTGTACATCCGACTTCGTCCGCGTGGAATTTAACTATATTTTTCAAAAATAAAAAAATTTTTAGAAGTATAGATAGAAGTAGCGTAAGTTACTCCTTATTACATCAGCTACCTGCCAATAAAAGTCCCGTCAAAATCGGTCCAGCCATTTCAGAGATTAGCCGGAACAAACAGACCGACAGACAGACAGACAAAAATTGTAAGTGTTTTTTTTTGGTATATGTACCGTATTTATATTCATATGCATGTAGTAAAAAACGGTTATTTCCATATTACAAACAAACACTCGAATTTTATTTATCATCATCATCATCATCATCATCATCTGTTTCTTCCTTATCCCATTTATTTGGTGTCGGCGTAATATGTTTTTCGCTTCCATTCATCCCTGTTCGCAGTCATCGCGTTATTTACTTCCTTTCTTACCATATCATCTTTCACACAGTCCATCCATCTCTTTTTCGGCCTTCCTCTGCCCTTATAACCATCCACATTCATATGTAACACCTTTCTTAAAATATTATCCTCGTTCCTACGCATTACATGTCCATACCATGATAGACGATTACTCTTCAACCTCTCTGACACCGGTGCCACTTTCATTTTATTTATATGTATAGATTAATGTAATCATAATACGTAAAACAAACTTTGTTATTTAAAGTCATAGTCATTTACTCATAATACTGGCTTTTTACTAAAATTGGATTTAATTTCTACACACTTTTTTAATTTTACAATTACAGCGAAGTTGTCGCTTACATCTAGGTGCAGACTGGGCTCGTAGCATTTTTTTTTCGGACTACTCTAATGCTGTTGGCCGCAGCTGGCCTTTACAGCTTCACCGGACGATAGGGGGCGAGTGCACATGGCAGTCCAAACCCGCGGAAGGACTTATGGAGCGGCTGAAGGCCAACTCCCGCCTGACGGATACGACTTTAGTCTGAGGGCACCGCTGGGGGTTCGAACCTCAACACAGGCCGTCGTAATATCGATCCCCGTTTGAATTAGTCAGGGGATCGATCGAAGGGCTCGTGGTATCCGTTACGTACAAATTAACACCGCACGCATTTGTCTATACAAGCAATAGACAATTTTAAAACGATATTTTTTTAATTCGTATTATGAAACATGTCGCTTACAATATGTACTAATTAGGTGACGGACTTGGACGATATGGCGGTAAAGATGGAGTACTATTTGGAGGAGTACAACGTGGTGTCCTCATCACCGATGTCCTTGGTCATGTTCCGGTATGCTCTCGATCACATATCCAGGTGCACGCGTGTTTTACTGCAGGACAATGGTTAGTATATATTTTATCATAATATGCATACGTGAAGCAAATTTAGCACACCTATAATTTATACAGGATGCAGTCCTTTTTCAATGAATACAAACCAAATGAAATTAAAAATTATTTGTATATGTATTAATTTGACATTTATCAAGTTTTTTGTATTATCACTTTTCCCTATAGTCTATACTCATATGATACCGTCTATATAAATCCTAATATATTTTAAAATTATATATCATTACATAGTATAAAACAAAGTCGTTGTCGCTGTCTGTCCGTCCCTATGTATGCTTAAATCTTCAAAACCCCGCAACGGATTTTGAAGCGATTTATTATAACAGATAGAGTGATTCAAGAGGAAGGTTTATATATATAATACATGTGCACCCGTGAGAAGCCGGGCGAGTAGTTAGTATATTCTATAATATTTTATACAAATACATTAAAAAAATAAAACATTACACGCATTACCATTATATTACACGACTGATAACAAAACGTCATTGTCAATATTGTTAATAGATTGATCAATGTAATATAAAATATATTGTTTAAAAAAGCGAATAGGTATGTGAGTGACATACGTGTAAACTCGCGCGATAGAGTAAACATACAATATGATTATAAAACAATATCTCACGTCGCCTTTCCACGCCGGTCCAGATCGGGCGTGAAAGAACATGTCGTGTAAATGCAGCTATTGTAACGACATGTAGTTGGTTATTGTAAAATTGTAACAGTTTTCAAATATTCCGTATTTACGTTATTCATAGATAACGTTACAATATTTATAGTTTTGATTGTTACTTACCAAAAATCACAAAAGCCATTTAAAAGTATCTTGAATGTTTAAAATGTTTATATTGTGTGATAAATTTATATATATATATATATATATATAAAATTTTGTCAAAAAAATAAAATTAGGGGTGGACTACCCCTAACATTTAGGGGGATGAAAAATAGATGTTGGCCGATTCTCAGACCTACTCAATACGTTCACAAAATTTTATGAGAATCGGTCAAGCCGTTTCGGAGGAATATGGGAACGAAAAACGCGCTCCAGATCGCGCGTGAAAGAACATGTCGTGTAAATGCAGCTATTGTAACGACATGTAGTTGGTTATTGTAAAATTGTAACAGTTTTCGAATATTCTGTATTTACGTTATTCATAGATAACGTTACAATATTTATAGTTTAGATTGTTACTTACCAAAAATCACAAAAGCCATTTAAAAGTATCTTGAATGTTTAAAATGTTTATATTGTGTGATAAATTTATATATATAAATATAAAATTTGACTAAAAATAAAAAAAAAATTAGGGGTGGATTACCCTACCCTATTGGCCGATTCTCAGACCTACTCAATACACTCACAAAATTTCATGAGAATCGGTCAAGCCGTTTCGGAGGAGTATGGGAACGAAAACAGTGACACGAGAATTTTATATTATTATTTTATCTATGATTACATGAATTTTGATATCGTTCACGATTGTTAGCAATATTTATAAATATGTTTATGGTTCTAATAAAAAGAAATAAATATGTGTATGAAATTCCAATTGGAGTTCTCTTCTTTGTATTTCATCTTCTGATTTTTCATCTGTGCAGGTAATTTGCTACTGGTCGGTGTCGGCGGCAGCGGTAGAAGCAGTGCTGTAAAGCTGGCTGCCAGCATACTGGAGATGAATGTTATACAGGTGTACTATCATCATTATTATATAGTATAAAACAAAGTCCCTGTCGCTCTGTCTGTCCCTATGAATGTTTGTGCTGTACGAGGAATTGAACTCGCGACTGTAAAGCTGTGTATTGCCCCGGTGGCAGTTAAAGTAATATATAAATGTATTATAGATCGAGATATCCCGCGTGTACGGTCAGAACGAGTGGCGGGATGATATCAGGAAGATGCTGATGAAAGCCGGTATCGTAGGGAAACCCATCGTATTCCTCTTCGCTGACAATCAGGTGAAGTAATCATTTATGTTATACAGTGGACCCCCGGTAGTCCGACAATCATTTTGCAGGGCAGTGTCGGACTATCGAATTTGTCGGATTATAGGGTACTGCCTAAGACCCCTTATAGTCCGAATTTTTTTACAAAAGAGTACCTTGTAATCCGACAAATTATAGATCCAATGATGATTCCTTATATTATATACATACAGTGGACCCCCGGTAGTCCGACAAACGTTTTGCAGGGCAGTGTCGGACCATCGTATTTGTCGGATTATAGAGTGCTGCTTAAGGGTCTTCTGCTTATAGTCCGGAATTTTTTACAAAAGAGTATCTTGTAATCCGACAAATTACAGATCCAGTGATAAGATTCTATGTTATATATGTATGCATGTATATGCATTCTGAAGTATATTGTCAAAGTAATATTCAATAACAAATAATAGACAATGTCGGATTACAAGGGGGGCCGGATTAGACAGGGGCCGGATTACCGCGGGTCCACTGTACTAGCTGTACCCGCGACTTCTTCTGCGTGAAATTTAACTTTATTTTTCTAAAATTCAGCCTAAGTTACTCCTTATTATATCGGTTACCTGCAAAAAAAAGTTCCATCAAAATCGGTCCAGCCATTTTATAGATTAGCCGGAACCAACAAACAGACAAAAATTGTAAAAAATGGTACTTTGGTGTATGTACCCTATTTATGTTTATATGCATATATACATGTAGTAAAAAATGGTTATTTCAATATTAGATTCTATTTATATATTATATGTATATGACACTCTGAAGTATATTGTCAAAGTAATATTCAATAACAAATAATAGACAATTTTACAAGGGGGGCCTGATTTTTCCAATATTTTCGCGGGTCCACTATATGATGTACCCGCGACTTCTTCTGCGTGAAATTTAACTTTATTTTTCTAAAATTCAGCCTAAGTTACTCCTTATTATATCGGTTACCTGCAAAAAAAAGTTCCATCAATTATTATATTATCGCGATTTTTCCCCTGTTTTTCCAATATTTTTCAGGATGATGCTTAGCTTGTTTTCAAAGCTTAATGTTACATAGCTCAAAACCTTCCTCGACAAATGGATTATCCAACACAAAAATAATATTTCAATTCGAACCAGTAGCTCGACGGACGAATATGACGGATGAGCCAGCTCTCACTGCGATCGACCATATTTTAGGGAGCCCAATGACCCAAAGATCTTTGTTTTCCACAGATAATGTACGAGGGCATTTTCCACAGATAATGTACGAGGGCATGGTAGAAGACATAAACATGCTCCTAAACACTGGAGACATCCCAAACTTGTATGGAATGGATGAGAAGGTGGAGATTCTCGACAAGATGCAAGTAGCTGTCCGCGAGTCGGTAAGTAGTTTTTTTATAATTCCAATAGCAAATCAGCCGTAAGCGGTAACTATCAACTATAGCGTACGAATTGTTCGGATTAATACCAGCTGCTGAGTTTCACCATCGTACCTTCCGCCAGAAACTAAAATACCATCCTGATCATCTGGATGAATGGCGCTCCCCTATAGTGCGATTTACAAAGCTTATTCCTTTTTAAAAGGCTGGCAACGCACTTGCAATTCCCCTGGTGTTGTGGTGCTCATGGGCGGTAATCACTTACCATCAAGTATACCAGAAATGATATTCGATCCGTTACCATTCCAGAGGACTAAGAGACTATGCAAGATGCATAGTCTCTTAGTCCTCTGGAATCTGGAATCCTGAAATTCCCTGCTTAATCGTCCTAAACGTCATACATAGCAAGCTGCATGAAATTGGTGAAAATTAAGTACCTACGCTGAATTCTTTTTACAGTCTATCTCTTGTAACAAAATCATTTATTTGTGGCAAATCAATAATTTTCTCTCTCAGAAGGTCATCTCATCTCATCTCATACTCAGAACATCGACATTTTTGTTTTATTTGGAAATAGATTTTTGTTGTTAACCCTTTTGGGGTTAAATTAATTAATTAACGTTTAAATTAAGCTATTTTTTATTTTATTAATCGCTACTAACCCCCTTCAGTCACTTCTTCTTTCCTTTCAATGACAATTAAATGTATTTCCCCCAGAATGTTATGACGACTTTAGCTATTAGGTCTTTTTTGGATGATGGGCACAAAGAATAGAGTGGATCATCATTCATAATTTAAGAGCGACGTGACGCTTTCCACGATCTTCCATCATACTCTTTAAGCCTTGATACGACACGACTCCAATTCTGTCTTTCATTTGCTTGATGTAGCTGTATATTTCTCTCCCCTCTTTCCTTCTATCTTTCCCTCAATAATAACTTTCATAAGTTCATCGTGCCGCATCAAGTGTTCTAACATTTTTCCTCGTCTATTCCCTATAGTATTCAATATTTGCCTTTTTCGTTCACCCTGTGCAATATTTTTTATTGTGGTGAGTGGATGCTCACACATTTTTTTTATTAGGGCAAGAAAATAGAGACAACTCCACTAGCGATGTTCGGATACTACGTGGAGCGTGTGAAAGCCAACCTTCGCATCGTGATGGCCATGTCGCCCATTGGTGACTCGTTCAGGAACCGACTCAGAATGTTCCCTTCTCTTATCAACTGTTGTACGATAGATTGGTGAGTCCGCATTATTAAGTTATTAAAAATGTAAAGCTACAAAAAATATTTTTTATTCTTTATTTTTTTTTTGGAACAAACAGACAGACAGACAAAAATTCTAAAACATGTTATTTAGGTGTATGTACCGTATTTATATTCATATGCACGTAAAAAATGGTTATTTCTATATTACAAACAGACACTCCAATTTTATTTATCGTATAGATGTTGAAAAATATTTTTTGTCATAAATAACAAAATGTGACGATGACAATCCCATCGTTAATATCATAAATAACAAATTAAATAACAATCAATGTAATGTGCTGCCAGCCAGAACCATCATACCACCACCATAACTTGGCTGCATCCAAAGTTGGCTCTGCCAATATTCTATGGAACACAACTATTTAACTTCAGAACTTGAATGAAATAGATGCATCTTTTAGATGCACTGTAATTACGTTCCATCAAAATTAACAGATCTTTGCTACTAAATTATTTAAAATAGCAACACGCAAATAATATGATGTGCAGGTTCACAGCGTGGCCCCCGGAGGCTTTAGAGCGTGTTGCGTCGATGTTCATCTCCAGGATCGAGAGCGTCGACGAGGAGCTGTGCACCGCCTGCGTGGAGATGTGTCAGCTGTTCCACATGACTGTCGTACAGCTTAGCGACAGGTAGCTATATACGCACATATGCTATGCACAGCTATTTATTTATAAATAAACTAGCTGTCTCGGCAAACGTTGTTTTGCCATAAATTGAAGTACTAATATCGGTATTAAAGAATAGGGGTTGGTGGTGGAAGGGTGAAAATTTAGAGTTGTTATTTTGTAATTTTTAATGCCACATTATAAAAAGTTAAAAAAAATTTTGTCTAAAAAATAAAAAAAAATTTTAGGGGTGGACAACCCTTATCACTTAGGGGTATGAAAAATAGACAGTAGCCGATTCTCAGGCCTACTGAATATGCACATAAAATTTCATAAAAATCGATGGAGTATGGTAACTAACATTCTGACGATTCGAGATTTTATATAAGAAAGACTAGCTATTGCCCGCGGCTTCGCTCGCGTTAATTTATCGCCTTGGGGGTGGAATTTGTCAAAATCTTTCCTAGGGGATGCCTACGTCATAGTAGCTTTATGCATGCAAAGTCTCAGCCCGGTTTAAAATTGACAAAGTTTCATATAAACTTTCATCCCCTATTTTATCCCTTTGGGGGTAGAATTAATCAAATGCTTTCTTAGCGGATGCCTACGTCATAACATCTACCTGCATGCGAAATTTCAGCCCGATCCGTCCAGTGGTTTGGGCTGTGCGTTGATAGATCACTATGTCAGTCAACTTTGAGTTATATATATTTAGATAAAGAGTGAGTGCGTAGCGGTTTCAATGTTGATTTTCGCATGCCTAATCCTTGTTAATGTGTATTTCCTTAGAACAACATCTATTCTCTTGTGATGTGTCTGCGTTCCGAATGAGTGGTAGAATAAAAAAATGTGACTCCTCAAAAGTGCTTATATTAAGTTTATTTGACTAAAGATTATTTATATTCTATACTAAAATATGCATTTTATTTAAAAATACTAATATTTAAAATGTTAATAATTCAATTTATTCTATAGGTTTTATTCTGATCAAAAACGTAAGGTGTATGTAACACCGACCAGTTACCTCGAGTTGATCAAAGCATTCCAGATTCTGTACACCCTCAAGGTGGAGCAGATCACCAAAGCCAGGATCCGGTGAGTGGTTGTAGAGTAATAATAATAATAAGCCCAAGCTGAGCAGATCTTGTAGATATAACCCAGGACAATTCACACAGCGCCATCTAGTCCCAAGCTTAGCAAAGCTTATTGGTACTAGACAGCAGATATTTTTTTTGTAAACACGTATGTAATATTCATAGGAAATGCGCAATCCGATAACAACAGTCATAGTTATGAATACAAATGTATCGTGTGTGGAATTGAACCAGTGACGAGTAGGAGTAAGGTGGCTAAACTGCTAGACCACCGAGGTAGCTTTTTATATAACAATTAATATATATAGAATGCTAGCTGTGCGCGATTTCACCCGCGCGACATTTGTTAATCTGATGTATTAGCTTTATATAATATACTAGGTACTCGCCCCGGCTTCGCACGGGTGTACATGTATTATATATAAGTCTTCCTCTTGAATCACTCTATCTATTTAAAAAAACGCTTCAAAATCCGTCGCGTAGTTTTAAAGATTTAAGCATACATAGGATGGACAGACAGCGACAGCGACTTTGTTTCATACTATGTAATGATTATTGTAAAGTTATGAATATTCATTCAGTAGTCTTTGCCTGAAAGAGTAACAAACATCCATTCATCCATCCATACTCACAAACTTCCGCGTTTGTAATATCCCCCTCCGACCGATACCCCGTCCAATTCAAACGGGGATCGAAATTACGACGGCCTGAGCCGAGGTTCGAACCCCTAGTGGTGGTGGTATATAAAAAATATATGTATGGAACAGAGCTTATACAGCTCTGTTCCATATATTTTTTTTTTCTTTAAGATAATCAATTGTTAATATTATTCTTTTCAATATACCAATTATTAGTTGAGGGTCTATTTTATTTATATATTTATTGTTACCGACCCCCACACATACACCAAAATAACATGTTTTACAATATTTGTCTGTCTGTCTGTTTGTTCCGGCTAATCTCTGAAATGGCTGGACCAATTTTGACGGGACTTTTTGACAGGTAGCTGATGTAATTAGGAGTAACGTAGGCTACTATTAATTTTTAGGAAAATAAAGTTACCTAACGGTTAAATTCCACGGTGCCGAAGTCGCAGATGCAGTTAGTATTATTATAATAACACGGCTGGACCTTTCCAGATACGAAACAGGCCTGGAACAGCTGGACTTCGCGGCGGGGCAGGTGGCAGTTATGCAGCAGAACCTGATAGACCTGCAGCCGCAGCTCGTAGAGACATCTGACAAGACCGAGAAACTGATGATCAAGATCGAACAGGACACGGTTGTGGTTGAAAAACAAAAAGAGGTGAGTTCTAATATCTGTCCAAAAAAAAAAATAACAAACTAGTAAGTCTGTTATTTTTTTTTTGGACAATGGGTTCTTTGGATCCAATATGCCAGTTACAACAGATGGTAAACAGGACGGGCAAATAAATAAATACGAATTTCAAGAAAGATTTAGTGCTTTTATACTTTGAAATACATATATCTGTGAATGAATCACTAATAACTTCTACTAGGAAGTTATGGAAGTTAAGATTATTGATGAAAGGTGCAGTTTTAGTATAGAACTTACTGTAGTTCTAGATAAGGCTAAGATTTTTTAGAAAATTATGGAGAGATTTTAGATAGATAGATAAATTCTTTATTCACAATTATAGACATATAACATACATGAGATACAGAAAATACACGAAGGAAATAATACGTTAATATCTTAATAATATTATAAACGAGACAATTACGGATGTTTGATATATAACATATATGAGATACAGACGAAGAATGGACAAAAACTAAATTAATAAAGAAATAAAAACACGGGAATAATGCATCTTTAAAACAAATTAATTGTTCAAAACAGATCACTGATTAAATTGACAAAAACATTGTACCGTGTAATAGATAAAATCGTTCTAATTCAAAAGTGACTTTAGGTGCCGCAAAGGTGAAAAGGCAGCCAACTCAGCATAATGCTACAGATAACTCTGCAGTGCTGATATTCTGTTGGCTCCTTACTTATACTACCTGCCTTACCTTAATTGTACTATACTTATTACTAAAAAAATTACATAAATATAAAACTTCGAACTCTTTATCAAAATATATAAAGTATCAATAAACTGTAAATAAAGTGTTATTAAACTACTTAAACTACTATACTACATAAATAGTGGTATACCTCTCGCTCCCACTTCGACCGCATAAATCCCAATAGAATAGAATAGAATAGAATTAAATAAATTGTTTTTATTGCATGGTTTTAAAGTATATATATATATTTTAGTTTCACCCTTATTTTCCATAGACTGAAGGACCTTTTCTTGCGTTTTATTTTTTAGTCCATTCTTTATTTTACCTCGCTTTTCTTGCTTCACGAAAATATGTATTATGACTTTCCGCAGTTTATCAATTAACTAATCGTAATAGAAAATAATATATCCTGTTTCTCTTTTAGATTGTTGGTGCAGATGAAGCTCTAGCCAACGAAGCAGCGGCAGCAGCGCAAGCCATCAAAGATGACTGCGAGTCGGATCTGGCGGAAGCAGTGCCAGCTTTGCAAGCGGCCTTGGATGCACTCAACACGCTGAAGCCAGCTGATATCACCCTGGTCAAGTCGATGAAGAACCCGCCAGCTGGCGTGAAGCTGGTCATGGAAGCGGTGTGCGTGATGAAGGGAATCAAGGGTGATAGGAAGATGGATGCTAATGGTATATTAATTAAGGAATATTACTGTAATAGTTAAGAAATTAGTGCAGAGCCATGAGAATAATGTTTTAGTTGTTCTCATGAGAATTCTAATAATTTTTATAACAATACTAAAATACAAATTGTTATAACATAGCATTTGTTAAATAAAATAAAGTGTGTCATATAGGTTGTGGTACATGTTGTCAGATAAAGTTTCTAGCGATTAATCGCTAGAACTATTGATATAACTGATAGAGAACTGTAGAACTATTGTAAAGCAAGCTAGAACTCAGAAGAAATTTGTGATTTTCGTGATTTGACTTTTTTTTTTTTTGACATCCTTTTGTTTTTTTTTCTTTATAATCATATTTAAAATGATTATAAAGAACTCTAGAACTATTCAAAAGGATGTCAAAACTTTAAAAAAAAATCGTTTTTTGAATATCGTGTGCCAAATTCACAGGAGTGGCTATTTTCTAATAATTTTTAATAATTGTGTCACCCACTACGTTAACTACTGATTACTATACTTATATAATGCTGCCTAAGGCATGTTTCAGAGATTATATGTTACTTATTAATTATTAATTAACTACCGTTACTTATTATGTATGTATATATCAAAACGTTTCACAATCGAGTGTGTTAAGAGAAATATATATTGTGAAGGTAAACCATACGAGGACTTTTGGGGACCTTCGCAGAAGATGCTCGGAGACATGAAGTTCTTGGAGAGTCTGAAGAACTATGACAAGGACAACATAGCGCCAGCCATCATGAAGAAGATCAGAGACAAGTAGGATAATATTATTTGTCGTTATATACTACTACTAGCCACTCGCCCCGGCTTCGCACGGGTGTGCATGTATTATACATATAAACCTTCCTCTTGAATCACTCTATCTGTTAAAAAAAATCGCTGCAAAATCCGTTGCGTAGTTTTAAAGATTTAAGCATACATAGGGACGGACAGACAGCGACAGCGACTTTATTTTATACTGTATAAATAAGTGTTATATTCTATTATCATTGTATATCATTATTTATTATTTTTCTTAATAAGAAGCGAATGTGGAGACGGAACCACGTGTATAAGCTCTATTTGACTGCTTTGTCTAACGCTTTCATAATAAGAAGAATGTCGATACGGAATGGTCTAACGCTTTGGCACTCTAACTTCCGATGGTTGCAGGTTCGATTCCTCGCATTTGTATACATGAGTGTGATATCTGTATTGGTCTGGGTGTTTGGACTAGATAGCGCTGTTTGAAATGAGATATTATTGTTTCCGTCAAAACAGAACATCGATAGTGATTATGGGTTTCATTTATACTACCAACAAGTGTATTTAAATATATTTGGACATCCACAGATACATTCCCGACCGGGAATTTGATCCTGTGGTGATAGCCAAGGTTTCATCCGCCTGCGAGGGTCTCTGCCGCTGGGTTAGAGCTATGGACGTGTACGACCGTGTGATTAAAGTAAGTTATATCATTATGAATTGGTAGTATACATTGTTTCTTACCTTCTCTGTCTTCTATGGTCAGCTTATATACGTGGTGTCTACCTTAAGGCAGCACCCCGCCTATACCTTGCCTTAAAGAACATATAGGATATTTTATTGGATTGTTTCTTTTCTCCCTCTCTTATCCTCTGATGCACCTTTCATCACCATTTCATTATTAAATAATGAAATGGTGATGATTTATGATATTTTGTTTTGCTACCATTAACATTTGTGAGACTATAAACGGGCAAGAAATCTGTTCTGTTATTGGAATTGTTAGGACCGTCTCTATTGGTGATCAAATTCCGACCGTTATTGAGTCTATACCCATTTGCCTCTGAACGACATATCATCAGACAATGAATAGAGTTCGCGTATAGCTTGGAAGCTTAGTGTTGACTGTTTGGTGACACAAACAAACTGCGACACATTGAGTCGCTGTTTAGTAATGAAGTCCAATTAAGTAATGGTACCCATACATAGATTATGTGAAAAAAGTCGCACCCTTTTACCATAGTTCTTAAGTACCACTTTAAGTGAAATTTAAACCTTTATTATTTTATCAAATACAAATCGTTTGTCCATAGGTAGTAGCTCCGAAGAAAGCAGCGCTAGCGGAGGCCGAGGCCGAGTTGCAGATGCAAATGAACACCCTCAACGAGAAGCGAGCGCAACTGCAGGGTGTGCTCGACAAATTGCAGGTCCGATCTTTGACAGTTCCGAATTAACCTAGCAAGAGTGACCTCTTAAAAGAAATCTCACACTCTCACAAAGAAGAACTAGAACTAGTTGTACCTCTGCCCTTCCCGACGCTAGGCGATAATAAAATTTAATGTCAAATTCGAAATCAAGAAAAAAACGCTCTTGAAAGAATTTGCTGTAGGACCTGGTAATTTTCTATCAGATAAAGTCATTTGGCTTAATCTGGCACGGATCTACTCTATGCAATTTTTGGTCTATAATTGGATAAAGAAATTATCTATCTATGGAAATAGCCGAAAAGTTTTCTATTATCCATGTTCATTTATTACGTTCTTTATACCAGGCATTAAACGATGAGTTTGCGGAAATGACGCGAAAGAAGAAGGGTCTAGAAGACGAGATCGAGCTGTGCTCGACGAAGCTGTCTCGAGCTGAACAGCTTATCGGCGGACTGGGAGGTGAGAAGGCGCGCTGGACTGAACTCGCGCGGCAGTTGCAGGACCTACTGGACAACATTATAGGTAAAGGCTTTTTGTAAGCCGCTGATGATTTTGCCATTATATAATAATAATAATAATAATCTCAGAACAATTCACACAGCGCCATTTAGTCATTATTATTATTATTTATATAACTACAATAGAACAAAAGATATCAACGAGGTCATGTGATGATGTGATGCAAGTGGTACCTTTCTTGTATTGTTATTTCTTAAAACTAAGGTGTTAATTTAGTTTACTAAAGTTAGTTATAAAATTCCCTACAATCTATTTTCTCTACCATTTTATTCGTCTAGAAAAATCTTCATAGATAAAAATCTTCGTCATCATCATCAGACAAAAATCTTCTAGATAACTATCAGATGGCAATTGTAAGTAGCTTTGACGTAGTCTAGTGTTTTGAGTAGTCATGCTCACTAAAATGTCCAGACTTGTGGCGGCGTGGTGGGCCGGATCATTGGGCTCCCTAAAATATGGTCGAGCACAGTGATGGCTGGCTCATCCGTCATACTCGTGAACGGGTGCTGCTTGTAGGGACTGGTCTGCTCTAATCACTATGACTGATTTCCTCTTATTAATTGTTTAACCAGTTGGTTATATATTCAATATTTTTTCTATTTGAGTATTTAATTGAATTAGTGTTAATTGGTGGTTTGTATTCACACACTTGAACTTAAAAATGTAAAGTAATAATAAAATTATTTAAAAGAGTAACACGCAAGTTTCTTGCTCGTTCTTCTTGTGATGAGACAGCTTTCCGAACGAGCGGTAGATTAAAAAATGTAATGACTATTCAAAAGTGCTTCAATGTAAGTTTATTCGAATAAATGATTTCTATTCTATTCTTCTAAAGACCGTCCCACAGCTGGACGGGTGACGAGGGGGTATCTGGGATTCTTACACACTAAAAAACCACATGCTGTACCTATGAGCACCATTGCCGCAGACGCGAGAAATCTGTAGACACAAATATTAATATTTTTCTTTCTTCATTTCAGGCGATGTTTTGTTGTCAGCCGGCTTCATTGCTTACTTGGGACCTTACACAGTTAACTACAGAAGAGAAATTGTACAAATGTGGAACACACGCGCCCGGGAACTTAGTGAGTTCATTTTCAGCTATTTAAAATAGTTTATATTGTTACGGAAGAAGAATTTAAGTATACCAATAAATTATTCGCAAAAAAGATAAGTTATAAACCATTACATTACCGAGGGAGTTAAGATCATCGATCAGACATCAGACACATTCAGATATTCCATCAATTTAATCTTACGTTCAGGTGTTTTCTCTATCTCCCAAATAGTTCTTGTTTTTTAGGTGTGGGAAACTAATGCTATGTCCCAAATTTGTGGTCTTGTCTTTGTAGGTGTTCTTCGAGGTGTTTAGCATTATCTCCCAAATTTGTGGTCTTGTCAAATTTGTGGTCTTGTCTTTGGTAGGTGTTCTTCGTTCAGGTGTTTAGGTGTGGGAAACTAATGCTATGTCCCAAATTTGTGGTCTTGTCTTTGGTAGGTGTTCTTCGTTCAGGTGTTTAGGTGTGGGAAACTAATGCTATCTCCCAAATTTGTGGTCTTGTCTTTGGTAGGTGTCCTTCGTTCAGGTGTTTAGGTGCAAGATACCATTGCTGAATGTTGTATTCAGATATTCCATTAATGTTTTTGTGTCTTTATCTCCCAAATTTGGGGCCTTATTTTTGCATATGGTCTTGGTTCTTGTCCTTGGGACGGGTATACTAACGCTGAACGCTTAACGCTTCCAGATATTCCATGCTCGGAGATGTTCTCCCTGGTGTCGACCCTTGGCGAGCCGGTGGTGATCCGCGCGTGGAACATCGCTGGTCTCCCGGTCGACGCTTTCTCCATCGAGAACGGGATAATAGTGGAGAAATCGCGACGATGGCCCCTGATGATCGATCCACAAGGTAAAATATTTCATCTGACCTCAGATGCAAAAATATTATAACTTAAGGTAATACCCCAAAACAACCCCTTTAATATAGCGCAAGGGGACTAATGCTTGTAGGGACTTCTGTGTTCCAATCACTACGACTGATTCAATCTTATTTGACCCTAACAAATTAGTGCTATTTGGCAGTTTGTATTCATATTAACTTAAAAATGTAAACGATTATTTAAAATTGCAACACACAAGTTTCTTGCTCATTCTTCTTGTGACGAGACAACTTTCTAAATGAGCGGTAGAAGAAAATAATGTGATGACTATTCAAAAGTGCTTCAGTGTAAGTTTGAATAAATGATTTTGTATTCTCTCCACCATATAGAACAAGCGAATAAATGGGTAAAAAATATGGAACGTGAAAACCAACTGAAAGTTATAAAGTTGAGCGACTCCAACTATGTGCGGACACTGGAGAACGCGATACAGATGGGACTGCCCGTCATACTCGAGAATATACGGGAACAACTCGACGCTGTTCTCGAGCCAGTGCTCTTGAGAAATGTTTTCAGGTAAGTAATGTATAATATAATCTCAGGACAATTTAAGTAACGCCATCTAGAACCTAGAACTTCTGTTATGGATACTAAATAACTGATACAAATACACAGGTAGATTTTTAGATGTAGATTGTAGACTGATACAATTTTACTCATAAATAAAACTACAATTATATGTACCGTGTGAGGCATCGAACCCGCAACCAACAGAAGTAAAGCCGCTGTGTTAAACCATTAAACCAACAAGGCCAACAAAAAATAACTATATTTATCAAAAACTGTACAATATACACTCGCACAAAAGCGATTGATAATTTGGATGTCCGTCTATCGGGTTTAAATGCATATTTCACAAAAAGCATATACGAGAACGTGTGCAGAAGAATATTCGAGAAAGACAAACTTATCTTCTCCCTCGTTCTCTCTTATGTACAATGATTGACCTCGACCTTCGATGTATAACTGTTGACTTTAACTGTCTTGGTCAGGTCGGGTGGCATTGATTGTTTGAAGCTTGGCGACAACATTTTGGAGTACAATAACAACTTCAGATTCTATATCACAACAAGACTGAGCAACCCACACTATTTACCAGAGATTGCTGTTAAAGTAAGTATACGCGTGACTCACTTCTCCCTTTAAACTTAACCTTTCGAATATCCGTCGTCCGTCCTAGCGAACGAAAGTGAAGAGGCGGTATACGCGCGCTAGCTGCATTTTTCGAAATGCGTTTCAATCTTATGTTGTTTTAAATAAGGATAAAATTTGTTAAAAAGAATTCACGGTTTTGCGGACACAGATCTGTGACAAGACGGTAATACGGTTTAAGAGGGGTGCGCAGATCTGTGTCAAAACTTTAGAAGGGTTAAGAGAAAAACTTACGAGACCATGATCCGGCTCGATATTTTGTATGAATCAGAGTGGTGGCCCGTAAAGGACGGGTGAAAGACGACTGCATGCAACAGAGTGCTAATGTTGAGATGGATGTGTAGTGTGCCAAGAATGGATAAGCTAAAGATTGAATGGCGGCTGACTATAAAAGAAAGTGAAATGACATGGAACTCACTATCACGTGCGAAAGAGTGAATACAAAAATAGTAAAAAGCAATCACTCCATTTTGCGCGATCAACACTAAAATAGAATAGAATAGACAATCCTTTATTCATAATTTAAGCTGTTTTGAATAGTCATAAGATTTTTTTAATCCACCGCTCATTAGGAAAGCTGTCTCATTACAAGAAGAACGAGCAAGAAACTTGCGTGTTGCCCTTTCAAATAATTCTTGTAAGTTTACATTTTTCGAAACGTGTCAATACAAACTACCAAATAGCTCTAATTTTTAGGGTCAAATATAAATACACAATAGGATTAAATCAGTCGTAGTGATAAGAGCAGACTAGTTCCCACAAGCAGCACTCGTACACGAGTATGATGTATGTGCCAGCCATCACTGCGCTCGACCATATTTTAGGTAGCCCAATGACCCGGCCCACCACGCAGTCACATGTCTGGACACTTCAGTGAGCATGACTACTCATTCCACTCGACCAAGTCATAGCTATTTAAAATTATTATATGGTGGCGTAACTACGTAAAGAACGTGTCTGTTTACAAGGCAACTATTTAAGTAATTCTTTGTAAGTTAATTTGTTACGCTTAGGTAACGATGCTGAACTTCATGATAACCCCACAAGGGTTGCAAGACCAGCTCCTGGGTATCGTGGTAGCACAGGACCGGCCCGAGCTCGAGCTGAAGAAGAACCAGTTAATCGTCGAGGGGGCGAACAACAAACGGACGCTCAAAGAGATCGAGGACAAGATTTTAGAGGTGTCCTATTTATTTATTTATTAAAACTTTAATACACAAATATAGATGAATATGGCGGACTGTCTATTGCATATGTATATTTGCATTTTCTTCTGCCAACCATAGAGTTGACTGGGAGAAAATGCAAAAATGCAAGCAGAGATTTATGTCGGCATGCATTAAAAAAGAAGTTGTTTTTTAAATACACTATTATTACCTAATTATATTATGGTTCTTTTTTTCATAAACTCAAACGCAAAATTCTTTACTAACATAGGATGTTTTAGCAGCTTGAGTGTGTTTCATGATATTTTTCTTATTATCCCTACCATCCAGTTCTGATGGCTACTTAAGTTAAGAAGAACTAGCTTATGTTATAGAAAGTAACTTAGGCTGCTTCTAGGAAGTCCATTTTGGATTTATATTATCTTGTTTAATTCTGCTGCAATTAGCATGTGTGAGACCACCAATATTCGGTGTGGAAACTTGACTACCGTTACGACCTTCTCTAATGGCACCGTAATTTCTCCACTGAATATTTGTGGTCTCACATATGCTAATTGTAGCGAAATTAAACAAAATAATATAAATACATCAAGTAGTGAAATGGATTTCCGCATAATAACACCCAATTCGATTAAATATATAACAACTAACAGTCTTATAATTTCAAATTCTTAGGTACTATCGTCGGCCGGGAACATTCTAGAAGATGAATCGGCCAATCAGATTCTGTCCTCGTCCAAAGTTCTATCATTAGAAATCGAAGCTAAACAAGCAACCGCAGCTGTCACAGAGAAGGAGATAGATGAAGCGAGGCTGTTGTACGTCCCAGTGTCGAAGCATAGCTCCGTGCTGTTCTTCTGCATATCAGACCTGGCTAATATTGATCCTATGTACCAGTATTCGCTTAATTGGTAAGTGACCAATATTTGTGAACGAGTGCTGCTTGTAGAGACCGAACTGCTCTAATCACGACGACTCTTATTGTGTATTTATAATAATATCTCAGGACAATTCACACAGCGCCACCTATTCCCAAGTTAAGCAGAGTTATGGGTACTATTGACAACTGATAAAAATACTTTTTTTTGTAAATACATACATAGAAAATACCCAGACCGATACAAACAATCATACTTATGAATACAAATATTTGTACCGCGCGAGGAATTGAACTCTTGACCAACGAATGTAAGGCGGTGTACTAAACTACTCAACCAACAGTACCGTCAAATAATAACTAATCGATATACTTTACAGGTTTATAAACCTGTACAATCAGGCGATCCAAACCTCACCCAAAAGCGATGATCTGGATGTCCGTCTATCCGGCTTAAATGATTATTTCACAAAAAGCATATACGAGAACGTATGCAGAAGTCTGTACGAGAAAGACAAGCTTATCTTCTCGCTCGTTCTCACACTCGGGATATTGAGACCTCAGGTAAGATAGTAATAATACTACTTAATGGATTTGTATTATTTTGTTTAATTCCGTACAATTAGTATGTGAGATCACGAGTATTCAGTGCAGAAACTTGACTACCGTTACGACCTTCTCCAATGGTGATCAAATTCCAACCCTTACTGAGTCCAGACCCATATTGCGACACGTGTTTCGCCTCTGAACGAGGCATCATCAGGCATTGTATAGAGTTTGGATATAACTTGGAAGCCTAGTGTTGACTGTTCGGCAACCAAACCGTGTCTAGGCTTTATAAATAATTATAGATACGCGTAGTTACTTGGACCTCAACCAAAGATAATAGGCCGAACACCGAGAGGGTATCTAAAGCCTTATGGACGACTTTAAATCTAATCTAATCTAACATCTAAATGCATTACAATAGCCCACATCTACTAAGTACTACACAGGGTAAAAGAAAAAAGACAAATATTGAACACTATAGAAAATAGACGAGGAAAAATGAAGGAACAGAGGGGGCGGCCAACACCAAGGAATAGCTACATCAAACAAATTGAGGACAAAATGGGAGTCGTGTCGTATCAAGAATTAAAGAGCATGATAGAAGATCAAGACAATGGAGACAAGAGCGTAGCTCTTAAATTATGAATGAATGAATGAAGCCCACATCATAAGCGTACTGTAGAATAGATGACGAACTGGTGGCCTTCCTCCTCACGGGCGGGGTGGCCTTGGAGAACCCCTACGAGAACCCGGCCCCCGGCTGGCTCTCGGAGAAATCTTGGTCGGAAATCGTGAGGTCCAGCAATCTCAACGGGTGAGTTCCGTTTATACAGCCGTGTTTTTTTATGTAATTAAAATGCTAAATAAGCTGACAAAGATACTGGCAAAGTCAAGGGTAACACCTAATATATACATATTGACTATTTATACAACAGTTTGCGAGGCTTCAAAGAAAACTTCGAGAAGAACCTGAAGGCATGGAAAGATTTCTACGACCTGTCCGCACCGCATGAGAATCCTCTACCAGCGCCCTATGAAGATATTAAGGGTATACCAAAACTGATCCTTTTCAGGTAAGCAAAGTTTTAGACTTGTTTCTTATAATTCTAATATTTAGAATGATAATTATGCTAAAACCGGTAATGAAAGTTCTCATTTTAAAATTATGATGTCAAGACTCCTTGTCCTGTAATTTGAGTACCATATCTCATCCTGCTCATCGATTGCTGCTTTATGGTAAAAATAGGTGAACAATGGTTTATGTTATTTTGTTTATCGCTACCATTAACATAGCCTAGTGTTGACTGTTCGGCGTCGCAGTTTGGTCGCCGAAGCAGATGATGACGATATAATATGAATCCCTGCTCCTTAAATAAGTAAAAATCCTGTACTTAAAGATAAATGATCAGTGATCATTCCTTACAACATTAGAGTGACTCAGAAAAGACTATATCCTAATACAGTATCTTTCTCGTGAAGGTGCATTCGCCCCGATAAGCTGATTCCCCTAGTGCAGCAGTACGTGGTTCAAGAGATGGGTCGTACGTACATCGAGCCTCCGCCGTTCGACCTGGAGAAGTCTTACAATGACAGCAACTGTTGCTCGCCCCTCATCTTCATACTGTCCGCCGGCTTGGATCCGATGTCGGGGCTGGTTAAGTTCTCAACGGAGAAGAAGGTCGTCAGCTTTGAAACTATATCTCTGGGTCAGGGCCAGGTTTGTGTTAGATTGTAGATATTATAATTTACAAGAAAAGGGTGAATATACCGGGATTTTAATGAAATAAATTAAGAATCTTTGATTTAAAGGACATTTTTGGATTCTTATTTTCCCAGCCGCCCAGTTTAGTATACAAAGTCAATTGGGAAGAACTGGCAAGAAACTCAACGGATTTTTTCTTTTTATGAGCCGGTTTATTTGCATTCTTATGTAGGTCTATATCTAATATTAAATGAAAATCCCGTGCAGGAACAACTATTACCATGCGCGTATGTAATTTCAATAATGGTTGTCTGAGTAATGATACAATTATAAGTGTATTAAATATCTGAATAAAGATTATATCTATATTTTATAAGTATAATGTTACTTTTCTCTAAATATAATCCGTGATATCCGGTCTAAATGGAGACCTATAATTCTGACTGACCAGTTAAATATTTATGAACACTGATATTTTTTATTCGAAGCATAGGCGACAAATAGCCATCTATAGACTACGGAAACTGTTTACCATCAGACGGCCCGTATGCCTGTTTCCCACCATCGTAGTATAAAAAAACTTGTCGAGATCTGGTATGGGCTCTATGAGTGCTTCTTCTACATAGGGTCCAATAGCAACGAACATGATAAACCAAGCGATCGTGACCGGTGGCTGGGTGGTGCTGCAAAACTGCCACGTAATGGATTCCTGGATGGGAGAGTTGGAGAGGATTTGCGCTGAGGTGATCGTACCTCAAGTCACACACCCGAATTTCCGATGTTGGCTCACGTCATATCCGAGTAGAGCTTTCCCAGTCACCGTATTGCAGAATGGTGAGTATATATTTCTTAATAATAATAACCCAGAACAATTCAGACAGCGCCATGTAGTCCCAAGCTGAACAGAGCTTATGTTATGGATACTAGCTATGTCTGCGATAATGGAGGGTATTGCTGAATGATAAGATGAGAAATATATTCGGGTTCATTAGTCAATTATGTCCAATTCACCAGGAATTAACCAAAATAATTTCCAGAAAAGCCGTATGGGGTCGAACTGATTTATAGATAAAATTCCCTCCCTCCTGGGAGAAGGGATTTCTTAGTAATTTGGTCTAATAACCCTATTGCTAACATTGTACCTTGTCAGAATGACTTCCATGAGATTCCCCCTGGAAACCGTCCCATAAATATATGCCATTTCCTTTTGACACTTGCCAAGATGAGCTGACTCGACGTCGTATTCATTTTATCATTCTAAACTTTAATAATTAATTTGAAATACTGTTATAGGCTCTTACTCTGACACGTTGGATTCAAATATACATGAAATGTGGGGATGCCAAGTGTTGCATTCAGCATGATATTGATGATTGAAAATACCTCTAATTATCTAACTAACCTTCAAAATACCAGACGCACTTTTGGTACACTATTTTTGTTATAAAACAATTTACACTAAGATGACGTATGAGCATAAATATATTTTTTTTATAATTTCGATAACAGAATAAATAGGACTTGGGAGTCGGCAACGCGCACGAGACACCCCTGGTTTTTCAGACGTCCATAGGCTGCAGTAACCGTTTACCATCAGAGATGCCGCATGCTTGTTTGCCACCCATGTAGTATAAAAAAAAAACTATAAATGTATGAATATTAAATGAGTTCTCAACAGTTTCTTTTTAAAAAATGTTTCATCCCTATATAGGTGTTAAAATGACAAACGAAGCGCCAAAAGGTCTCAAGAACAATATCTACCGGTCGTACATATCAGATCCAATCTGCGACCCGGAGTTCTACATCTCGTGTCCCCGCACTGAGGAGTGGCGGCGATTGCTGTTCTCGCTGTGCTTCTTTCATGCCGTCGTGCAAGAGCGGCGAGCCTTTGGACCCCTCGGCTGGAACATTCAGTATGAGTTTAATGAGAGCGACCTGAGGATCTGCATCATGCAATTGCAGGTATTTAGTTATTATCGAGGGTTCAGACTATTAGCAGGTAGATATATAGATAGATTTTTTTTCACCTACAAATACATAGCATATATGAGGTGCAGAAGAAATAAATTGTAGATGCAGGTATTTGGTTTTCTATCGACTAGTTTAGGGCCCCAAATTATTGGCATGCATAATTTGAATATATTAGAGTTAAATAATCTGTAATGTGAAATAACGTGTCGGTTAAAGGCAATTATTGTAGTTACAAGCAGACTTTTTGTTACTCTAAAGCAAAGGGTAACAAATAGGTTCGAGTAACACGGGATGTGGAAGCTATTGGTTGGTATGGTAGATGTAAATTTTTTGTTGCTTTGAAGCAAAGAGTAACAAATAGGCTCGAGTAACAATGGACGTGGAAGATATTGGCTGGTATGGTAGATGTAAATTTTTTGTTACTTTGAAGCAAAGAGTAACAAATAGGCTCAAGTAACACTGGATGTGGAAGCTATTGGCTGGTATGGTAGATGTAAATTTTTTGTTGCTTTGAAGCAAAGAGTAACAAATAGGCTCGAGTAACAATGGATGTGGAAGCTATTGGTTGGTATGGTAGATGTAAATTTTTTGTTGCTTTGAAGCAAAGAGTAACAAATAGGCTCGAGTAACAATGGACGTGGAAGATATTGGCTGGTTTGGTAAATGTAAATTTTTTGTGACTCTGAAGCAAAGAGTAACAAATAGACCCGATTGACACTGAATGTTGAAGCTATTGGCTGGTATGGTAGATGTAAACTTTTTGTTACTCTTTGCTTCAGAGTAACAATAGATGCGATTAACACTGGACGTTGAAGCTATTGGCTGGTAAGGTAGATATAAACTTTGTTACTCTGAAGCAAAGAGTAACAAGAAGGCCCGAGTAATTGGATACTGAAGTTATTGGCTGGTATGTTAGATGTTCCTGACGGAGTACTCGGAGACTCCTCTGGATGCGCTGAACTACCTCGCAGGGGAGTGTAACTGCGACGGCTCTTTGTTACTCTGAAGCAGAGAGTAACAAATAGGCCCAAGTAACACTGGATGTTACAGCTATTGGATGGTATGCTAGATGTTCCTGACGGAGTACTCGGAGACTCCTCTGGATGCGTTGAACTATCTCGCAGGGGAGTATAACTGCGACGGCTTTTTGTTACTCTGAAGCAGAGAGTAACAAATAGGCCCAAGTAACACTGGATGTTACAGCTATTGGATGGTATGCTAGATGTTCCTGACGGAATACTCGGAGACTCCTCTGGACGCGCTCAACTACCTCGCAGGGGAGTGTAACTGCGACGGCTTTTTGTTACTCTGAAGCAAAGAGTAACAAATAGGCCCAAGTAACACTGGATGTTACAGCTATTGGATGGTATGCTAGATGTTCCTGACGGAGTACTCGGAGACTCCTCTGGACGCGCTCAACTACCTCGCAGGGGAGTGTAACTACGGCGGCCGCGTCACCGACGACAAGGACCGTCGGCTCATACTGTCGCTGCTGTCCATGTTCTACAACGAGGATGTCACCGCCCATCCAGAGTGAGTTGGTCATTCATTACATTTTACTAACCACTTGGAGAGCACCCTGACTGAGGATTTTTAGAGGAGTTTTAGCAAAAATGATGGTACATTGCTAAAACTCCTCTAAAAATCCTCTTTTCCTGATATATATAATTTATTTATGTATATATAAAAAAATGTACATAAGTATTTATAGCAGTTATGTACTATCTATAACACCAGCTTTGCTTAGCTTGGATGTATATGGTGCTGTGTGAATTGTCTTAGGTGTAGGGTCTTCAACCCGCGGCCCGCGGGCCACTTGCAGCCCGCCGATATGTTTTCTGCGGCCCGCCAACATCATAGGCCCACTCTCAGTAACGACAACAATAAAGTAATAAAGAGTATCTTTAATATAAAATAAATTAAATCCTTATAAAAGAACCTGTGGTGCGGCCCGCTGTACAGAAAAAAATTTTTTTTGCTCTCGATTTGTAAAACTTTGAAGACCGCTTCCAAAAATTAATAATAATCATAAACCTAAGATTTAGGTTTATGATTATTATTAATTTAAGCTAACGGGCTGACGGTATAGCCTCATTTGAAGAAGTAGCGGCGGTACCACACATCAAAAACCAAAGTGTGCACAATAAAGAGTTCAATAATTATTATTAAATTCAAGTTCATATTCTAAATATCTTTATTCATGTAGGTCTATTACAGACTTATGATATGTTACATCTAGTGTCAGTTTGGAATGATATCGAGATGAGAACTGACGAGAAACTCAGCTCGTATTCTTTTTAAATAATTAGTGTATGTTTACAATAATACAGATTCATTATAAATTCAAATTTGGGAGAATAGAGTGACCACCAGCATATGCTATTGCAGAATAATATTGTTCCCCAGTTACTCTTTCTCCCCGAGCGGCGACTACCATATGCCATCCAGCATGGACTACAACTCCGTACTGGAGCACATCCGAGCGCTGCCAATGATCGCCAAACCGGAGGTGTTTGGACTCCACGACAACGCTGACATCACCAAAGATAACAAGGAGACTGCGGCCGTAAGGCTTTTCACTTATTTGCCGGCCTCGGTGGTCTAGCGGTTTAGCACATCGCTTTACTTCCGATGGTCGCGGGTTCGAATCCTCGCACGCCGCAGACATTTGTATTCATGAATATGATTGTTTGTATCGGTCTGGGTGTTATCTATGTATAATACGTATGTATTTACGAAGAAAACATTTGCGACTTTGTTTTATACTAAGTAATAATAAGGATAATGAAGGTAATATTATTATATTATATCCTCCGAGTAACGCTTACCACCCATCCTGCAGTTACTGTTTGGGTGTCTGCTGACACAAACGTCGATCGTGAGCGGTGGCGGTGGTGCCGACCGTGGCGAGGGTGGTGGCGTGGTGGAATTAACGCGGGAAATGTCCGGCCGGCTGCCGTCGCTGTTCGACGTGGTGCAGGTGTCACAACGATACCCCGTGCAGTACTACAACAGCATGAACACCGTTCTCAAACAGGTTGTTTTTTTATACCACGTGGTGGTAAACAAGCATACGGCCCATCTGATGGTAAACGGTTACCGTAGCTTGTGCACGCCTGAAACACCAGAGGTGTCACGTGTGCATTACTGATCCTAAAACTCTTAGCCTACTTGTTGATACGAACTTTCTAGTCTATGGATTGGCAGTATAGGAGTCAACAATTCAAACGGGCACCGAAATTACGACGACCTGAGCCGAGGTACGAACCCCTAGCGGTGCTCTCAGACTAAAGTCGTATCCGTCAGGCGGAAGTTGGCCTTCAGCCGCTCCATAAGACCTACCACGGGTTTGGAGTGCCATCTGCACGCGCCCCCTATCGTGCGATGAAGCTGTAAAGGCCAGCTGCGGCAAACAGCATTACAGTAGTCCGAAAATAAGAATGTTATATATAGAAAATACCAATAAGCTAATTTTTATTTCTGATAAATTGTGACAGGAGTTGATCCGCTACAATCGGCTGATAGCGGTAGTAAAGAGGACCCTGCACGGGGTCCACATGGCTGCTCAGGGGCTGGCCATCATGAGCGCGGAACTGGAGCAGTGCAACAACGCCTTCGTCAAGGGCATAGTCCCTGGAGTGTGGATGTCCAAGTCATATCCATCAATGAAGCCGCTAGGGTCGTATGTAGCTGATTTATTGTCCAGGTAAAGATTCTTCCTCTGCAGAAGTTAGAAAACTTCAGCAGATGTTTTGACGGCTTCGATGATCTAGCGGTTTAGCATACAGCTTTATTGCAGAGGTAGCAGGTTCGAGTGTTCGCACGGCACTAACATTTGTAGTCATGACTATGATTGTTTCTGTCTGTCTGGGTGTATATTGTGTATTATTATATAATTACAAAAAATCGATGTACTTATAACACTGTCTAGACCGCTGAGGATGTCTTTTTGTATATTACATACTAGCTTTTGCCCGCGGCTTCGCTTTAATTTATCCCCTTAGGGGTGGAATCTATCAAAATCCTTTCTTAGCGGATGCCTACGTCATAACATCTACCTGCATGCCAAATTTGTGTGACTGTCATAGTGATCTATCAACACACAGCCCAAACCACTGGACGGATCGGGCTGAAATTTGGCATGCAGGCAGATGTTATGACGTAGGCATCCGCTAAGAAAGCATTTTGATTAATTCTACCCCCAAGGGGATAAAAGTTTGTATGAAACTTTGTCAATTTTAAACCGATCGGGCTGAGACTTTGCATGCATAAAGCTACTATGACGTGGGCATCCTCTAAGAAAGAATTTTGATAAATTCCACTCCTAAGGCGATATATTAACGCGAGCGAAGCCGCCGGCAAAAGCTAGTATGTTATATACTGCAAGACTTTCCAATGAAAATTGTAAAACTGCGACATTTGACTACGGAGAGAACGTAGTCCTCAGCAATTAAATGAGACATTTTTTATTGCAATATACTGTGACTTTTTTATATTCTGTGACGTTCTTTGCTGCTCTTGTATGAAAACAGGTATCACTTTTTAATTATAATGCATTATGCTATAGTGTTTATTGCATCTACTCGTAAACTATGTGAAATAAATCCATATAAATATAATAAATAAAATGATATATTTTTCATATGACACAAAAGGACTGTTCAAATTACATATATATTTAGTCTTGCTGTTCCCGCGACTTCGTCTGCGTGGAATTTACTTTATTTTTCTAAATTTAAATATTTTTTCTAAAATTAAGGTAGCCTAAGTTACTTCTAATTACATCAGCTACCTGCCAAAAAAAGTTCCGTCAAAATCGGCCAGTCATTTCAGAGATTAGCCGGAACAAACAGACAGACAAAAATTGTAAAAAATGTTATTTTGGTGTATATTATGCATTTATATTTATATGCATGTAGTAAAAAATCGTTATTTCAATATTACAAACAGACACATATAGATAAAAACGTGAAACCATGGCGTCCACAACATTTATAATGATTTGGTCGTCAGAATGTTTGCCATCGAATTACATTTAAAAATCGCACGATACTTGTTCTACGGCAAAGTTACAAGTTAATTTTTACTGTATTAAGGCTTCTAGAAGTTTATAAAAGGAACTTAATACTTATTGAAATAAAACATGACAATCAAATAATTACAATTTACTATCACATCACATTAACTACGTTATGTGTAATTAAATATACATATTTGTATTCAGTCTGTTGTTGTACTGTAGCGTACTTTATATCATTGTTGTCCAAATCTACTTTGCGCAACCACAGAGTAATGCGAATAACAATCTATGACACTTCATCCACTACCTATAGTATATTGTTCAATTTCTGCCTTTTATGTATGCATGAATCTGCATACGTTTATTGGATCCCTACGTTTTATTTAGAATATAGTTTTATTATACATTTTATCAAGTATCTACTTAGGCTTATCTAGTGGGACCTACAGGTCCCAATGAATTGACACAACCAATTAGGCCACTCTTTAAAGTTCCAAGAAATGTGCCGGCTACACAGCGACACAAATAAATGCAGAAAAGGCGTCGCCTGATATAATTTCTCTTAAATTTATGTTTATAGCACTCGAAATACTGACATGTTAAATATATGGCTACAAAATCACTCCCTAGGCGAATTTGCCTACGTTATAAGTTCAAAGAATTGATATTCTCATTCAACCTTCAGTACTCTTGGCCAAGTCCAACAGTTTGTTCATAAGTTCTCCACCGAAAGACTCCCTGTATTTTTGGCTTATGCTATTCAGTAAAGCGTATGGCGTTTCGTAGTTCATATTCTCTATGGTTGCTAAGCTCGTGTCGTTGTACTTTCTTCCTACGACCCTGAAACCTGATGCGGACATTTCTATACAGTAATTGGTGCTTTCCAGTGTGGTCAGGTTGATATAAATGCGTTGATTGTTGCTCTTCAACAGCGGCGATATGTTAGCAGTTTTGACGTGTTTTCTGATGTCATTTATAGCTGCTTCAGCTTCTTGCGGCCAGGTCTCCTTATCGAGGACCTGTTCCGACATTGTTGATCTGAAAATAGCAATGTCTTCATAAATTTCTAAATTTTGGTTAATAGTCCTTGTATACAAAAGGAGGAATGACCATTTACATTGACATGTTAACAAAGTTCATGTATTTAGAAACGAGAAATCCTTTCGTAATAAATACATAAACTTCTTAGTAATAATAATATACTATCACGATTATTATCCCAAAAGGGATAGTCAGAGGCTTTGTTAGTTTCTTTGAAGAAACTTGGAATTTTGATCAAGTCTAATGACTTTCAATCAAGTCTCTTACCCCAGCTACAGGGTTTTTTTTATGATAATGGATTGGTGTACCCGTCTGCGCTAACGGTTTACGCTGGCGGGGCACTAGTGTAAGATGATAAGATGAGCATGAGGTTATGTCAGTTAGCCCATCGTGACAAATTCATCAGTAATTTATCACGATGGTTTCCAGGGGGAACCGCGTGAAGGTCAACCTGACATGGTACATTGCTAGCAATGGGGTTATCAATCCACATTACTAACAATCACCTTTCCCCCCCAGCTACAGGGTTTTTTTTTTGTGGATGATAATGAAATGGTGCACCCGCCTGCGCTAACGGTTTACGCTGGCGGGGCACCAGTGGAGGATGATAAGATGAGCATGAGGTCAAGTCAGTTAGCCCATCGTGACAAATTCACTAAGAATTCATCACGATGGTTTCCAGGGGGAACCGCGTGGAGGTTAACCTGACATAATATAATGTCAGAGTCAGCCAGAATAAACCTATTTATTATAAATACTAATTAACAAATGTTATTCCCAGACTAAAGTTCCTACAAGATTGGATAGATGAAGGACCGCCGGTAGTGTTTTGGATATCAGGATTCTACTTCACCCAGTCGTTCTTAACCGGGGTGCTGCAGAATTATTCGCGGCACAACAAGATTCCAATAGATCAGGTGCAGTTCGAGTTCGAAATCACCAGTATGGAGGCAGACTGCGAAGAGGATCCTACCTTTGGGGTATATTGTAAGGTGAGATGAAAAATTGTCACCATTCCTATTCATACGTATTTAAGACCAGGATAAAGTACAACACCCAGTACAAGAAAAGAAAATCATGAAATATAACCTTATACCAAGATATTGATAATATAATCCAGTTGCAATCATGTCTTACTTCAATCAAATTATATGTGAACTGTCGGACATGTAATGCGTAGGGATAAGGATAATATTTTAAGAAAGGTGTTACATATGAATGTGGATGGTTATAAGGGCAGAGGAAGACCGAAAAAGAGATGGATGGACTGCGTGAAAGATGATATGGTAAGAAAGGAAGTAAATAACGCGATGACTGCGAACAGGGATGAATGGAAGCGAAAAACATATTACGCCGACCCCAAATAAATGGGATAAGGAATAAGCAGATGATGATATGTGAACTGTAGGACGAACATTACACCTTCATAGGTGAGCAGAAATCATTTTCGGTGTACACATTTGCACTTAATTATTTTAAAATCTAAATATATATAACTCAAAGGTGACTGACGTAGTGATCTATCAACGCACAGCCCAAACCATTGGACGGATCGGGCTGAAATTTGGCATGCAGGTAGATGTTATGACGTAGGCATCCGCTAAGAAAGGAATTTGATTAATTCTACCCCCAAAGGGATAAAATAGGGGATGAAAGTTTATATGAAACTTTGTCAATTTTAAACCGATCGGGCTGAGACTTTGCATGCATAAAGCTACTATGACATAGGCATCCCCTAAGAAAAGATTTTAAAATATTCCACCCCTAAGGGCAAAAATTAACGCGACAGAAGCCGCGGGCTAAAGCTAGTTTATATATATAGCAGGCTAATATGCTCTTATGAAAGAGTCCCTATCCGTTAATCTGTAATATGGTTATCCCCATATGGAGTCGTTAATAGGTCAAGATTATTTTAACCCCTAAGGTGCCTTCCTGACTGGTCTTCTCGGAAGTCTAATCTCAATATCGATTTCAATCCAATCCAGATATACTCTGATTGGATATAGATTCAATAACTGTCGGAATTTGATAATTAATAGACAAGGTCATAATGCTTCCAGTAGCGGTAGTCAGATTTCCGCACTGAATATTTTTGATCACAATAATGATAATGGTAGTAATAAATCCATTAAGTAATAAAGCGATCCAATTTTGTTTCTTGTTCTTTTGAAACATAATAGAAAACTGAATAAATATAATGCAAAAACTAACCCACATTGTTAACGATTTATTACTATATATATTTATTACTTATAGGATTTATATTTTGTTCTATCCGTTACCATTAGCACGTGTTTAGATTAGACCATAGGTTGAGTAAGTTTCAAAATAATACTACATAAATTGAATGGATTGAAATCTAAATATATATAACTCAAAGGTGACTGACATAATGATCTATGAACGCACAGCCCAAACCACTGGACGGATTGGGATGAAATTTGGCTTGCAGGTAGATGTTATGACGTAGGCATCCGCTAAGAAAGGATTTTGATTAATTCTACCCCCAAGGTGATAAAATAGGGGATGAAAGTTTATATGAAACTCCGACAATTTTAAACAGATCGGGCTGAGACTTTGCTTGCATAAAGCTACTATGACGTAGGCATCCCCTAAGAAAGTATTTTGATAAATTTCACCCCTAAAGGGATAAATTAACGCGAGCGAAAAAGCGAGCTAGTCTAAAATAAGATTGCACTCCCAGTCTATTCTAGGAGTACAATCTCAATATTGGATAAACGGAAAACTTATTTACTGATACAAAATAATAAGCTCATAAACATGTACCATATGAATATGACAATTTATTTGATGTACGCAAGCAGCAAACTCAAGCAGTGGATAACCAAGGTCAGGAACACAGTATGTTTGTTTGGGTAAGTCGTCACCGCAGTTGTGAATAGTCAAGGCCAGTTTAGGTATAAACACTGCATGCTGTTTGGTAGAAATAGAAATAATCTTTATTCAAATGGAACTTTTCAATAGTCATATAATATTTTTTTTATTCCACCGCTCAATCGGAAAGCAGAGTCATCATCGAGCAGGAAATTTGCGTGTTGCTCTTTTAAATAAATGTTGTTCAACATTACTATTCAAATAAATTTAATATAAGCGCTTTTGAATAGTCATATAGTTTTTTTTTTATTTTATCGCTCATACGGAAAGCAGTCTCAACACAAAACGAACAAGGAAATTTGCGTGATGCTCTTTTAAATAAATGTTGATCAACATTACATATTTGCTATTTTTGTGTAATGATACAGTTTTGAATTTTTTTTATGTGTTTATCACAGTTTATATATAGATAGAGATAGATAGCACATGTAGATATTTTAAATGCACATATTATTATTTACATTGATTTTAAATATCTGAGAAAGAATTTTCTAGAATTATTGCTAGAGATGATGCATAAAATAATATAATTAAATTAAATAAGCTTACTTTTAAGCTCTTTTCAATGGTTAGTCATAAGGTACATTTAAATGAAACGAATTGTTAAGATTCTCGCTTGTTACTGCGTGTCTTCATTTTATTATTCTAAACTTGATGGGCAAAATCTTTGAGGTCTTTGAACCAGTATTCAGACCTTTCTCTCTGACTGTCGATATATGTACATACGCCTCATAAGTCGTAAGATATTATCACTAACGTTAGTGTTTTATGTATTATATATATTTTATTATTATGCAATATTAATGATTTGTATAAAAAAAAATTATTAATTTTTCTATTTTCACGGTTTATTTACTATCGTACCTACACATTATATAAACGAGATATTCACAATGATAATAGTAAAAGAGCTCCCGATATTTCGAGGCATTCAACCCGTAACCAGATGTTAAGTATTATATATTTTTTATTGAGGGGTTTGGACTATCACTTGGTGTTTTAGACCTTGTAGTACTGCGACCTGCATAGATCTATTATGCTTGCTCCTTTTTTTAAGACTATGCTGCTCGCTAGGCCCTTCAAGGGTAAGAATTAAAGGATATCCCTAGGAGAGATGGTTTTTTCCCCATAGGATGTTAGTAACAACGTGTGAAATATGAATATTCTCTTTTATATAATATGTAGAAACCTATACATGCAACTGTTTGTGACTAAATTGTTTAATTTGTATTACTAAGTAAATTTGTTTTTATTTCTCAACAGGGCTTGTTTCTAGAAGGTGCAAGATGGAATCGTGATAAAATGCAACTGGACGAATCATACCCAAAAATATTATTTGACACCATCCCTATTATATGGTTTAAACCTGCCCTCATAGCTAACTTCAACCCCCCACCCTGCTACTTCTGTCCGATTTATAAAACAAGTGAAAGAAAAGGCGTTCTGGCCACTACGGGCCATTCAAGTAATTTTGTTATGTATATAACACTTCTGTCAGATATACCACAAAAGCATTGGATCAATAGAGGGGTTGCAAGCTTGACACAGCTAGATGATTAGGTTTAAGAAAGATTCAAGACTTCGGGTTCCCATAAATATGATATAGACTGACTACCTGTCCCGGCAAACATTGTTTTGCCATATAGATTAATATTTCTATTACAAAATAGAGGTTGGTGGTAAAAGAGTAAAAATTTAGGGTTAATGTATTTCTTAATGGCAAATCATAAAAAATATAAGTTATGAACTTGAGATAACCTATTCTCAGATCTACTGAGTTACAGATCTAGTTTAACATTCTATTGGTTGACAATGTGTATGTAATAGATTGATACAAATAGAAGCTCAAAAAATATGGTAACAAAATTTTTAAATGATAGAAAATTCCATCGTGTATTTCAAGCTCTAGATGCACTTTCAAGATGCATACTGAAGATCAAGACTGAAGCCTTTTTGTAACAAAATTATAAAATTGTGTAAAATCATATTAGATTCTCATCATCAATCATATCATATTCTGGATAAGATTTATATTAAAAACAATTATATGACTATTTCTATAATTATTTAAATAATATGTAAATGTGTTATTTTCTAGTCACTACAAAGACAAACGAAATATAATTTTCTGAACAAACTTTGTTTTTTATTGAATTAATAAAGTAAATATCTCAAATAAGACTTAAACCGTTTTAACATATAGGGTCACGGTTATTTAGCGATTTAGCACATCGCTTTCCTGCCGATGGTCGCGGGTTCGATTAATTACATGAAACATTTGCATTCATGAGCATAATTGTATAATAAAATATAATACAATAAAAAAGTATTTCGAGTATATCAGTTTAATATCCATAACACAGCTATGCTTACCTTGGAACTAGATGGAGCTATATAAATTGTTATTATTTATTATATTTAAAACATGATATTTTTTGTACTAAATTTATTTAAAGTTTGAAATGTAGAAAAAAGTGGCAAAATATAGTTCGTACTCACTTGACAATGCAGCTCAAGAGTTTTTTGTCTTGTAAATGGTTAAAATATTTGTAAATATGTCTAAATTTTCAATAAATAAACCTGTTTATTGATATTTCTTTAGTTATTCATTATTGATAACAGCAGTAATATTTTACGAATGAGGAATTGTACAGTAAAATTATGAGAAGAAATGTAAATGTACAAAAATAATATAAAGTAGAAAGAGACGACTATATTTTATTATTAATTTTGTTATCCAATAGAAAAGCCGAATTTTGAAATGTAATCGAATAAAATTATGAAATGTCAATGTCATATTCACAACGACCAGAAAGTAAGCATTATTTAACAATCTTTACGACTTTGGATATTCAACTACAATGTTGCCAGGATTATTCAAGTGTAAATTATTTGATGAAATGACACAATTTTGACGAAAATTTATACTTTAATAGAATTTTATTATATATTTTTTTAATTTGTTAAGCATTCCTTTATCAAAATTATAGTAAAATATTGGTAAGCAGTCAGAAATAATAAACTATTATGGACTGAACTAAGAAATCTTATGAAAATGGTTCAGTACTCAATTAATTTGTTACGAATATCTATATACCACGGGCCTTTAAATATCTAGAATTTTATAAATACGTACAATTGTTCTGTAACAATAAATTAAAATAAAAGAATTCAGTATATTGTATTTAAATACATACAAATATACTTATGAATACATAAATTAAAAAAAGTTAAAGAAATATAAAATTGTAATTTAAAAACAATTTATTACATATTAATTTATAAAATGTACTTAATCACGTTGCAGAATTCTGCGTAAAACGAAAACGCATGAGAGTTTCGATTTGTTATTTGCTTGCATAGATGGCGCATCGATCTTGTAAACTGCGTATGCCGATCTGACGTTTTTGGTTATTTTTGTTCTCGCCTCGTGTTTACTTTAGTGTCTAATTTTGGTCCAATTGCGAAAATTCAGTTGTGCAATACTATAAGGGTTAATATTTCGTTTGTAAACTGTGTTGCCGGACAGAACGCTATCGATCCGTAGTTCCGGACTAGTTATATGTATACAGTTTTATCACGTGGTGGTGTGGTGGTTTATATAATTCTTGTTTACCGCACAAGTCGAAACTTTGCGCATGTGCGTCCCGTCAGTAACCTCAAATTGTAGAGTAGGCACGGATTCGGCAGGTTCCGGATATCCGGGTCGCGACGCGGAGGCGGTGGTTCTTGCGGCTGGTTTGTGATGTGCCATCGTGTAAGGCGTTCACGCCCCGCGAGTGAACAGCGTTGGTGATACGGTCCGCGCGCCTGACATGGCCCAGACTCAGTTCACGCGGAGCTCGGAGAGCGACGCATGGGCGCTTCTGTCCCTAAAGTCGGCGCCGCCGTCGCCGTCCAAAGTACAGTGGGCTCAGGAGCCGGCGCCTATTGCTATCGCGCGGCTCGACGGCCGGGACTTCGAGTATGTGATCCGACAGAACCGTGTTGTGATAGGACGGAACTCGAGCCGCGGTCAGGTGGACGTGAATATGGGACATTCTAGTTTTATATCCAGGCGGCACCTGGAGCTGCTGTACGAACACCCGGATTTCTACTTGACGTGCAATAGCAAGAACGGCGTGCTAGTGGACGGCGTGTTCCAGCGGAAGGGCTCGCCCGCGATGCTGCTACCCAAAAGGTAAGTGCCGCGTCGAGCATGTGTCATCACTGATAAAGAGGCCTTACTCAGATGTTATTTACATTGCAGTCATTAGTTTTTTGTTTGTAAACAAACATATTTGTTTATCAGCTACCCACCTGTTGTTTATTAAAATTATATTGCTCTAAAAGTGAATTTTATGTCTGTTAACATGTGTTTGTTGTGCTATTATTGGATACTGTAAACAATGGCTGTTTCCATATGTTTCATGGCTAACAATACATAAATACAGCGGTAATTGTTGAATATTGTGTATAAATAATAATCTATGAACATTAGTAATATAATATTAAAACAACAATCAGAGTTGATAATTTTTGATATATTTATTAATTATCTGTGTCAACAATGATGTAGCATTTTGATCAATAAATATCTGCCACACATAGCTGCTCTGTGTCAATACATGTTTATTTACAATATGTCCACACCATTTTGAAACTGTGATTTAGACAAATATTTTATGCACTCACTAATTTGCATGAATTTTTGTTATATTTGTTTATTCTCTATGATAATATTGTGTTGTCTGGCTTTAGTACCTATTTAGATACTATTATTATTGCATAATGTAATGATTATCTTAATCTATAGATATGGTACTTTTCAAGGGTCGACGTTGGCAAAGGCACTATTATCTTAAATACCAGTATTAGTAAAAATATAGTAAACATTATAACACCAAAAATTTTTACAATAATTCAAGTATCTATTATGTAGCTGTGTAATAATTTTTGACCAGTATTTTTTTTTAAATCGCCACCATGAAATCCATGTACTGAATGTGAAAGTATTCACATATATATTGTGGCAACAGCGGACCTAGGGGAGTTAAATGCCCCCTAAAAATAGCTGCAATACTACCCTGGGAAAGTAGTATGAGTGTCTTCTCCCAACCCCCCTCTTAAATGGAAATGTCAAATAATGAGAGCAATTGTACGTCATGCGATAACCCCGGCGCTCTCCGGTACCCGGGCCGGAGGGTGTGAAATTAGTTACCGAAGACTTAATGGAAGTAGGCGACCAGGCTTCCATTACAGTGAATACTACTGGCAGCAAAAAACTTATTCAGCAGGCCTTTCACCGCAGTCTGTTTATCACCAGACCTAGAAGTCATTCTTTGGGAAGCAAATCTCCAGAATGTTCACACACCGTGGAAGAACCACCAAGAGAATCGCCAAGCCCTCGAGGCCCACCTTCATGGCAAAGAGTACCAGGTACTAGAAATCTGAAACGGAAAAAAATCAGTGATTCCCCAGAGAGCTTAGCCACCAGCAACATGTTCAGCCAATTACCAATCGACTTAACAGAAGAACCCATTACAATTGAGAAACCCGCAAAAACAAAATCTAGCAAGCCTCCTCCGATAATACTGTATGGTATAGAAGATGTCAATAAATTAACTGAACTCGTGGAATCTGTTGCTAATAAAAATGCATTCACATATCGGATTTCAAACAGAAACCAACTAAGAATTAACACCCTGGATATGGAAGCTTACAAAAAAATCATCAGTAAATTTCGTGAAAATGGTCTAATTGGTCATACATTTAACAAAAAGGAAGAACGGCTCTGTCGTATTGTCATTCGGAATCTTCATCACACAACACCCAAAAGTGAGATAAAGGAAGAAATTGAAAAAACTGGAAACAGTGTTGTTGGGGAAATCATTAACTCCAGATATGGTCCAGAGAAGAAACCTACGTCAACATTCTTTGTGAATCTCTTGCCTAGTGTAAACAACAAAGCCGCTAAAGAAATCAAGTATATCTACCACCAGTCTGTAATCATTGAGGATCCCAGGAAGAAAAGTTCAATTGTACAGTGTCAACGATGCCAGCAATATGGGCACACAAAGAATTACTGCATGAGACCTTACCGTTGTGTAAAATGTGCACAGGCGCATAAAACCTCAGACTGTCCAAAACGCGATAGAAACACACCAGCCGAATGTGCGCTGTGCCAAGGGTCCCATCCCGCAAACTACAAAGGTTGTGAGGTGTACAAGGAAATACTTGCCAGAAAAACTAACAAGTACGGTCACAGAAGAGCTGTTAGAAGTCTCGCGATCCAAGATCAAAATTCTTGTAAAAATACTGCCCAACAATCTTCATCTACGCAGAAAGAAAATGAACCACTCTCCTACGCCCAAGCTACTAGAAACGTATCAGATAAACAGAAACCGATTTCAGCGACCAAAGAAAATAGCACACCTAATGTAAACAAAAACCTAACTGTACTAGAAACTTTACTCACCAAACAAAACGAGAAATTCGACTTAATCTTACAACAAATGGGTACTCTAATGAGTCTCATGACCACACTCATAACCAAACTACAAGGGTAACAGGCCTTGGACTAAGATTAGCGACTTGGAACATAAACGGACTTTCACCAAATAAAGATGAGCTCGAGATACTAATGGCCGAGCACAAACTAGATGCTGTCCTAATATCTGAAGCACACTGCACAGACAAAACTAACGTCAAAATCAAAGGTTTCCAGATATATACTACAAACCACCCAGATGGTACGGGACATGCAGGATCAGCTATAATTATTCGGAATACTATAAAGCATGATCTACTACCTGAATATAAAACTGAACAGATCCAGGCTACTACAGTCGCAATACAGGACAGATGTGGATACCTTAATGTCTCTGCTGTATACTGTCCACCAAAACATCGTATGGACACCGACTTGTTCTCTCGCTTCTTCTCAAGTCTAGGAAATCGTTTTATAGCAGGAGGTGATTGGAACTCTAAACATGTTCATTGGGGCTCCAGACTAATAACGACTAGAGGGAGACAATTAAAGCTGTGTATGGACAAAAATAAGCTAAGCTCAATTTTACCACTAGAACCAACCTACTGGCCTGTTGATCACAATCGGATCCCGGACATACTCGACTTTTTCATAACAAAAGGACTCTCCAAAGAATACATGAAAGTTGAGTCGTGTATTGATGGATCATCTGACCATACTCCGGTCTTACTAACCATCAGCTCAACTATTATTGAATTTGAGACACCTGCAAGATTGTACAATCAATGTACTGATTGGTCCTCCTTCAGAGAATACATAGAAGAACACCTCAATGTAAATGTTAGACTCAAAGAAGCGGAGGAAATTGAATCAGCAGTAATACAATTTACCAATCTCATCCAAGTTGCTGCATGGAAATGCACACCTTCTACCGAACGTAGGTATCAACCTACTAATGTGCAATTGGATATAAAGATCATGATTCAAGAGAAACGCAGACTACGAAGAAATTGGCAGCTGAGCCGTCATCCACAAGATAAGGCCATCCTTAACAAAGCCATCGTTGAATTAAAGGAAGCCATAAAGAATGTCAATGATCTTACACTGCAAGCAAAGTTGGAGTCTCTAACTGCCACTAAAGCTACAAACTATTCGCTCTGGAAGGCCACCCGATGCTGCGACAGACCTAACGTACCAAAATTCCCAATAAAAAAGGACGTAGACTGGGCCAGAACAAGCCAAGATAAAGCGGATTTATTTGCAGACCATCTAACAAGCGTCTTTAAACCAAATGAAACATCCGACAACACTTCAGAAGAATACGTTGACGCAATCCTGAAACAAGACCTTCAATTGGACTTGCCCCCTAGACCTATATCGCCCGCCGAGGTCATAAAAACCATCAGCCGGCTAGACAGTAAAAAGGCACCAGGATACGACCTCATCACTAAAGAAGTGCTATCAGAACTACCGAGAAAAGCTATTGTTTTTATTACTACCATCTTTAACTCTATGCTGCGAATAGGGTATTTCCCAAGCGCGTGGAAGGTCTCGGAGGTAATCATGATTTATAAGGCCGGAAAACCAGTAACTGACAAAACATCATACCGACCTATCAGCCTGTTACCTACACTATCCAAGATACTGGAGAAAATGTTACTACGGAGAATTATGCCAAGCCTCTTAGAAGGCAAAGTGATACCAGACCACCAATTTGGCTTCAGAGAGCGGCATGGCACAGTAGAACAAGCCCACAGAGTATGCGACGCCATAAGAACATCTCTTGAACAAAGAGAATACTGTTCGTCAGCGTTCTTAGATATCCAGCAGGCGTTTGACAAGGTCTGGCACAAAGGCCTGCTATGTAAGATCAAGCAGAGTATTTCCCACTCATACTTCTCATTATTAAAATCTTACCTAGAAGATCGAATATTTTATGTGAAAGAAGGTGACGCCACTTCTAATTTTAAAGAACTCAATGCTGGGGTACCACAAGGATCTGTTCTTGGGCCAATGCTCTATACTTTGTACACTGCTGATCTACCACTTACTCCTGGGACAATCACGGCTACATTTGCAGACGATACCGCCATACTGGCAAGTAATAAAGATCCCAGACTGGCATCGGAGAACCTCCAGAAAGGCCTCAATAAGTTGAATGAATGGCTCCAAAAATGGAAAATAAGGGTTAGCGCTGCAAAGTCTGTCCAGGTGACATTCACTCTCAAAAAAGAAGACTGCCCACCTGTTATGTTAGGCCAATCTACTCTACCTCACAGTGACCATGTAAGATACCTTGGCTTCCACATTGATCGTAGACTAACCTGGAGATATCACATCAATCGCAAAAAGCAAGAGCTACAGCTAAAGTACAATAGTCTATATTGGATGCTAGGAAGGAACTCTAGACTGTCCATGGACAACAAACTCCTCATTTATAAAGTTATTTTGAAACCTGTTTGGACGTATGGTCTGCAACTATGGGGCAGCGCAAGTGATACCAACATAAATATTCTCCAGCGCCAACAAAACAAAATCTTAAGAACCATTGCACAAATACCATGGTACATAACCAACACTGAAGTCCATGATCACCTTCAAATAAGAACAGTGAAGGAGGAAATTCGGAATTTGGCAGCCAAATATAAAGAACGGTTGATTCATCACCCCAACAAACTTGCTCGACAACTCACCATAGTACAGCATGTGAG